CTCGTGTTCACAGCTTTGTGGATTGTGTGGCTATTGTCCAATGCCACTACAAATTCATTATGACGATAAATAACAATCAATATGAGATTTTTGGAACTGAAACTTCTGCTTCACACTAACCAAGTTTTCCATCAGTAACTAAAACATTATGACAACAAATAAAATTTGATATGACACCATTAAAATTTGATATTTTTGAAATATCGTTTTTCAAACTTATTAGGAATCTCATTGAAGAATAGTGCATAATCAGAAAAGTCAGTACCTATCAAAATTGTATCCAATCATGATGTGATTCGTTCTACGTATTTTTTCAGTTCAAAAATCTATGATTCAATAAAACAAATCATATCTGACAAAATAACATGATAAATGTGATAAGAAGTTGTTTCACTAGAAACGTTTGTCACAAAATGATTCTGAGTTTCAGTCGATACACTTGTATCCACTGAGCCGCTTCAATTCCTTTCTGAATACGGAAGCCCACAGCTTCCTAGAGGAATATTACACGCAATATAAGTTTTTCGGTTGGAATTCGGTTTCAGAGTTATGCAGGGCTAATTAGGCTTTATTTAATTCTGGTATGAGATGTGACTCTACACTGGTTCTAATAATATTAGTCATGAAATAGGCCAAGATAGGTATATAGTTGACTCTGAATATGGATATTAATTCCCAAAACCGTGGATGAAGATAATTGATCATAGAAACGCTTAACTTATTAAAATCAGAAGTACGGGGTTAATCATCACCTGTAGCAAAACAGACAGTAGCTTTACAGACCGATTTGGTGTGTCCCATTTTATCACATTTCAATTACTTTACATGTCAAACTACATATGACATACGTTTTCGACATTTATCACAAGATGAACATTTACAAAACCTGCGCTCATATGTGCAACCTGCTTTGCAACTCAGTGAACTGTTATCTGCATGACCTTGAGAACACACTGGATTGCGATAAGTAAGTAGTGTGGTAGAATTTTTGGTGTTCCGGTGAATCGTTTTTGAAGAATATCTTCTTTGTTGCATTCGAAATTAGTACACTTTACTTGATTTAGTAGTAGCTCTTCGAGGACTGCATAAGAAAGTGAAATGGGCTTGTCTGGTAAAATTAAAGTTTTGAGTAAATTTTAGGCTTCTTTTCTGATGAGCGTAAGAGAATCAGCCAAAATTTTGTCATCCGTAAAACCTTTCCTGGTCATACTGTAAACTTCGAACTTTTGTATGTATTCTTAAAAAGCTTCCGAATTTGAGTGTATACCGAACTAATTAACTACGGGCTCCATCGCGATGTAATTATGATAATTAAAAGTATTCAAATTAAAGTATTAACTAAGTATTCCAAAGATATTGCAATTTTAACCAGATAGAACTAGATGAGCGCAAATGAACTTATTGTATATGATTTTCGTGATCAGTGGGTAATCAATTACGAAGGAATCATTAGTTCGTACAAATACCACAAGACACTAATCTTTATCATATACAAACAAATACATATATATCACCAATCAGTGATAACAGCACATCGCTATCACACAACAAAACATGTTCACACTGAATGAACTCATTCCTTTAATACATACAGAATGAGCTCAGAGTAGTGACCACAGTGGTGTTCAGAAAGCGCTATCATGAGGAATGGATCTCTATCTATACCCTGGATAATATTCAAGAAAGAAAGAACGAGAAGACGGAAAATAACAACAGTCGAACAAGAACAGAAAACCTCAAGGCATAAGCTAAGTACCTGGAAGCAAGCAAACAAGAGAGGAAGAGCATTGGAGCTGACAATCAGGAATATGTGAAAGACGTAACAACGACTGCGGAAAAAGCTTCAAGAGAAAGGTATATGAAAAAACTGTTTGACACAACGAAGAAGCTGGTAGGAAAATATGGTAAACAAGAGATACGGATCACAAACAGAAAAGGCAAGCCAATCACTGAAATTCATAGTAAAGAGAACAGATGGGTAGAACGCTTTTAGGAACTTTTGAATGGGTCATTTCCCTTGAATTCACTGGATATCAAAGCAGCACCTGCAGACCTTCTTATAGATGTCACCCTAACAACGATCGAAGAAGTCAGGATGGCCATCAGAAAAATGAAGAATGAGAAAGCAGCAGAAACTGACAATATGCCACCTGAAGCTCTAAACACAAACATGGAAGTAACTGAAAACACGCTCCACATTCCATTCAGGAAGACTTGTGGGGAAGGGAAGAACAAGTCCCGATGGACTAGAAATAAGGATAGCACATCAAGATACCAAAGGAAGGAAATCTGAGTAAATGTGAAAACTACAGATACATCATACTACTGTCATTGACACGATAGGCTTTAAAAAGGGTGTTGCTGAACTGGTAGTTGACTGTTTATGAAGACCTCGATATCTGAATACAAGCACGGAATACAGTGCGAAGCTCGGAATCAACTAGGTAATTCGGACTTTGCAGGTGATCTAGCTCTTCCCAAATACACGAAAAACTAGTATAGCAGAAGCCTCTACATCAGTAGGCCTCAACATACACAAGAAAAAATCAAGATCTTCAAATACCAAGCCAATCACACTTGATGGAGAAACTCTAGAAGATGTGGAAACATTCACGTATTTGAGTAGCATCATCGATGAACGTGAAGAATTTGATGCAGATGTAAGGGCGAGGAATGGCAAAGCAAGGGCAACATTCCCACAGCTGAAGAACACATGGGGCTCAAAACAACTGTCAACCAATATCAGAGTGAGAATTTTTATTACGAACTACAAGATATTTCTACTGCACGGAGCTGAAACTTGAACAACCACCACAACTTTAATCAACAATATATAAGTGATTATAAACAATCATCTACGTAAGATACTGAATGTCCGTTGGATGGATAACAACAACGACAGCCAGCTTCAAGGGAGAACAAACCAGCCTCCAACTGAGGAGAAAATTAAGAAAAGACGTTGTAAGTGGATGGGATGCACAGTGAGGGAATCATCAAACTGGATCACGAGGCAAGCGCTAACTTAGAATCCTGAAGGGAAACAGAAAAGTGGAAGGCCAAAGGACACATAACGTCGGGAAATAGAAGCAGATATGAAAAGGATGGATAACAACTGAAAAGAAGTGGAAAGGATTGTCCAGGACAGAATTGCTCCCCTCTGAGGGGTAAGAGGCGTAAGTATGAAGTAAGTAAGTAAGTGAGCAATATTCAATAAATACCAATCGAATACCTTATGGAAATTCCTGTAAACGCTAATCTTAAACTTATCTAAGGTACACATGTCACTGCTAATAAACAGCAACAACATCACTGTCACAAATATATATATCTCAAAAATTCCGTTTAATCAAAGATTCCCACCACTATCCGTCCTGCGGAACAGTTAAATGATAACAAACAACTATTTAAGAGGTATCGAGGGAGATGAAGATCCAGTTTAAGAACATTTAAACTTTATTCGTTAATAGCGAATTATCAGTGAAAATATTCTGAAGGATAACTAACCTATAGCTTTTGGATTTATAAAGCAGCATTCCTCAAAGTGAAAAACATCCAGAAGTCAAAATCAATAACAGTCAAAACCAAAGTTAGAACTTTTAATACAAACGTCAAGACAGTCCTATTGTGCAGAACCGAAACTTGGGAAACTATGACACCCAACGTCAAAAGAGTACAGGTATTTACAAATAGTTGTCTACACAAGATACTCCAGATGCGTTGGCCGGATACCATCAGAAACGATATACTGTGGTAGAGAACAAACCCACTTCCAAATGAAAAAAACTAGGAAGACACTCTGAGTGTGGACAGGACACACATTAGTCCTAAATCTAGGAAGACAGTATATCCCACCTAATAAGGTTTGAAATCCTATTATTAGTACTACGGTTGAGCTGTCGTAGTACTAAACCTACGGATGTAATCCATCACACTATATCCTGGGAGATATCTTGTGCATCCGAGCGAGATACTTCACAAGGGATTTACCATCGAACGCAGCATTAAGTTTCGGTGTGTTCAACTGTTGAAAGTTTTACAAAATTTAGAAAGTTATATTTAATTCATCTTTTTAATAGTTTCTGTCCAACGTTTATCAATAAATCATTATTGTATTGTTTATACTTTGTTAATATACGAATGTTTATATACATCTCCATTTGTTTAAATAACATCTTTTGTTTATCTGCTCTATTGTAGTCGAAATTTTCAGGATGATGAGAGGGCTTTGAATAGTTCTTCAAATAAATTTCAGACAAATTAATATTGTATTATGCATTTGTTCGTATGTATAAGATTAGTCTTCAATGAATATTTCAACGCTACTTATAAAACCGATACACCATCATAAACTAGGTATCACTGGTCATATCTTTCATCCTAGTTTTAAGTTTTCAGATAATAAACATTCACGACTGCCCTTAAGTATGAACTCAGTGACTCTTATGCTTTATATCGAACTTGAAACCGTTTAGTCAATTAACATCAACTCATTAGTCATCATTGATCAATTATACTAAGTTTTTGACGGAACTATTTACTGATATTAGTAAGCAGTTAACTGACTTATTATATACTTGCCAGGTTTTATGTGAGGTGACTTCCAAACACAGTAGTTATGTGTTATTTCGTCCTGATACAGGCCTCCTCTACGGTAGGCAGCAAAAGTTTACCAACAATCAAACACACACAAAACCTTTTGATCTCATAATAATAGGTTTAACATTCAAACTATCAATATGATAAACAAAAATAGTTTCCCATTCCAACTTAAATCAATTTATGTTATTAGGTAAGTCATGTGAAGGAAATGAAAATCAACATCTAACTGTAATACGTATTATGGTCCCATAATATTACTTCAAGTAAACATAATGTTTACAATGAATAATGAAAATATTTTAAAATGTAAAACCCATGATAATCCGTTCATGGTGATTTATGTCATTCACCAATATAACGTTTAAAATAGTAACGTATTGACTACTTTAAAAAAAAGTCTTTCAATACGCATAGTGATCCGATAGCGGACCAATATAACCCAAACGTAACAGATGACATCTGAAATAAAAAAAGAAAAGATAATGTTTAATTATATAAATGAAGTCAAAATTACTGGTTACGATTTTATGGATTCATTTGAATGTGAATTACATTCTGAACTACTACCATCTATAGAGCTACCAAGGGGTCACTAGACAACTGTATCGTTCTAATATGAAAATTCTTTGAATTTCACATGCATGATTGGACGTAGCGTGAAACTCAAGATATTTAAGTCTTTCTAAAGGCACAAAGCGTTTCAGTTATTGAATTCAATGACCAATGTTTCTAAATCAAGATATCCTTGGGCATAGTATATTAAGAAGTCTTATAGAACCCCTCTAGATGTTTATCGCTAGTAATTAGTCACATGGCTTATATTAGTTAAATTTGAGAATATATATATATATACAGTAGTATCCAGCTTATTTAAGTGATTTTAAAAACATTTTATAAACGGCTCATACGTTTTTAGTTTCGTCTGCTTTGAATTATTCATGGGTTATTATATCGACAAAATAATATCACTATAATATTTATTTTCGCGATAGATTCAATAGATTTTATAGTCAGTAAGGGGTTTTGTACATATTCTAGTATTTTCAACGCTTGAATCCACGAGTCTATCGAAGCTAGACCACTACTGAAAACCTGAGAGCACCGGACGGCCGTTTCATCCGAGTATAGGACTCAGCAGTGCTCATCTACGGTCCCACACAGGGCACTCGAACCTAGAACCTTCGGTCTCGCACACGAACTCTTAATCTCTAGGTTACCGTTTCAGCATCCGACGGTGTTAATTTCTGACCTCAATCAATCCATCATCTTGCTCAAGTCTTTATCCATAGTCTGGGGTGGATAACTGTCTCCAGTCGACAAGGATTGGACTCCACTGGCTAAGGTTTCTCAATAGAACTCCAGGAAATCCATCTTGAAGCTAGTCACTAGTGAGACAGTCGTCTGTTGTGACGTACGGTGCCTGAAGTTTGATAATTATGTACGATGTGCTACACGCCAACCCTCTAACTGACTACTTGAGTAAGAACACAAGAATGAACGAGAAAGTGTATTGGGCTACCTAATGAAATGCAAAAATACTAATTCATATATATACCACTTTATCTTTAGGAAATTGACTCATTGACTCCAATGAAATGCACTTGACCTTTGGGTCAGATCTGGTTGCTGTCAAGTGACCTTTTGCTACTTGTGAATGTCTCTACATATCATTATTTCTTTAAAACAATGGGTGAAGGGTTGCTCAGGATGGTGGATGGATTGAAGTTAGACATTAATACCATTGGATGCCGAATCAGTGGTCCAGAGGTTAAGTGTTAGTGCACGAGATCGAAGGTTCTGGGTCTGAGTGCCCTGTGTGGGACTGTAGATGAGCACTGCTGAGTCCCACACTCGGATGAAGCAGCCGTCGGGTGCTTTCAAGTTTTCAGTAATGATTTGGCTTAGATAGACTCGTGGATTTAAGTGTTAGGAATTTTATAGTGTAAGCATCTAAGTGGCTAGTATAACAATGAACGCATAGTTCGTAGCTTTTGTTACTTAAGCTAGTATCATGAAGAAATGCTTGAATTACGATAATAATAACAAGTTGGTTTTTACACTGTCATAAATAACAGTTTCTGATTGCAAGAAAATAGATTTATCCCATTTGTTCTTAAACATCACGCTTAATTTTCCAGTATTTTGACTATAACAGAACTTTCCATAATAGTCATTAAAAACCGATAGTAATAAATTTTGGTTACTATGACTTTTACATCAAAACAGTTTTATGTATTCCGCATAAAAAGACAGAATTTGAACGAGTGCAAGTGATATGACGCTGATGACTATGACAAAAGTATATGGAGATGAGTTCAGTCTCAAAACGTAAAACGTAACAGCTGTAAGCTTTGCTTTTTAAGATGGTGTTTTAAATCCTCTAGACTCATTCATATCATTCAAAAAGCTGGCGATAAAATGGTTAATTGAGTTTACTAAGGTTTACATATTTAAACATTATTTGAAATGAAGCCAAATGAATTTTTTAGAAAATTTTAAAGTGATATTTGACTTACAATACTTTCACAAGGCATCTAACATAAGAAAAATAACAAGCAACATTTTGTTGTTTCACCAAGTAAATATCATAATAACATGTGATGGTTACTTTGTAGTGACCTACTTTTACCAAGAGAACGCGATTGATTTAATTTAAACAATCATTATTATAACCAATTGTACCAATGATTGTTTCACTGTGCTCGCTTGTTTAACTGTGCTAAAGACAACTATATTACTGCTCCATTATCTTTCGATTGTGACCTTGCACGGGTTTGGTTACGCTCAGTAACCACGCTTGTACTCCTTTGGCACGATCTCGGTATCCTTTCGATACCACGAGATTGTCAACAAATACATCTTGACTACAGCCATCAACTGCCTTCTGATATTTGGCTTACGGGGGATTTTATCGATTGACTGGCACGTAGTCTTCTTGTAGTGGTGTTCATAGTCAACCGCGACTCGACACCACGCTACAACTTTATGACTGATTATGTGAGTCTTCAACTAACCTGATATTATGGTCATTTGAAATAACTTACATGTTGAAGAATAGGTGTCCTTTAAAACTTGTTCAGTGTTTTCATTCTCAATCTTACAAATATGAACGCTTCGACATAATTTGTATTGAATGCATATATATATATATATATATATATATATATATATATATATAGAGAGAGAGAGAGAGAGGGAGAGAGATTTTGAGATCTGATTATAAATTACTTGATTCTCTCGAGAAAATTGATTATTTATTTACAGAAATATAAGTAGTTTTAGTTATATTCATAAGCAGATATAATGTAAAATCCATAACGTGTTCACTCTCGAATAGACTGTATCCATCCCAAAAACATTTTATGTAAATGTTCAATTTGATGTATTGTATCTCTTATTGAGAATGTGGAAGGTATTATTATGGTACGTAGAAAATTATTTTGATTTCAGCTAATATCTCAACAAAGTGAGAACAATGTTAAATCACTTAGACTAGTGGTCACATTACAACTTATTGCACCTAAAGGACTGAACAAAGGTGACATTAGTCTTAACACAAGAACCAGTCAATTATAAATGTCTCAGTCCTACAGTAGGTCAGACCCTATCACAATAACTTGGTTATCACATCTCATCTAGGTAATACGAGTTGGAATAGTACATAGCATCAATTTCGTTAAAAGAGCAGGTACGTCTTGCTTATGAATATTAATTAATATGAAATCTAAGTTCATAGTCCTATAACTGATAATTCCAACCACCAAACACGATATGAAGTATTTTAATTTTCCTTAAACTTCTAATTGATGTACGTTTGAAATTTCTACTGATTTTTTATGTTTGTGACAATATACTTTTTAACATGCATATATCCAGCACCATTTTTATTGGTTTACCTTACATTAGAGCTTTATGTACTCAAATATATCAAAGCTTTGAAACCCCTATTATAAATTGGCTTGTCACCGATTATCCCGATTTCCCCAATAGTTAAAATATTTAGGTAGTATGCTGCATACGAAATTTCTTTCATTTCTCTGTACAGTATTCACTCTATACATCTCATTTTAAAGTCACAGTAATTTTGAAAATAAATTATCACATAAACGTACCTGAAGTAAAGTCGTAACTTCCTAACCATAAAAGTCATGAGTGGATAAATTTAATATTGTGCACTCCATGTACCAAACTGAAAGGTCTAATACTAAATTTCTAGGTCACCAGTGATAAATATTAATACTCTGAAGCTACTAACTATTGGTAAATAAATCATAAGAAATAAATGAATGTTAAATATTATACTACTCAATTATTGTAGTAAAATAACACATAGTAAGAGCGAATTCATCACTGTTTATTGATGAAACTGTGTCACTCTAGCCTGTCGATCGGTCGACTAAAAATATACTGATGTTTTAATATTGAAGCATGAGTAAGTTTTCCATGATTTCAGCAATAAATGCAATTAATGAATTCTTTTTCAGAAAAGCCACTTAGTTTTGTGAAGGAATACATTTCCTTTCAAGTTGTTCATTGAATCCCAAAATGTTCCACTTATTCGATTACTGAAGTAGAACAAGTAGTGTTTTAAAGTGTTCTCTATGGATGTTGATCGTTATTGTGCTGACGTTAGACTCTAACTGACTACGATCTACGTTACTCCAGTAATAAGTCGACTATTCACAAAAAATATTTTCAAGTATTCAGCTCAAGTATCATTAGTTTGGAAACAGCTAATTTCTGCTTACTGAAAAGGTTAGCTGAGAAACTCTACGAATTAAAATGATATTGTCACTTACTCAAAAAATGTCCTGTAAAGCATAACGTCAAAGAAATCAAGAAAATGCTCATAAATTTCATAAGTTCTGATCTTTTTTGGTCAGACATATGAACTGCTCATAAAATAACATTGTAATGCTTAAGTATAGGGTTGTGTAGATTGCTGAATTTCATTGAAATCATGAACCAAACTAAATTAAACCACCGTCGAATAATGATTCAACTTAGGTTGGTCCTTGATTTCTATGGAACTTCGATGTTAATTTATTTACGTGAACAATCAAATTGGAAGAAAGTCAATTGCCAAGCGATGGATAAAGTTGATACTCTATAATTTCTAAGATATTCAACATATTTTTCTTAAGATAAGATCTCATACTTGATACACACATATATCCTACTTATGTTTGATATGGTTTGTACACACTTGTGATTACTCGTAACTGATATTCAGTAGTGTAAATATCAATAACAGAAAGGCCAAACACCTTACAAATATTAAAAAAAGTTATTCAAAACTATTGAAATGACGGGTACTAGGTTCTAGTCTCAATATGTTCATTTTGCTGATGAATTCTTAATTAAGAAAAACAGAGATTCTGGAATCTACCCAAAAATGTAGTCACTTACATTTCATGGTCTAATAAAAATCATTATTTATTATATGTTATCATAATGTTTAGGTGACCAATAAAATCACTATTTTTATTAGACAGTTATGTACGAGCGTTTTTGTTTTCTCACTGATAATTCCAATAGAAAGACATAAGTCCTTCTGATAATAAAAACTCTGGACGTATATTTCATGTAAGTTGCCACTCGTCAGCAAGACTTACCTACAGTTTAGATGGAACAAGTACGTCTTAAAGGATGTGAACACACAGCATTTATTGTTACAGTAAGACGTTTTCTGTGTATGACACGGTTTTCTACTCTATATGAAGCATTTATTCCTTCAACGTTTCAGGAACACCTTGCTAACAAACAACAACTAACATGAAACGTCTGCCTATTGTTTCATGTTGACCATCTCCAACCAACATAATATAAACGGTACCGAGTCACTTGAAATAATGGTCATATTCTTACTTGGTCCATAGAGTTCCATCGATAATAAAGGACCAAACAAATACCAAGTAGGTTTCTGCTCAATGATCAGCCAACTACAATCAGGTGATTTATGACTCATAACACATGAAACCCAACCTGTCGATGAGAAGAAATTGCGAAATATTCGCCATAGAAAGTTTACTGCATATTACTCTTGGTCACTTCTTTATCAAGTTAAATTATTTTAGTGAATTTTGATTGAAACATTTAAATTAATCTAGATTTAGATGAAATGTACGGGTGGGCAGCCTATGCTCATCGACGAAGGGTATTAGGCGTAAGTAGGTAAGATTTAGATTTTACATTGAGAAGTACACACATAGATCAAAGGACTTATTTAGTTCGATGTAAGAGACGCCTATTGACATGAACACGTTCCAATCAAATATATCAAATGGTAGTATAGAATAAAAAAAATAATATTCAGTTATTTACTGGACAAAATGACATACTTTTGTGCAGTACTACCAAGAAAATAACATTTAGGTTAATTAAGTTAAACTTAGTTTAATAAATGTTATGTCTACTCATAAGCATACCATTAAACAGTAAGTAATTTTTCAATTAAACAAGACACAGACGGCATTTAAGTCACTATAGTTTGACTAGTAAAGTTTAAACATCTCCAGTGTAAAATTGAAATCATCGATATTTGTGGAATATTGCCCAATTTCGAATGTCTAAAGGTTAAACACTCTTCATTAAACAAGAATATCTTAGCTATTACCCTTGAAACAATTGTAAATATACACTACATATAAACTTAACAATAGATCTGTAGTGGTAAATAAATCCCCAAAATAAATAGCTCTGTAAGTTTTCGACATTGGATGCTGACCACATGTTTTAATGGACTCACCTAGCTGAAGGCGCTCGATCATGCATCCGCACCAGATCACGAGTAGGAACACCGTGCTCAACATCTACTGAAATCGCTAGCCAGATTGGATCAGACGATTCTCGACATATTGATAGTCATCAAATATATTTTCCAATCTCCTCGATTCTGTCTTTTGATTTCTCTTGGTGGGTACGAGTTATATTAGGTGTTACGGGTTAAAGCGTTGTCAAACTCCGAATACTTATGGCATCTTTATTGGTGAGCCCGACGTGATTTCTAAAATGAGGTCGGCAGAGGCAGCTAGCTCGTCTAAGGCGTCGTTGTGGAACGAGACAAGCACAGCTTGCACCTGATGAGGAAGTTTCGACATGCACCCTTTAGTTTTCAATTGTTCTCGTACTTAATTCAAATTATGATACAAGGTGAAAGTCAGTCTATTAACAAATAAACATGATACTACTTTACAAATCGAATTGGAATCTAGAGTATTTAGATATTTCGTTTAATGACGTAATGAACGCCTAATGTAAAACAACATATTACTAAGACAAAGAAACAATTCTATGGATAACTGACTATTGTCTTCGTGTTAATACAGATTTATATAATATGGTGTTAGATATCTTTACTCCTTTGATTAATGTATCATTTATGAAATATCTAAACAATGAGATGTCAAATGACTGTCAACAAAACACAAAAAAATTGTAATTTACAGTTACAACATATAAATTAGGCGTTTCTGTTGTACAGATTATTGTTTCGTCTGTTTTGTTTTTCTAAACACATCAAAGATGTAGCGGTAGCATTACTTTGAATTACTTTGAAAACACACATAAATCTCAGTTCTAGGAATGTTTTACACACATGTAAGTATGAATTGGGTTTGTTGTATTATTGTTACAAATTTTTTCTAATCTTTCGTTTTGAAATTTCTAACTTCTATGTATACGAAGGGGATTCGTGGATATTATAGTAATGTTAATACTTAAGATCATGAGTCAATTAAAGCTATACCGCCGTGAGAAACCTGTATGCACTGGATGGCCGTTTCGTTCAGTTATGGGACTCTTCAACAGTGTGCTTCACGAGATTCGAACCCAGGAGCTATCAGTTTTGGAAGCGAACGCCTAACCTCCAGACCAATGAGCCGGGAGCGCGGATAAGAACTGCTGAGGAGCCCCACAATAGGATGAAACGGCCGTCCAGTGCTTCCGGGTTTTCCATGGTGGTCTAGTTTCAATTTACTCATAATTTCAACTATTAACAGTCTACGTATTCATTCATGTCATTGTTTAAGGAACAAATGATATTCATAGAATAAGGGTCTGTGAAGATGAATATTACTTAAAAAATGTATGAAGTAGTTTATTAAATTTCAATAAAGAAAAGTGTAAATCTTAACAAATGGTAGTGCTCACTGATTGCTGCAGCTAAAAAAATTTAAGTTTTTATAAAAAATTTATTCTTTTCAACTAATTCATGTTCTGTATTAAAGAGGAAGAATGTATTTGTAAAATCTCAGTGAATGAATTTGAAGTAAATCCAACGTTTGGTACTCGGCAATCTGGCCTAAGCTTTTTTCTAGGAAATATAATCAAACATTAAAATTATGAATATAAATAATTATATGGTTCTTCGGTTAAATGTATACCAAATAGGTCATCCGATCGTGTTAACAATGTTTAAGATAGGTATTCGCTTCAATGTGTATAAGATATGTGGTGTGCAACAAAATGTGTATTAAGATAATAGATTGTGTGTATTCGGAAGTGAATCTGAGGTGTGAGAAGTTTCATTCACTATTTATCGCCTCTTATTCACGTACGTGGAATTATATAATTTTATTCATTTGTCAACCACCTTATTCAAAATACATGGTAAATGGATGTTTGGGAAAGAATGAATTTCGTTTGACTTCATATCAATGTATGAGCATTACTGCAAACCAATTGAAGTTGGAAACATAAACTATCAAACGCTACCTAAGTGATCCAAAGGTTACATGCTCATTATGAGACCTGAGGGTATATGGCTAGGTTTTCAATGGGGTTTTATATGACCACTGTATCTGAGTCTCATACTAGGATGAAACGGAAATACATTGTTTCTTCATTTTCAAAGTTCATCCAAGTTCAGTTTTAGATTATCAAGGTTTCATTCAGTAACAAAAGAGATGTTAATCTATTCAAGTATTATACCAAAGACGTATGAAACGTGCTCCTCAAATATATCTTTTACTACAATTCCAGTTAAAGTAACATTTCAATAATAAAAATCCTGTCAAAAAATCGTAAAGACAACAATGTTTTAGACATTAGTTATCAATCAGATGTATTTCCATGACAATCGCATTATAAATTGAACCACAAATCTTCGACTTTCTATGTATTGAGTTTGTTTTGAGACACTGTTATCTGTATCATCATTAATTACAATAGATCTAGTTGAAATTGTCGCGTCACTTCATGCAACTATTTAGTAAAAGTCTCTTGATACTTTACTTTGGTTTGCGATCCTCCATGATAAAAACAATTGAAAAAAGTATCAGACATTTAATCATGACCTAGTTGGTTTCAATGCATTTTACAAACGAAAGGCTCTTCGTTATGCAACTGTTTGACTCTCTTTTGTGTCTAATCCATACTCAGCCTAGCAGTCTCACTCTCATCCATATCTTAATGCGATAAAATATACTTGACTAGTTCGATCAAGTAAGTTTCTTTCTTTACAATGTTTGTTTGTACATAATAAGTGAGAACAGCATTTAAAGGAGCATGTTATCAATATCCTGAAATTCTATTATATTAAATAGGGTGAGTTTACCCGTCACATGTTCAATGTTCATGCAATACGGCCTACCGTGAAATCCCGAAAATTTCGAGTTTCTTTATTTAATGTGTGCTGCATATTGAGGTGTAACTTTCATCAGACATTTCAATTCAGAACTTAAGATTCCATGTATTTGTATTTATTATTCAGTATATTGGTTTGGGTAACATTGATTTATCCATAGCAAATAATCGTTGATAAGTCATAGTGCTTGAAATGAAATCTTTAGTGGAAATCACTCTCTCTCTGTCTGGACCTCTTCCAAAAAAGGAATATCAGAAAGTACTTGTTAATATCACATCGCGTTAACGTTGAGAACATGACGAATAACCACAAGACGTTATTAAAATAATAAAATACGTTGGTAATTACATATAGTTTCTTACCGTCGATTGAAATGATTATTGTTATAATGAAAGTGATACACCATAATATACGAAAACATTGATACATTTCTATTAAAAATGAAAAACATATATGAGAATGGCTATCATACAATTTTATAATACACCACACCCTAAATAAATGCGTGTTTCATTCGAGGCCACACAAAAAAACCAATTAGAATAGATTACACAATGGTTTCTATGTAAGAATTTAAAGTAATGTTATTTGTTATTGATTAGCACATTAAATTCTGAATGTACCTTATTTATGAAGTAACTGTTGGTGTCTGAAGTAATGAATAAATGTTTTTATAGTTTACATAACGTACTTTGGCTTAATTCAAGCGACATTTAAAACCATGATGTCAAGGATAATTGTTTCGTTTTATCATTAAGCTCTTCAAGTAGGGTGCATTCATGACTCTAAGAGGAGATGAACCCTGGGCCTGTGTGTTCTTTCTACTTTTAGAATACTGAGCAGGCGTCGATTGATTTACATATGATGTAAGCTATAAAGCTTTATTTATATTTGAACAAGAAACTTAAATCCTGTAACGGGACTAGAATAAATGGATAAAGATGTATAGTCACTGTTGGCTATTTTTGAAGATCTTTATGTAGTTTTGCCTTCGCGAGAAATTTTAGTTACATCCGTGAGAAAACCTAGAAGTCACTCAGTCCCATACTATTACTCATAAGATTACATGAAAATTTGTATTATTATTGTTGAAAGATGTTCACGATTATTCCAAGTTAATTCTCAACTGAATCTAGATGTAATCGTCTTATAAACTGTAGAAGTTTACATACATATTTCAATGGAAGGTTATAGTAGCAATTTGAAGTATCTTCGTCCTAAAATCTATAATTTATGTGACTCAATGTAATATTACACAAAAGATTAGTTTTGTGTGTTTACACTCAATAATGGAATGAATGAAAATACTTTACGTATTTTAATACTGTAACTACCGGAGATTGTATCGCAGAACTTTTTACAACAAGGTATGTACACTTGCATTTTCCAAAGTATTTGATAATCATATTACCACTATGGAAGGATGTTATGTCCGCGGAATGCTTGACTGACTTAATACATGATACCAGGAAGTTGTGAGTTGGAAGACGTAAGAAAGAACTCAAAGATGGTTGACGAGGAATTATTTAGTCTGTGAAATAAAACAAAAGGATATATGATTTCACTCATTTTTATATGATTTATTGACAGTCAGATTTATATAAATTGAAATGAATGATAGTTAACATTATTTAATCAACAGCTTGCTATGTGAACACGTTTAAAATACCATACGACTAGGCATCTATAATTAACATAGGAAGACCGAAGACCCTGGGTTCGAATTTCGAGAGCGGAATCGTGGATGCTCACTGCTGAGGAGTCTCATAATAGGACGAAACGGGCGTCCAGTGCTTCCAGGTTTTCAATGGTGATATAACAACAATCGGTTCATGATCTCAATCAAAAACTAAATTGTTTGGTTACTCAAGATGTGATCCAACGTTATGGACGATAGAACAAGATAAATTCTATGTGTCATTCAAGCACTGTTCGCTAAAGTCATTCCTCATCATATCAAAGAATAAGCTCATTTTGAGCGGTGGTGAATAGACTATGATTCAGGGTAGCCTCTGAGATTAAATTTTTCCAATTAAATGTTCTGATTAAAACTGATTTCTTTGGTACACGGCGAGAGCTGTGTTATATGTGATAAATTCTAAATACTGAACTACATGAAACAATTCATTGATATACTACGCAAAGATGGAAAGTGGCTAGCAGTGGAATCGAGGACGCACATTTCGTTTTATTTTGAACTCATCATCTGGATGTATCTGGACCTCAGAGTTCATGTTCACTCCAGAACCGTTCGCTTCAAACACTATCTCGTTATCCACTTAGCTACCGAGCCCTGATAGTCCCTAACTTGTGTAACAGGGTGAAGTTTAGATTCACTTGTGAATTAAAGCAATATCGAGACAATGCACACAGTATGCTCATATGGCAATAAGAGACTGATCAATTGCAGTCCTAAACATCTCTGACTACCTTAAATTAGACAACTGGTGAGAACTAGAAAAAATGAAATAAAAGTTGTGACAAGTGTACATATTTTATATTGAAAACTTTTAGAATAAGCTGAGTGGAGATAGAATAATATTAAGATACAATAATAATATGAAAGAGTTAATATTATTCATTTCAACTGATTTGGTTGTAGGAAACTGTGGAGAATCCACGAAATAAATGAATTCATGTTATTCTAGCACAATATTTGTTCTTTCGATATTAAAGTTTAGAAATGGGTAATATTGTATAAAAACTAGAAAAGACTGAACATCTATTTCATTCTAGTATGGAATATGGTAACAGTAAACATCTATGACCCTACCAGCAGATATCACAGTGTTGTTATCTGAGTTTTTATAAGCATAAAATGATTTGGCATAATTTCACTGTGTGAATTTTATCATGATAATTTCCAGAGTGTTCCTCAATAAATACATTTAAAAATCAATTGACCACAACAATGCATAATATAACATCCAATTGTAATCTATTAATAACGCCAAAAGCAAAAATCCATTGCTTATAGTTTATATGAACAAGTGCAGATAAAGACAGCCAATGTAGCAGCAGTCACTGCATCAGAAGGCCTCAACATACACAAGTGGAAAACCAAGGTCCTCAAATACATCATAGAGAACATCAATCCAACCACACTTGATGACGAAACTCTGGAGGATGTAGAATCCTTCACACACCTGGGAAGCATCGTCGATGAACAAGGAGGTTCAGATGCAGACATAAAGGCAAGGACTGGCAAAGTAAGGGCCGCATCCCTACAACTGAATAACATATGGAAATCAAAACAACTTTCAATCAATATCAAAGTGAGAATCTTTAATATGAACGTCAAGACAGAACTACTGTACGGAGCTGAAACTTGGAGAAATACAACAACTACAATCAAGAAAGTACAAGTATTTATAAATAGCTGTATACGCAACATACTCAACATCCATTGACCGGATACCATCAGTAACAGCCTTCTCAGGGAGAGAACTAATCAGCCTCCAGCTAAAAACGAAATTAGGAAAAGACGATGAAAATGGATAGGACATACATTACACAAATCATCAAACTGCATCACAAAGTAAACCCTAATTCGGAATCGTGAAAGGAAGCGAGAAAGAGGAAGTCCAAAGAACACATTATGTCGGGAAATAGAAGTGGATATGAAAAGGATGAATAATGACTGGAATGAGCTGGAAAGGATTGTCCTAGGACAGGGTTGGATGGAGAATGCTGTTGAGTGGCCTATGCTCCCCCACGAGGAGTAACAGGCGTAAGTAAGTAAATAAGTAAGTATAGTTTATATCAAGAATATTGATAAGGTTGTCAAGGGTCGAGTTTTCGTATTTTGAAAATTTTTATGTTTATGTTCCAAGTAATCAGGAGTTTCAGCTACAAATTAATTGTTCTATCTATTATTTCTGAAGACTTTACTGAGTATGTTTTCCTAACGAAATGATCCCATGACATCAGTAATTGTAAGTTCAAAGTTCTTAAATCGTTTCATCAGCAGAACCTGATTAACTTTACTACTCAAATAACGATCCCTCCTACCATTATTTGTTTCTGATTTATATATAAACCTAATACGACAGTACGATCGACCCTCTAATCAAAAACGGACTAATCGCCATGTTTTCATAAGAAATAAAAGTCATAATATGTTATTCATAAAATGAAATCTGCAAAGCTAGTTGAATATAACTCTGAAGAGGTACTCTACTATGGTGAAACATTGGAGTAAGCAATATTAAGGTTGAGTGTAGTATACGACGTTGAGATAAGAAACTGATCGGTAGATTGTGAATCTTAATTGACTAAAGTGATTGCAACATGAGTTTAATTCTCAACGTGATAACAAGAGACATTTTTTATTTAAAATACTTTTATCCTTAACAATATATTGGAGTTTCTGAATAGGCATAAGGTGAAAAATAATCCAAACTTGAAATATTTTAATTCGATTGCAAACGTTTGAAACTTTCCGTTGTTGGAATTAGAAACTGCAATTGATTAGTCTCTTTTGGTAGATATGTACCTTGAACGGACTGTGTCAATATTTTCATCAGTAACAAGCATTTCTGAGCAGAAGTGAATAGTCACTAGCAATAAAATTTAGCAGGTGCGTTTTAACATATTTGTATCTCGTCAGCTGGTTGCGTCTATACCTTAGTGCTGATGTAAATGCTGAGAATGAAGTCCTGAAACTTTTATCTTAAGACAGAAAGGCATTGTTCATCGAGTTATTGAGCCTAAATAACCCTTAACTCGCGCAAGTATGTCCTGATGAAAAATCATATATGAAATGAAACATACGTCCTTAATTACACAGCTAATCACATACCCAATACGCCATAACTTTCGGCTAAAGGCTATTTGATATTCATCTGAAAGGAATGCACTTATGGTAATAGAGACTTAATAATTACAGTTTATCATAAAGCCAAGAAAATGCTCAAATAAGAAACTAATCAACTCCGAAGACTTTGTTTTCATTCACAAATATAAGCAAATAATCATAATTAAATAAATGATAAAGATTATGTTTATTGCTAAGATGATAACGGAATTATTCCATCTATTGTTAATACTACTGAAATCTCACTAATAACGCCTAACTGAAACTGCTTTTTCTTTAGTTCGTATGATATTTAATCATTTAATCTACCTATTACTCGTGCACTTGAAGACCACATTTTCAGTATACTATATTATGAGTTATACTTGAATATCAAGTTTTGTTTTTCTCTGTGTTTTATTTTGTTTCTGTGTTAGTGATTAATTATTCAAGTATTATATCAGATATAGAGCTTATTCAAATTCAGATGGATAGTGGCTAGCAGTGGAATCGAGGACCCGGGTTTCGTCCTGTCGGAGACTCGTCAACTGGATGTGCCTGCATCACAGAGTTGATGTTCACTCCACAACTCAAACTCAGAACCATTCGCTTCAAACATCATCTCGTTATCCACTTAGCTACACGCTTGTGTAATAGGGTGAAGTTTTAAATTCACTTGGTGTTGTTTACTTGTATCTAGCGATTGTTATTTAGGACTGCAATTGATCAGTCTCTAGTTGACATGTGTGCAACCTGTGCGGATTGCCTCGATCTTATCTTAAGCCACAAACTCTATATGCAAAGATGACATATAAAATCGGAAATTACATATTTGTAAACTGTGGAATTTATGAGAAACTTCATAAATTATAATAATTAATTAAATATAATAGAAATGATCATATATAAATACATAGTAAATTAATTGGCTTTCATTTTTACTAATCAAGTTAGGTTCTTTCAACTTCTTTGTTATTTCACCAAAATCGAAGAAAAAAGTCTGTACAGAATCTTAATAGAAGATTATCAGTTCGATTACACATGGAATGGTCAGTTTGAAATAAAAGAAAACTAGAGTGATATCTGATTTCAATGATTTTACGATATAAATAAGAACATATGCTTATTCGTATTTTATTGGATTGAAGTCTATGTGTAAATAACAATAATTACTTCAAACACATAGACTAATTATAAGCCGAGATATATATCGGCTAACAGTGGAATCAAGGATCCGCGTTTCGTCTTATTTTGTACTCATCGACTGGATGAACCTGTATCTCACAGTTGATATCCAGAATTCTACTGCTAACCACTATCCATCTTTGTTTATAAAGCTTGTGATCTAAGGTAATATCGAGGCATTCCTCACAGGATACACATATGCCACCAAGAGACTGATCAATAGCAGTCCGAACACATCAATGGAAAGATACAATTAAACAACATCAAGTGAATTTATCCAGTTCATTTTTCTTGTTAATTGTATAAATTAGATTATCAATTATTCATAAATAAACGTTACCGTTAATTAACTGGGTGATAAGTTTTGTTAATTTGAACGCTTTATTCGGTTTCTAAGCTATGCTGGTAACACACAAGCTAGAACTACGCAGAGACCTGAACTCGAGAGAAGAGGCGCAAAATAAGCGAAAAACACTTTACTCTAAAGATTCATTTTTGTGCAGAAAAACACGGGTATTTATAGATGTTAACATTTGTTAAATCAACATCATATTTTGGCCAATCCGCTAAAAGACATATTATGCTACTGACCAATAGTAGCACGCCACGGTGATATTCTAGAAAGCTCCATCATGCTCTGATTGTCTAGGACTCTTCGGCTCGTTTAGGACCTCCGGAGGCTCCGTCGCAGTTCTCGGAAAGCCGACTCAACACTGGGAAACCTCAATTCATAATTATATGTTTACAAAACAAAACAAGTCAACTCTTCCAGAAAAAAAATTTTGTATTTTAATTGAATATTTAAACTTATTTTTCTCACAAAAAAAACAAACAAACAAAAAGTTTGAAAAGGTACAAAATGTCAATTAATCCATCTCATTAAAACAACAGTACAAGAAGAAAGTTCCATTTGATTTTATTTTCCCTCTAAATCTATCAACTTTATAATGATGATCATTTAGAATAGGCATTGAACATTTTGTTCAATATACATGATATTCAATATCCAACAGACAACATCTAAACAAATAATAAAATATACAAATAAATATTCAATCAGTGAATATTGAACAACACTGTAATTCATTGATGACTGTATTAATCTATCTATATACATATATATATCATATAATCTTAATCATAGCTCATAGAATAATCTATTCACTTTCTCTTCTAGATTAGTTTTCTGATTGACATGATTATAATAAAGTACATTCATATGTCTTCTTATTTCAGCTTTTGATATTTTTACATCTTTGACAATTGTTGTACAATAGTGTTCGAATCGACTAGCCATATTTAGTTATATAGGATAATTACTGATAGGATTTAGATCAAATCTAGTTACATGGAGGACAGTTGACAGACTCGATTGAAGTGAAGACAGGTATCAGGCAAGGTTGCTCATTCTCACCCTTTCTCTTTCACCTGGTGATCGACTAAATCATGATGACGTCATCATCTGGCGGGAAGCATGGGATACAGTGGACATCTAGGATGCAGCTGCATGAACTAGACTTCACAGATGATATGGTCCTTCTATCGCACACGCAACAACAAATGCAGGAGAAGACGACCAGTGTAGAAGAAGCCTCAGCATCAGCAGGTCTCAACATATACCAAGGGAAAAGTAAGATTATCCGATACAACACAGCATGCAACAATCGAATCACACTTGACGAAGAAGATTTGGAAGATGTAAAAACCTTTACATATCTGGGCAATATCATTGATGAACACGGTGGATCTGATGCATCTGTGAAGGCGCGGATCGGCAAAGCAAGAGCAGCATATCTACATTTGAAGAACATCTGGAACTCAAAGCAACTGTCAACCAACACCAAGGTCAGAATTTTCAGTACAAATGTCAAGACAGTTCTACTGTACTGTGCGGAAACTTGGAGACTTACGAAAGCCATCAGCCACAAGATACAAGTGTTTATTAACAGTTATCTATGCAAAATACTTTGGATCCGTTGGCCAAGCACTATTAGCAACAACCTATTGTGGGAGAGAACAAGCCAGATCCAGGGGAGGAAGAAATCAGGAAGAAGCGCTGGAAGTGGATAGAACACACATTGGGGAAAACACCTAACTGCGTCACAAGACAAGCCCTCACTCGGAATCCTCAAGGCCAAATGAGGAGAGGAAGACGAAAGAACATATTACGCCGAGAAACGGAGACAGACATGAGAAAAATGAACAACAATTGGATAGAACTAGAAAAGAAGGTCCAGGATATAATGGGTTTAAGAATGCCGGTCGGCGACATATGCTCCAGTGGAAGTGACAGACGTAATTATAAAGTCAAAAATGTCTTTGACTATATGGTTTACTGTACTTTCTGGATGATATCAATGTGTTGATAAATTTTCTACGTTACTCTGCAACAATATATAAACCAAAACCTTTTTGAAATGATATTTAACTTACAGAAATTCCAATACGAGTCTAATACAAATTTTACAAAATTTACATCAATAGTGAATAATTCCATGTAACAGAAGGGATTTTTGTGGGTATTATAGTAATTTTAATAGAAGAGATCATGAATTAATTGAAACTAGACCACTGTGGAAACATCGGAACCACTGGACGACCGTTTCGTCCTATTGTGAGACTTTATGGTGATCTAGCTTCAATCGACTCATGATTTCAACTATTAATTATTCATGTAAGTTGATAACATTATTTCAATATTAATATTGACACAATGTCGCTTGGGTTAAGTAGAGCCCATCTTATCCTGAAAAAAAAAACATACTAAGTTTAGAGAAATTAGATAAAGTAATTTGGTAAATTTCGATAGTGTATTAAGAAGACGACGATTATATTAGCGCAATACATTTCGAAGAATCTGATCCCACATACACTTGTTAAGAACATTTATGTATAATATTAGCAGGGTAGGTTTAAGGTGAGAACAAAGGAGGTTTGAATTTTCGTATGGCTAAGGCGGCGAGACTATAATTTATGGACGAACCAATATGGTATAAGATAATAGGCCTCGAATATTGGCGCGAAATTCACTCATCCAATTTGGTTAAATAGAGTTTTGGCATTATAGCTGATGTAAGTTCGTGATGAAAACCCGAAATCTAATTCCTAACGTTAATCACCAACTGTAAAACATAATTATAATTCCTCACACAGGTTTAGAACCTTTATTTGGTCAAAGATATTAGGTGGACGCTCTCAAGGTCAGTCTAGCTTAGCTCAAAGGTCGTCCATAAATTATAGTCTCACCGCTAAGGCTTCAATAAACCTAAGTATACGCCCTTTTACACTATTGTACAACACCACAAAAGCCGAGTTAAGATCAATCTTATGACCTGTTTCAACTATGTGTTCGGCATCCTCTACTCTTATTGGGTCATTTGATTCTATTTGTTTCTGCAACCATTTAGGTACATGTTCACACACTCTAATTTTGAGATCACGATTGTTCCTCCCTATGTATGTATGATCTTAACAAGTATATGTGTAACCAAACTGTTCGAAATGTATTGCGCTAGTATATCACATAGTTCTGATAATCTTCGTCTTTATACTAAGTTTCCTAGTGTAAGAATATATATTCATCGGTAAATCATGTATCGGCAACTAATTTTGCATAAAATGTAACTGAATAATTCGAGCCTTAATTCTTAAACTATCCAGTGATTTTTTTCACTACGTCATTATAATCTGGATCTATATGTTAATGTGGAATTATAAATTATGTGATTTACTAAATATAAACAAGCAAATTTAACGTAGTATCACTAAAGAACATCGGTTACACTGGTGGGTTACCATGTAGTGGAAAATATCATAATTTTCACTTCCTTAGTACAGCTAATCGAATTCTATAGATCTAGTTGAAATATGGCCACTTGATAAGTAACTCGAAATTACCTTCATTATGTTTTAATTTATTATGCTTGGATGTTGTCGATGGGACAGTCCTAGATCTAGGTTTATTTCTAGTTGAGATTTATCCGAAAGTTTGGTGATGTGGATATGAACATCACAGAGAGCATAGTTGCCGTTAATATTTAGGTAAATGTTCACTAACAGGAAACGTAGATCAGTGGTTTCCTTGGTCTCTTAACAATGTAATCAGTACATGAAACGTTTATCGATGTATTTTGTATGTTCACATATCTGGTATTAATCTAACGATATTATTTAATTATTTAATCGTACATCAGATTGCGACATATATTAAAAGTGATATTCATCTGTCTATAGACATTACGGTTCTATAGAGAGAGAGAGGAAGAACAACGATATATTCCGATTACTGATACCATTGTAAAACACAACAGCAGCCAGGAAGAATGTATTTCTATTGTGAGAAGCTTCAAAGTATTTATATTATACATTATGCATAGCCTTCAATCTTTCACTTGCATTTTTTTGGTATTCTGCCATTTGAATTGTCTTCTCTTTGAGTCTCCAAGTGTTCTGCCAACGCTGTGCTTTTGATGAACCGATACTCATCACTCAGTCTTACAAGTTTCGTTACTTCGACGTCTCGTCTTGCTACACACTATGTACAGTTCTGTGAATAACGTCCAATACACCATGTGTGAGCGTAAAAGATGATGAAACATTCCAAAACTAACAACAGATCTAATCAGTTCGTACTATTTTCATCAACATTTCGGTTTAATACTGATAATAGCAATATCAATTATAATCAAAACTTACTGTAACCATATCCGAAGTCTTCTGCATTCCGGAAATAACACATACACATTTTCCTTACAAACTTATGAGAATATATAATGCTAGTTATTCAACAAAATAATTTTTTGCATAATACCCAACAAAACTGGAAACCTTAAAATTTAATCGATATACTGACTTCCTTCTTCAAAACATCTAAACAGACCCAACGGTTTTCTTGAGTATTCATGTTACCAATGTTCACAAAGTGAATCCTTATAAAATTGAAATTTCGTTGTAACTGTACATATTTTGTTCTGAGGATGCTTCATTGTAATCAAGCATATAGTATTGAATAAAGCAAGTATTATTATTGTGTACAATGTGCGATTGTAGTATACAGTGTATTTGTAGATATATATTACGGAATGAATGTGTTGTTGACACATAGTACCAAAGAAATTATGTAATAAGTATGAATGTCAATGTATTAGTATAATCTATTCATTTGTTAAATGTAAATAAGTGATGCATTGTTCAATCTCAAAACATGATTAACACTCTTTGACGTGAAAGAATAATAAATACAAATGATAATATTTAGAGGTGACGGAAAAGATTTATAGATCAGATGAATGAATTAGGTGGAGTTTTGTCCTTTGAACTGGATGATTTGGTCATGGAACTTTCATTGTTATTCTGAACAACATCATTAGTACAAAATTCAGGTAGAAGTGAAGTATTGGATTTCATCACATACGATACAGCTTGTCCTGTTGACCTTGATCCTGATTGGTTATTGTTGATCTATAACGTATCATTATATGCATCTTTATTTTTATTGCATCTCCTTTTTATTTGATTCTTGGTCCTGTGTTTGTTCTTGATTGCTTGATAAATTGGATCATTGCGATGATTTTTTTGCTAATTGATCTAATTGTTAAGCATTAAAAAATCTCTGATATTGTTAGTATTCCCTCTGTCCAAGATTTCAACATTCTCTAGATCGAATGTGTATCCACAACTGTCCACATGAATTGATATATATGAGAAAATATGTCATAGTGTTTGATCACTAATTGATATTCAAGCAAGCGAAGAGGATGGGGGTGTCCACCTTGTCCAATGTTATATTTATCGTAATTGTAACAGTTCATTTTGTAGATGATATTCGTTCTCTCTTCTTTTGTCACTTCATCCTTTGGTTTGTATAAGATTGGTTAAAGTCATTTTACTGGCTCATGTGCTCTATCTATTCCAAACGGTTTCAATTATAATGATAGGATGGTCCGTTTGTTGGTTTCTGTATTTGATTTCGTTTCTACTGATGAGTTGGATTTATAATTTTTGGTGAAGTTGCATGGGTAGCTGTGATTCAAATGTGCACATATTCGAACATTTCATTTCTACCGGAAGTTTGTGCTAATGATGTTGTTCAGAAGAACAGTGGAAGATCCACGACCAAATCATCCATCTCAAAGAACAAAACTCCTAACTCATTATATTTAAGGACCATAATTTTGCTGTTATACATAATCAATCAAAATATTTGACTTAACAGATTAAATGTCACATTCAAAACATTCAGCTTTTAAAAGTAGTAATCTATCAGTATGGGACTATGGACATTGTTGGGTTTAAATTGATATTATGAATGGATCCGTGTTGGACCACCACTGAAAGCCTAGAAGCACTGGACGGCCGTTCCGTCCAAGTATGAGACTCCTCAGTGGTATGCAATGTCGTGAATTGGTTGAAGTTAGAAATTGACACCGTTGGATGCCAATTCAGTAGTTTAGTTATTAAGCGTCCTTGTAAGAGATCGAGTCTTGCGTGTGTGATCGTAGATGTGCACTGCTGTTTAGTAATATATTTGGATACAACACAGAGTTCATAATTCATGATAGATAATATTGCAATAAATATCCGCTTTATATGCACTAACTATTGAGTATACATATGAACAGTGATTAGCAGTAATTCTTATCTTACCGTTAAAACATTTTGTCTAGCACGTAATATATATTTGATTTATAAATCCCAATTTGGATATTTTTCACTTATCTTAAACGATAGACAATTAGGATAATATACCTTATATTCGTGGTGTTAACGAAGAAAACTTTCAGAGTAGTGTGAGTATCAAAATCTAGTGAAGTTAAATAAATCAGTACATGATGCAGTTTATACGAATCAATTTAAAACTGGAGAATCTCTTCCAGTATTTATACAGTAGAATAGTAAATAACCCAAAGGCATTATTCATAATAAGTAAAATGTAAAGATAATACAAATGTATATTATTACGTACTGCCAACGTGTTTTCCTTCTGAAAAATAAAACATTCAAATTACATGGAGATGAAGTTAAAGAAAAGACTGAACAAGTATCGAATATAAACTAACAGTGGGTTTTTAGGTTCTGACAAAATGAAAGCTTGAACATGTCTTTTCTAAGCACATTGAATAAGAAAGGAGATCTGAGTAAATGTGAAGACCACAGAGACATCACACTACTGTCAGTACCAGGGAAAGTCTTTAACAGAGTATTGCTGAACCGGATGAAAGACGCAGTAGGCACCCAACTTCAAGATCAACAAGCTGGATTCCGTAAAGATCGGTTGTGCACAGACCAAATTGCGACACTACAGATCATCGTCGAACAATTAGTTGAGTGGAACTCGTCACTATACATCAACTTTATTGATTATGAAAAGGCGTTTGATAGTGTAGATAAGAAAACATTATGGAAGATTCTTCGACACTATGATGTTCCTGAGAAGATTGTCAATATAATCCGGAACTCATATGACAGACTACAGTGCAAAGTCGTGCATGAAGAACAGCTGAAAGATAAATTACAAGTAAGGACCAAAGTCAGACAAGGCTGTCTACTCTACGAGGCTGAAACTTGGGAGACTACTATAACCATCATAAAGAAGGTACAAGTATTTACAATTCGTTGTCTACGCAACATACTCAACATCCGTTGGCCGGATGCCATCAGTAACAGCTTTCTCAGGGAGAGAACTAATCAGCTTCCAGCTAAAGACGAAATTAGGAAAAGACGATGGAAATGGATAGGACATACATTACACAAATCATCAAACTTCATCATGAGGCAAGAGCCAACTTAGAATCGTGAAGAGAAGCGAAAAAGATAAAGTCCAAAGAACACATTACGTCGGGAAATAGAAGTGGATATGAAAAGGATGAATAATGACTGGAATGAGCTGGAAAGGATTGCCCAGGACAGGGTTGGATGGAGAATGCTGTTGAGTGGCCTATGCTCCTCCGCGAGAAGTATCAGGCGTAAGTAATTAAGTAAGTAATGATAATCTTGAATGAAAATCCATCTACCTTCACTGATAATTTCATTCAAAATAATCCACGAGGTTAGGTGTACTAGTTATAAAGGAAGTATTTTTAATAACCCTGTTCATACCACAGGCTTTAGAAATTTGTCAGTTCAAGCCTAGTCATTATGTTCATAAGACTCATATTCAGTCATTTATCTTACGATGATCTGACAATAAAAGCATTCGAATATCTCAATACAGTATGAGATTTATTTCTAATTACTGAATCTCTGTAAATATACAATGAAGTGAATGAATTCGCTCATCTCTTGATCGAATGAATGAGTAGTGACCATATTCTTCAAAATGTCGGCAATCTATTTCATCACTAATTATCACAAAATGATCAAAGTATTAAATAGTATATGGTAAGAAATAATTATGGCTAGATGTTTCATGAATCATTCGTCTATGAAATAAGTCATTAAATCTATATGGGTTACAGCTAGAGAGAAAATTCATATTAATTAATGGATTCACTAATTTCAAACTATTTGTTAAACAGAATAAGTCAGTCACATGTAGAATAAATCACTGATAACGTCTCAGTTTATAAAATTGAGTAGTCCATGTTTAGCTCCCATGAGCAGAATCAATTTCTTGAAGACTATATTTGTGCTTTGCTGACATGTTTAAGCATTCAGCAGTTGTCGATAATAAATACCAATAAGGACAAGACACGCATGAAATTGATCGCCACCCGGTGATCAATCAGTTGTGATTACATCTCAGTCCTACAAGAGGTCGGTCGCGGCTCGGATAGCTCAGTGGTAACGTCTCTTACTGTGAAGCTGGGTGACATGAAAGTGAATTCGCCAGGGAGCACCAGTTTCCTCAAGATTACAGGTACAGCTTGCTGATAAGTGCCAAGTAGCACGAAACCTGGGTCCAGGGTTTCCTGTTAACTACCTCCAACCACCATCTTACCTCAACATAGGGCACGCGATGTCGAGTCACCTAGACTAGTGGCCACATTGCAACTTGGTCGATAGCATTTGATCTGCCCCAAGAAAGACTTGACACACAAGACATTGATCTCCACCCTGTGATCAACCAATTGTAAATACTAGTTTCGTTACGATCATGAACCGATAAATATTGGACCACCATTAGTAATCAGTAATCTCCACAACCCTATACTGGTTGCATAATTGTTCCATCAATAATAATGATAATCATTCAATGTCAATATCGCTTATGTCATTAGTTAGTGAATAGAATAAAATCGTATTTATCGATAAGTTTTGCTTACTCCCAGACAGATCTGTAAAATAATACAGAAGAAAATAATTAAATGAAGACAAACACAGAAATACCATCACATACATCTAATGAGATAGTTAACTAAAATATACTAAACTTTACTGAATGATTAAAAGAAGCCATTTACTACTTGACTATGATGGCTGATTTCTATCTAATTAATTAAGGTACTTAAATGACAGTTAGACTAAAAAGAAGACAGTAGATTAATAAACAAAGAGTATTCTATTGATGTGTGAAAGAAAAGTAGATTGTTTCACTAAACAATTCTGTTTTCAGGCGAATTCATTTATCAATCTGTATAATTGTACAAATCGTAATCATAAATAACAAAATGTTTGTTTTAAAAAAACAACAATAATTGACTGAACACAATAAAGAAAGATCAAAAATAGATGTTATTTTGATGAAGGAACTGAGTATGTAATTGTTAAGAACTTAATACTTCGTCAACAGTATTAATGGAGTTATAAAGGTTGGTCATTGCTGCACAATTTGAAAAGATAAGATTTGGAGACTGAAATAAACTGTAATCAAAAATAGAAACATGTTATAGCTAAAAGCCGCCAATCAGAAGCAGCGAATAATCGGTCGGACCAAGGACGCGTAAAACACGTGCGACCAGCCTAGAGTCCTGATTGATCCTGCTCTCCGCCTAGCCCAGCCAGTTAAGTCCAGAACACCAGTCTCACCCTCTGCAATATGAATCCTTATATTTCAAACATACTGAGTTTATACACCAATCAAACAGACCACAACGTAGCATAAAATAGAAAACAAAATTTGGCTAAATGTGGCTGTGAATGCGGGAGGCAGTGACTAATAGACAGGGCATAATTCAACAATGGTAAAACGTATAATAATGGTTCATAGGTCAAAATAAAGTTTATAATGAGAGGAATATGAATATGAATAGTTTAGTTATTTAACAATTATGCGATAAAAATATACGTTTAGTATTGGTTCATAAAAGGATCCCAAAGTTACCATTCATTATGTTTCTCGGGATCTAACGAAACAGTATTAAATAGTTATTTCATCCAATTATAGATGATCTCAGAAGTGTTCATCCACGGTCAAACTTAGGACTTTTAGGTCTCAATTAAGAGCACTTAAATTTTAGATCACCTAATCGGAATCCAATGATTTACATTTTTATTGATTATTTAATCAAACTTAGCTTGTAACATTAATTATATAAATGAATCGGTTTTATGTAAAGAGTGGATAGAGTAGAAGAAAAGAAGAGTGAAAGCTTTCAAGAAACTAGAGGACCATCAAAGAAGAAGAAGAAAAAGGTTACAATGTTTTTTTGTGCATATAGCCTTAAGTTCTTTGAATGTAAAGCGAAAGATGAACGAATGATCAGTAGATAGATGATATATGATTTTACTGGGCTTCTATTCACTTTGTAGTTGACTTTAAACGCTGAATCTGTTTTGATTAAATGACTCATGTTCACAAGATGTCTAATTGACTAATTAATTAACTAACAATTCAATCTCTTCCATAGATTAGTGCTAAGATAATTTTAACTAGAATAATCTACTGAAAACTAAGAATCTTTTCATATTTCACATCGTTCGAATATCAAAATTCATGTTTAAGTAATCTCTATGAAATTAACATTTTACTCAGCTATCTAAATACCTATTAGTTACAAGACGAATGTACTTTTGACATTTATAACTAATATATTACTGAGCACTGAACAATGCCATGTTTATCTTATTCTTTAGTGACGACTAAATTCTATCAATATATCTATATTGTGGATATTGGTCTAACTGACTAGTCTAAGAATCGGACAGACATGACGTTGGTCAACACTCAATAATCAATCAATTGTAAATATCTTAGTCCTCCATTATGATAGCTAAGAACTGATTACCTTAATGTCAATGTCTCAGACTCTAAAGCAAACTAACGTGAGATCAAATCCTATATAGGGTATGAGTTTCCTATTGATTTCAAGTATGCCTTACTGATAAATGTAAACTAGTGCAAAACCTAGATCTAAGGTTTTCTGTCGTCTACTTTTGAACATCAAACATTGGACGTTCGAAATATTCCGTATATAATAATGAATTTACCAACCGAAAATACAATCTTTTATTGATATCGATAAACGTCACTTACGGTGAATAACCAGCTTAGAAACAATGAATTATAAATTACAAGTTATTTAACATATTATAAAAGTAATAATATTACAACAACTAACGAATATATCTAGTTATTAAAACATTATGACAGTAAATAAGCAGATGGATTCATTTAGATATATTGTGAATGTTATAACCTGTGACCTTATGCCCGACTAATATATAACGTAATAATATCACTAATCAGAGAACACTGATTTATCGACTGGACAAACGGTGCATAAACACGTACGAGCATTCCACACTATTTATCGCTCGCTCCTACTTCCTGCCTAGCCCTACCTATTGGGTCTAGAACACCAATCTCAACTTCCACGATATGATTCATGTATTTCAAACATACCGTGTTCATATACAAACCAAACAGACCACATCGCACAACAAAATGGAAAACAACATTTGTACAAGATCTAATCAAAAGTGGCTCTGAATGTGGGAGACTGTAATTAATAGAGTGGGCTTAGCTCAAGAACGATAAATCGTAAAATAATAGATTATGGGTCAAAGTAAATCTTGTAATAAGAAGAATATAGATGTACATAATCTAGCTGTTAAATAGTTATACATTCAGAATATACGTATAATATTTGTGCATAAATAGTCGTCAGAAGTTACCATTCATAATTCTCGTCGGGATATAATAGTGAATTAATGAACTAAAAAAACTTCCAGTAAAGGAGATCCTATTTCCATGTTTATAAAATGTTGAATAAATGATATTTAAGAAAAATTATCATTTCGAAATGTAAATCACAATATCTTGCTACAAATTAGTAGATAACCCTTATGAGAAAAAATTTCAAAAAACACCCGTTGTACAAGCCAGTGGCTATTTGAACTGAGTAGTTAAGTGAACAACTCTGTAGATACTTGAAACAATAGGTAGTGGGTTAGAGTTCGGATGTGTCCATCAACACTGGAGTGCAGCTACATTCAGCTGATGAGTCCCACATAGGATGAAATGTGCGTCCTAGACTCTATTGCAACGCACTATCCAGCTGTGTTTATAAAACGCTTATTGCCTAGTAACAGTATTGGGGTAATTCGCGCAGGATACACATATGCTAAAAGAGACTAATCAGTTGCAGTTTATAATCCCTTCAGGAAGATTCAGATTATCAATACAAATGTATTTTAAAAAATTGTTGTTTGAAGATTTTAACTGAAGTGAAATCTGTATTACATCATTACATTTAACTGACGTGTAACTAATGAGAATCGATTAATTTATTCTTAACTAAAGATACCTTCTAATATTGATGTTTTAAAATAATTCTTTAGATAGAAAACGTCTTGCTTCGTCCATTAGTCTACTGGATAAAACTTCTATTAACAAATAATCACTAGAGGAACATGTGATCTTGAGTGCTGTTAGAGCTGTTGTGCTGATGAGGTGTGGCAACTTGGAATGATGCATATATGTGTCTGGTCCTATGTTGTAGCTGACTGAGTGAGATGAACATGAATAACCAAAGTCAAATAATGTGATAACGGATGTTGCATACTATCTGGTGCAGGTGGTTTATTGTTTTCAACTAATTATGTAATTCCGTAATTGAGTTTGCTATTGTACATTACATAGTTACATAGTTCGTAAAAAAAATAATTAAATTCTAAATGACTCTAAATGAATACAAAAGATAATTTCGGAAACAACATAGTGATATTGTTTCAGTGATCATCGAACTCTCTTTTTAGTCTATAATCCTATCATCTCAAAACTTAATGACCATAATGTAGAATCACTTAGACTAGCCTAATCAAATTCCAACTTGATCAACGAAAAAGAAATTAATACATTGAGAAGTAGACACAGTCCCTTTGAATAAGCCAGTATGTTTTTATCTTTACACTATGTCAGAATGAAAATAGCTACTTCAAACACATAAACTAATTATAAGCAAAGATGGTTAACAGTGGAATCCAGGACGTTCCTTTTGTCCTACTTCACACTCGTCAACTGGATGTACCTGTATCTCAGAGTTGATATCCTGGATTCCACTGCTAACCGCTATTCATCTTTGCTTTTAAAGCTTGTGATCTAAGGCAATATCGAGGCAATCCTCACAGGATGCACACATGCCACCAAGAGACTGATCAATCACAGTCTTAAATAACAATGGGAAGATACAAGTAAACAGCATCAAGTGAATTTACATAGACTAATTGTTTAAAGTTAACACTTTAGAGAGTCGCATTATCAAAGCGTTAGTTGTATGTACTTTAACACCGATGAAGTTCTGTATAGTCATCTTTACATTTAATCACAAATGTTGAGTATAACTTTCAGTTGGTGATGATTCTTTATCATCCAAATCAATAAGTTTACTGATTTTCATCTTATTCTAATGCGAATTAAAAAGTAAATAATTAGAAATAAAGAGGAAATTTCTAATAAATAAATTCGACATCTAGAGAACTATAAATAAGATCATTTTGGTGAGATTATAATTTATGAAGTAAAAATCACCAAACTTCATCGCGAGGCAAGCGTCAACTTGGGATTGTGAAGAGAAAATGAAAAGAGCAAGGCCAAAGAACAGATTGCACTGGGAATCGAAAGCAGACACCTAAAAGATAAATAGCATCTGGAAAACACTGGAAAGGATTGTTCAGGACAGAATTCGAAGAAGAATGTTGGTGGGTAGCGTATGCTCCTCGAAGCGGAGTAACAGGCGTAAGTAAGTATTTTTTATTTCGAACAACCGTTGAGTGACTGAAGTGACATTGAGAATATCCACCTACTTGCTAGGGCTAAATGAAGGTTATAAATCATTGTGAGGAATTAGGATGATGATTTACACTTGATGATTGAGGTTAGGAATTAGATTCAGAGTGTTCATTACAAATTAACATGAGCAAAACTGCCAAAACGTTATTTAGTCAAATAGATAAATAAATATCGCACCAAAATCCAAGATCTGTCATCCTTATTCTGATTAGTTCTTTCATAAATTATAATGTCGCCATAATCTTTTGTTCTTATCCAGATAGTATTGATTAATTCCCTTAATTTTATCTAGTTTAAATGATTCAATTAAAAACAATCAGATAAATTTTAATAATAAACCTCGTATAGCAGTGACCACATACCTGATGTCTCTATCATAGTCATCAAGATGGAATATATTAAATGAAATTATTTAAAATCAATCTCTTAAAATTCGGTTTATACCATACAATTTTTAATCTCATTAATGTATCTAAATGATAATGACAAAAAATACCTTGCTTTTTTGGCATAAGATGATACAACATTTCGTCTTTCTATTATCCTGTATATACACTGAGTGGTAGATGAAGTATATCCCCATATGGTCCAAGATCTTTGATTTTTTGCGTTTGTACATCAATGAGGATGTTGTTAGCTAAAGATCCCCTTACTGTTTTTTACAACGTTTAAACGAACAATTTTTTTCATTTTAATGTTTTGTCATACTCTACACCGGGTGCCCGAACAGAATCAGGTGGTTTTCTTGGGGTACCACATGTAGCCTTTGACCTGAAGGTCTAATCTACAAGGCGATTGAACAACGTTAGGAGATGCAGTCTCATGTTAGCCGATGTTTCATACGCCATTTGTTTCCTCAGTATCTTAGAATTCATGCGCACCATTGGTTTGAAATCAGGGTTTTCCAATTCCCTTAGGTGGATCCTCCGTGTCCATCAACCTGACTAAAGTTCCGAACACTCACTTTTCGTCCTCCCTATTTCTTAAACAAACTTCCCATTGTGAGAAGGTAGTGCGTACGACTTTCCTGACAGTGCCTGTATACGCGTGTCCATATAAGGGCATTCGGGGATGGAGAGTGGACTATTCCCACCCTCGACTATACCAGTGCATTCGGGGGCATCACACAACATGTACAATAAAGATGTAAAAATAAGTTATCGAGATCAAAACTAATCAATTTGTATAACTGTAGGCTCGTCATATATTCTCGTATTTGCTCAGACAATAAGTCTTCTTACTTACTCTTAGTTTTCTTACTCATGTAGCTGGTTTAGATACGCATAGAGTTTGCCTTTTATATCATTATTAGACTCAAACGACCGTACAATATGAAAATTTATTTTTAAAAATCCATTTCCCTTAATCTAAACTGATCAGAACCTTTCTATGAATATAAAATGAAGTATTTATACTGTCAATGAGCAAGAATCTACAACTGCCGTCAATTTCTAGATGTTCAGCACTAATTACCAACGTATTTCCATTGGTGTTTTGTGTAGGATTTAAACCAAAGCCATATTATAACGTAATGAGGTATGTTAACTGTTAAACTATTTCGATAACAACTGACCCATTGTCATACTAAAACATTTACAGTGAATAATGACATAGTTTTACTATACCAATGTGGAAAATAGTTGAATCTTTTGTTCAAAATAACATATGGTTGCCGAATACTGTACTACGATTATTTCATTTCTTTTATTGAAATATTTTAAAAATAAAGAATTACTGTGTAGTATGTGCTACTGATGTCGACAGATAAAAGTAGTATGTATCATCAATCGATAGTGAAATACCTGGCGGCAGATAATTATGAAGATCGAAGAGAAGGGAACAAGAACAAAGAGTGACTGGCATAAAAAAGAAGAATCATTCAAGTTTGATACAGTTGATTAACATTTACTGTATGGTTCAAAGATTTTACCAATCGATTATGTAATTTTGATTGAGATCATGAGCCGATTTATGTTAGACCACCTTTGGGAACTTGGAAGCACTGGACGGCCGGCTCAGTGGTCCAGTAGGCTAAGCGTTCGCGCGCGACACCGAAGACCATGGGTTCGAATCCTGCGAGCGGGATCGTGGATGCGCACTGCTGAGTAGTCCCACAATAGGACGAAACGGCCGTCCAGTACTTCCAAGTTTCCAAAGATGGTCTAACATCAATCGCTTCATGATCTCAATCAAAAACTTAATAATCTCCACAACCCCCATACTAGTACGTAACTTTGTTTTCAATTACATTCGATTGTTCCCATTTATGTTCTCGTTCACTACAACCATGTGAAATTATTTAGAGATTTCAATTACAAAATGTAAAAACAAATGTAAATCTAATATTTAACTACTAATTGCACATCATAACAGACCTGTTGTTGATTCTAATTTCATTAGAACAATGCAAATTAAACAAAGATTGTAAGGTTATGATTTGATTTGATTTGATTTTACGTTTATATTATTTATGCAATCAAAGTGTAAACAGAATTATTAAGTAAGCAATGATGAATAGTGGCTAGCAGTGGAATCCAGGACGCGCGTTTTGTCCTATTTGGGACTCGTCAACTGGATGTACTTGCATCTCAGAGTTGATGTTGATCCTGGGACTCGAACCAGCACCATTCGCTTCAAATAGACTGATCAATTGCAGTCTTAAACCTAAATGAGAAGATACAAGCCAAACAATACCAAGTGAAGAATTATTAAGGTTGGTTTTTTATAGATGTAGAATAAACCTATCAACATCAGTCAGTCTGATTTTAGTGTTGTTTCAAAAATGTTCATTTTTACGGAATGGAATTACTTACCCTATCCTAATCCTTCTCATTTATCTGAGCTTAAAAGCGTTAGCAACCCTAGAAGGGCTTCAGATGGCGTTACGTTTATTTCATTATTAGTTTCACAGAAACAATATGGAAGCTGTAGAAAACATTGAAGGCACCAGAAGAATATATATTCTAAGGATATCAAACGATGTTTGATAAGGAACGAAATAATTTGTTGTTAAGCTAATGTGTTTGTTAGATAACAACAATACTAATAGTAATGTTTCTGTTTTTGTCTCTTTTACAAACAAAATAATGACAACATCATAAAAAAATTCTTTTTTAAGTCTTACTTTATCGTTTCAGCTTAATATAAGTTGGATTAATCGTGTAACTTAGACAATATTTTCCTATTGAAGTATAGTATAATTTTCCTTATATGGCTATTATCTCACAGTCCACCTGATCCTATGGAGCAAGGAAGTTTTACTTTGGTTAAACTTTGCTTTCCAACATGTATCCGATAATGTATACTACAATGGTTCTACAAAAATGTTATAAAAACAATTAGAAGTTCAATTTCCAAACATTTAAGTAACTTTTATCATCTAACTGACGCACAAACTGGTTTTAAGGTTATTTTAAGATACCATCGTGGCCCACCAAGATTTATTCCTTCTTAACTCCTTAAAATAAAATATGCTTTGACAAACCATGAGAGGTAACCGGAACTGAGTATGAGAAAGAAATATGTCCGGTCATTGATTTAACTTCAATCTTAACACATTACCTTTACCATTATTAATTTGATTTGTAACGATTTGGTCTATCCCGTAATTAGTATTTTAATTGGACTTTGGACAGTCTTAAATGGCTTATGTGCATCCTGAGCATACCTGTGAATTCATGCCAACTGAACAGGCAGGCAACGGTCAGGATTCAGTAGCTAAATGTATAACGTGTTGATGTTCAAAACAAAAGTCACTGGGTCCGAGTCCTGAGGTGAACATCAACTCTTAGATTAATTACATCCAGATGACAAGTTTCAAATAGGACAAATGGACATCCTCATTTCCACTACAACCCACATTCCATCTATTCTTCATAAACTTTACCATTGCTATTGTCATTTGTCTAAAAACAACTGCAACCCTTGAAACAATTTTCAGATCCTATTCATTTTTCTAATAATCATTGATTGTCAGTCTGCAAGGACCCTAGATTTCAGCGGATTTCATAGTTTGTAACATGAACTGATTTTAGTTGTTGAAAACAGCGAAGCACCGGATAAGTGTTTCCTTTTAGTATGGGACTTTACAGCAGTTATCATATGCAATCTTGCTGACGATTGAACCCAAAACCTTCAGTTCTTATGGCGAGCAATTGATCTTTATACCACTGAGTCGCTATCCACTGGTTTACGTGTCTAGATTTAATCAATGGTTATCGAACCAGAAACCATCCATGATATAAACCATCAAATTTTAATCATTTACAGTATAATATCATTTAATTTTCTTGATGCTTTGTTATGATGGAATTATTGGAATAACAAATACTTGTTTATAGTTAGAACACTGAATTCACATTGTAAGTCATCGTTAGTTATCTACACATTTATCCGTGTTTCCTCATATCCTGTAGCTGTTAGATAATCTATGTTTAAAGACATTGAATAGCATGGCTCAAAATCAATCGGTATGGCTCATATTCATCCAATTTTGCTTCTCGATTACTTTGTCTGCGTTTAATCCTTTTTACTTTCAATGTAACTGCCACATTTGTCAGGGTAGTTTTCTTTTGATGTAGTGATATGTTGTAGCAACTTGAACCGATGCATATATCTGTCAGCTTCCATATCGCTTATGACTGACTGACACGATTTTTATTTATACCCCTTATTATAACATTATGATGATTATGGCGGAGTTTTGTTCTCTGAGCTGGATGATTTGGTCGTCCTGAGCTAAAAATCTTCTCCACCACCTCATTATGATGATTATTTGTTGTTCATATTTCTTGATTAAATCAGTCTTTCAAATTTGTATATATATTTGTGTTTATGAATGTACATCGTGATGATAAGCCCACTAAAAAATAATGATTCACTAAATCTTATGCCTTTGATTTTGTAATGAGAATTATCAATATCCTAATACATTTGGTTTCTGTATAGCAGTGAAAACTAGAACTTATGTTCCGTCCTGTTTTGGATTTGTCACCCGAATGCACCTTCATCCTTGTTGATGTTCATACTAAGGCTCAAACCCGGTACTTTTTTCAATTTAAAGATCCATTGTATCATTGAGTGAACCACTGAATCCACAAAGTTTAACCATTTTCAATTACATACGACCTCGTATTTAACTATTTCAGCTAGAAACAATTGAAATAAAAAATTTTTTAAGTATGACATTCAGTTAACCATCGAACATAAGAACGTACCTGTTGTCGTTGTTGTTGCTACTAATATTTTCCAGAAAATTTAAGAAAGTACCATTATTATGTATAACCAATTTGTCCATATGAAATTTTCTAAAAGTCTTTCTAGAAAATTCGCAATTTATTTAGTGTCGTATCACTAGTTGAATAGTGTAAACTCGATATATAAATGATCAAACAATCTCACAAGATTTAGTGATTAATGAGATTATATCAGTATAAGGTTATGGAGATTATCGAGTTTTGGTTGAGATTGTGAATTGATCATTGTTAAACCACCATTGAAGACTTGATAGAAATGAATGGCCGTTCCATCCTAGTATGCGGCTGAACAGTGCACATCCACGACCTCGTATGTAGGGTTCGAGCATAGGACGTTCGGTCTTGCAAGAGAATGCCTAACCTCTAGACTTCTGGGTCGTAATCAAACGATGTTATTTTCTAAATTCAACCAATCCACGATATTGTGCGACCATTTTTCAGTGTCTTCGGTGGGTAGTCGCCTCGCACTCGACACGGATTAATACAATTAGTCACGGACATTCTAGTCTTATTCTGATCTGTTAACTGCTTCAGTAAAGTCTAAAATGTATGTACCTTACAAAATGAAAACTACTTACTTAAGGGTGATGTATACGATAAGTTTAAACTAGTTACCACATGAGATCTTCGTTCATAGACTCATTTCTGAAACAACATTACTAATGAGACCTCCTTTCTAAATTCCTTGAAAAGAAATGTTGATTTACTTTATGAGAGACTAGGAATGCTTAATCTAAAGTAAACCTCTGTAACAACACTTAAGCAAATCATCATGTCCACAATAAAACCCTTTCTATAATCTTCATATTTGTTCTACTCCAATTACCAACCACTCCTTTAAATGATTCGGTGTTTAATAATTGTGATTATTTAACTATTAACATTAATTTATCATTTATAACAACCTTCTGTTTTCATATACTATCGGTTTTTCTCCTAGAATATTCTCTTATCGAATGATCGACAGAATCCCTATATATTAACTTATTGTAATGAAATTACTTCTATGTGATCCATATCCTCGATCCAATCTATTCTTTGGAAACAATATAAATAAAGTATTTACACTAGTTAATCGAATAATGATCACTTTTCAGTTGAATAAGTAGTAGCAAGTCTATGAAACAAAGGAATTCATACAATTCCACCATGACTGTTGCATTCGATAGATTTAAATTTTGTAGAATGAAGGGTTGTGCAGATTGTAGTAATTTTAAATAGTTGGATTCATGAATCGATTTAAGCTAGACCACTATTCATCCCCAGTGCTCTAGAGGTTAAGCGTTAGCGTGCGAAAATGAAGGTTCTGGGTTCGAGCTTTGTATTCGAGATTACGAATGCGTACTGCTGAGGAGTTTTATACTAGGATGAAACGGCCATCCAATGCTTCCAGGTTTTCATTTGTGGTTTAGTCTAAATGGAATCGTGAATTCAAATATTAAATATTTACGTTAAAAAGTTCAGAATGTTTATTTAGTTCTACTAATAAACTCATCGATGAACATCATGAACATACCTGTAGTTGTTGCTAATATCATCAAAATAAAAGTAAATTATAATAACACTAACGATATTTCATTCCTTTAAATTCGATTTTTATATTCTTGTTTCTTCGACTATGATAAAACTTGTACAACCTTTTATTCCTTTTAATAAACAACTAGTTCTATGGCTTACTATTGTACATAATCTGTGTTTCATACTAATTAACTACCAAATAATAAAATGTGTCTATAATATTGAGAGAACTAATAATCTCTGTCATTTTTGAATACTTATCACCCAATGTTACTAGTCAGAGACATTATCACTATACTATTCTAGTTTCAAGTATCTACTTACTGGATTAAATAATAACTGTTTTCATCTTTATATTATATTAGGTAGCGACTATTTGAAGTAAGCTTTAGAAAATTATAATTGTCTAATACTGTACACTAGGATCACTTAGTTTACTAAATTGAAATTTTTTATAGGCGAATAAAATAACTAAGCAAAGATGGATAGTGGCTAGCAGTGGAATCCAGGAGGCGCATTTCATCCTATTTTAGATTCGTCAGCTGACATATGCCACATATGCCAATAAGAGAGTGATCAATTGCAGTTTTTAAAAAAACAGTGGGAAGGTACAAGTAAACAATACCAAGTGAATTTAAAACTGTACCCCATTACACAAGCAAGTGCCTATCAGGTCTCAGTAATTAAGTGGATAACGCGATGGTGTTTGGAGCAAACGGTACTGGGTTTGAGTTGGGGAGTGAACATCAAATCTGAGATACAGGTACATTCAGTTAACTAATCTCAATGAGGATGAAACGCGCATCCCAGATTCCACTGTTAACCACTATCTATCTTTGCTCAGAGGGCTTGTGAAATGAGGCAATATCAAGGCGATACGTACAGTATGCCCATATGCCAATAAGTGACTGATCATTTGCAGTCCTATACGCCAATGTGAAGATTTAAGCAAACAATATAACTGTTTGAAAATTCCAGAATATTTTCATTAAATAATGTAGGTCAAAATCAAAATTTGATTTAATCACTTTACACAATTACAAACCTACTACTGATTTGATTTTTCATCAAAATAGTACAAATTAAGTCATATTCTAAGTGTATTAAATGTTTAAGATTCTATTTTCAATATATTTCTGTATTTCATACTTTTCTTAAATAGAAATAGTTTGTTATAAATACGAATACATGACACCCTATTCTAAGATGATCTGTTTGAATATCTGGGTTACCTGTTCCTGTCATCTAGATATTTCAACAAATTATCTGTCTTTTATTTCTTTCACTAGATCATTATATCAACTAATTGCACAACCAATTCACGTCCGTTCGTGAAAAGTTCACGACTTTTCGCTGTACAAGTTAGAAAAGAGCACAATCAAAGACATTATGGTTGCTGGCTATATACATCGAAAAGAATTTACATTATTCAGATATCGATTTCTGAACTGATAACTATCCAATTGGCGATCACTCAATATTTATCGTCAGGATCGATCAAGAAACAAGAAACGGAAACTTGTTGAAATACTTCGCTCTGAGAATTCTATATTGTACCAAAAATATAATATTGAATAAAGCCATTATTAATAATTTCACAAGTTGAAATCATGAGTCAGTTGAAGCTAGACCACTATGGAAAACCTAGAAGTACTGGATGGCCGTTTCGTCCTGATATCGGACTCCTCAGCTGTGCGCATCCACGACCCCGCACCACGCGAGATTCGAACCCAGGACCTACTGGTTTTGCGCGCGAGCACTTAACCATTAGAGCACTGCTGAGGAGTCTCATACCAGTACGAAACAGCCGTCTAGTGCTTCCAGGTTTTCCACAGTGGCTTAGCTTCAATTGACTCATGATTTCAACTTGTAAAATTTCTAAAAATCTCCACAAAACCCATTCTGATATCAATAATAATAATAATAAAGGACAAAGCTATGGAATGTAAAAATCGGCAACATACTTGTTTGCGTTGAGACTACTAATCAGTTTAATTACATAATTATTGTTAAAAGAAGTTTATATAATGGTAATTATATTTTAACAATTACAGCTGAAGAAAACATTTTTTGTTATAACTTGTAACCTTGTGTCCCATTAACATATAACGTAATGATACCACCAATTAGAGAACAATGATTTATCGACTGGACAAACGGTGCATAAACACATACGAGCAGTCCACACTATTTATCGCTCGCTCCTACTTCCTGCCTAGCCCTACCTATTGGGTCTAGAACACCAATCTCAACTTCCACGATATGATTCATGTATTTCAAACATACCGTGTTCATATACAAACCAAACAGACCACATCGCACAACAAAATGGAAAACAACATTTGTACAAGATCTAATCAAAAGTGGCTCTGAATGTGGGAGACTGTAATTAATAGAGTGGGCTTAGCTCAAGAACGATAAATCGTATAATAATAGATTATAAGTCAAAGTAAATCTTGTAATAAGAAGAACATAGATGTACATAGTCTAGCTGTTAAATAGTTATACATTCAGAATATACGTATAATATTTGTGCATAAATAGTCGTCAGAAGTTACCATTCATAATTCTCGTCGGGATATATCACCTTTTCCTTATATATTTTAACCAATTGTATAAATGTGCTCCTGATGTACTCTTAAGTAATCAGTATAATTTATAGTTCCTTTTGTGAACAAATAAATAAATCTTCGTTCTAGGCAAAGGGACATGATATGCCATTATAATCTGTGATAAATGTTCTGTCGTTTACAAGAAGCAGTTACAAATGGAAAGTATATTAACAATTTTATTTATTTATTCAGTAAATAAGAAGACATACGTCCTGTGTTTTCTGCATCCAAGAAAATAAAATACATCAATTTCATTATTATAATATAAACTCCAACTCTTTCAAACTGAAAGAAAAGATTTATATATGTTATTTTCGTTGTTTATATCATTGACTGGTCTTAGTTAAACAACCATTGAGAATCAGTAGGTTTTCGACGGCTGTTTTGTTATGGTGTGGGACTCCTCAGAGGTACTTATCTACGACTTCATCACAGATAGAACCCATGGCCTTTAGGTCTTGCTAAGACAACTGAATCTCAAGACCACTGAGTCAGCATTCAATTGTATATATGTCTAGGTCGGGTCAGTTCACAATATTTCACGGCCGTCATCCACTGCTGAAGGTGAATACCTATCGCACATCCGATATGCTTGAACTCCACTAGTCACATCTTTACATTTGAACTCCTGGAATTACAACTAGAAGTTAATCACTAGTGAGTAGATGATTATAATTAATTTTTTTGTGGAGGCTGTAGAGTTTTCATAGTTGACATCACTGATCTTTGTTAAACAACCATTGTATGAATATATTTAAATCGTTGCTTTGTTGAGACCCCAAAGTAATTTTATGAATACGGAAGAAAATTTGTTAAGTTTCCTTGTATAATGTTCATATGCACCGAAAAGCAAGACGACTATGTACACCTGAATGAAATGCATATTTCGACTATTAGTATACATTTAACTGATTGATATGATCTCCATATTCCTTGAATGAGAATTTTACTTTTTCAATAGACTCAAGTAGTCATCAAGTAAAAAAGCCAATCAGATTATCAGTTTCATCATCAAAATATGGAATGTAGAAGTACATAGTCTGTTCAGTAGTTATGAGAAATGAGGTTACTTTTTGATTGAGATCTTGAACCGATTGATGTTAGACCACCATTGAAAACCTGGAAGCACTGGACGGCCGTTTCGTCCTATCGTTGAACTCCTCGGAGGTGCGCATCCATTATTCCGCTCGGGGGACTCGAACCCAGGGTCTTTAGTCTCGAGCTCAACCTACTAGACCACTGAGCCGGTATCCAACGGTGTTAATGTCTGACCTTAACCTTATCTGATGAAAACGTTGATGTAAATCAATCTTCTCTTCCCTGAAATATTCCTGATTAATGACAATACAGTTCTCCCAGTACTTAGAAAGTTAAACTGTTAACCACATCATCAGCTTATGGTCAACTATCAGCAAATCTGAGACGATTTTTGCAAATAATTTTCTCATTTGTATTTGTTTTACTAGAATGGTATACAAGAACGATCTTACCAAATACAGTTCATAAGTAATCATACGGAAAAAAGCAGTCATTTAAGAATAGTAGAGAGTCAACATGTTTGATCTCTCCATTTTTATACGAAGTAAACGGGCGTCCTGACATTTAATCACTGGCAGGGTCTACAGGGCCTATACAATTTAATCCAACCTTCGGAAAGATAAATTATTTTAATCCTTCAAGTTATTCTGTCACCCATATATTTGCCCTGTCAACTACTCACGTGTAACCTTGACCATGTTATGTATATTTTTAATGATAATGTGTTTGTTATATCCGAGTGGAGATTAAATTACAGGTAACTTCCGAGGACTATTCATGGACTAATATTCTATATATATTCTTATTGTATAACTACTCAACAATTACACTATGTATATTTATATCCCTCTTATGACAAGCTTTATTTTGGCCTATAATTTATTATTGTACGATTTACGGTTCTTAAGTTATGTTCAGTTTATTAACTACTGCCTCCCACATTCACAGCCACTTTTTGGGCTTATTTGTGTACAAATATTATTTCCTATTTTATGGTACGTTGCGGTCTGTGTGATTGATATATAAACCAAGTATGCCTGAAATAAACGATCTGCTCTGATTCGGAAGCTGGTATCTTGTTCTGGACTCATGTGGAAGGGCTCGTAGGACATAGGACCAATAAGGACGCTAAACTGCCCACACCGGTTGAACGTCATTGGTTGGCCTAGTGTGAAGATTCGTATAAGTCGTAGTCGGATTGGTAGATAAGTCGTGTGATCGAAAAGTCAGGCATCCAAGGTCATAACAGTGTTCCTATCCACTTCTTGTATTTCTTGCAATAAATTATATAAACTGAATTATTTTATTATTCAGTGTATTATTATACTCCAGTATTCTATACAATCTCTCCATCTTCTGTTGCTTGTCTACCATTTAACATAAGCATGTCTGAAATATACGAATCTTAAATATAATTTGTATCCAACTTTCAATATACCGTTGTTCTAAACCTGTTAACCCGATAGAACATTCACCAAAGTTAAGTAGGATATGTATCTTATTATCAAATTTATTTGATCACACTGAACTGGCTGAACGGCCACTTAACCTTCATTGATATATCAGTACAGGGATTCGTTGAGATGGTAGTATTTTCACTGTAGAAATCACAAGTCAATCTAAGCTAGACTATCATTGAGAATCTAGAAGGAGTCCCATACTCAGACGAAAGGCCTGTTCAAAGAGTTATTAATTTGTGTTCATAATTCAATTTGCGAATTTGTTGGGATGATTATCCACAATCTGTCATACAGGTTGAAAGTAGTCATCTATTTGTTATATGATAATTGATAAAATATGAAACGTTTTGTATATTGGCTTTTAGGTTTCATTAGAATGAATATAATTCTAATATAAATAAATTTCCCTAATTATAATTAACTATATGAACTCATGATCAGTTTGTACAAACGTATAACCGTCGAAAAATGAATCTCTTGTCTCGTTAATTCAAAACTAACATATGGATATGAATAAATTCTCTTCATCTGGCATGTTAGTCTGTTGTGTTAATGAATGGATATGTAAACCAAGTGTAATCACGATGAATAATAAACTTTGAATACCGCGCTTTTCAATTTGTTGGCAGAATTAAAATACAACCAATGTTAACATTCTACTAACTAATATTTAGTAGGTCAGTTCCGAGACACTTTTTAAATTATTTTATTTCACTGACTGAAATCATGAGTCAATTGAAGCTAGACCACCATGGAAAACCTGGGAGCACTGGACGGCCGTTTCGTCCTAGTATGGAACTCCTCAGCAATGGGCATCCACGATCCCGCACCCCGCGAGATTCGAACTTAGATTCAATTGACTCATGGTTTTAATCAGTGAAATTTCTAAAAATCTTTACAAAACCCCTATTGTTATTTTATATTTCTTTTTAATGCACACTCAATTCATATCTGAACAAATGATTATTAAGTTATTTATGATTCGTTCTTTAGTTTTTTACAAAATCTATTAGTTAACAAAATACGCTCACTGATAATTTGGAGTCGCCTTTGGTTAGTAACGAAAAATTTTGTTCGATCAATAGAAATAACCCCATCCCATACTACCTGTCCCAAGCCCAGATAAAGGAGGAGGGTTGGGCATAGGGTTAGTGACCCCATCCCGTAGAACACTAACTAGCTAAAAAAACGCTAACCAGAAAAATCATCATTTTTCACCATTGAAAGGATAATATGATGTCACGCACAATTTTTTTCTGATTGGTAGAACGTAATAGTTATGTAAACCACATTCTATTAATCATATGGGTCAATGAATGATATTTGACTCAAATATTAAAGCGTAAGAAGCTTGTGAAAATTTTTGAATTTCATAGTTTACATCACGTAATGATTATAGTCTGATAACCGCTGAATTTTACGAAGCACTAAACAGTTGTTTCATCTTAGTATAAATCCCCTCAATGGTGTGCATCCACAACTGTACCCAGGATCTAATCCACGATTTCCAGGTCTTTTGTGAAACACTTAACCTATAGACCATTAAGTCAAAATCGAATAGTTTACTTATCTCACTTTGATCAGTTGCATAATAAGATGTAACAGCTGTTGAGTGCATTGTAGTTTACAATCATTAGTTTGTGTTGTATGCTAAGAAGCAGAATGTTTTGATTTAGTAATAAAATACTTAATATATCAAAAATCAACTATTCAATTGATTGCTTACGTCTTCGACCAACTGATATCATTAATAACACAATAATTAAACAATAAAGTAAACAGTTTAGTTCAATAGTTTATATAATGTTAATTGTAATGAATACGAATCATCAAGAGATAACCGAAAAAGTAATTTCTTAAACTGTGGTTCACATAGATTAACTCCTTAAGAGGAATAAACATGTAAAGGGCAGATAGGTATTCTTTTGATAAGTTATTCAACACGGTTTTTATTGATAACTCTTTTACGTAAATAAAAGAAAAACGTTTCCATTGATAAATGATTGTTGCTTTTACACAGATACATATTATTTTATTGGTAAGTACTCCAATCTTTTCGTTAGAGATGGTAAAGATTAGGTATTGATCAGTTTCTTTTGGTAGTTATTCATCCTGAGCTTAACCTCTTAATATTTGTACTTAGTTACAGATACTTCAATAATGATGAATAGTAGTAACCAGTGAAATGTAGGACAAACATTTCATTCATTTTATTTGGAACACGTCAGCTGAATGTACCCGGATCCCTGAAGTATACTCAGCCGATTAGTTTCAATCAGGAAAAAATACACGATCTAGATTCCACTGATAGATAGTGTCTATATCTACCTAAATTACTGTTGAACTTTATGTCACATAGCTACCATTATTATCTTGAAGACAGTAAATACAAAGATTTTAACAAATTTCATTTCATTTCGCTGATTTCTCATCATCTGTTGCTTACAGATGGTACTATTTTAAAATCATAGTTATTCTACAAAGTTAACATACATAGTTACAAGTGAAATCAGTTAAAATTCATTACCTATAATTATGGTGAAGCGAAGATTCAAATATACTTGATATAACATCCAAGAGAAAATTCTAGAATACCAAGATGGCAACTAACAATCATCGAGCTAAATATTTATTGATTACTTAATGAAAAAGCTGATTAAGCTCAACTCATATTATTTTAAATTACCCTTATCTTTACTCCATCACGATGTTTACATATTTAGTTTTAAACAACTTCACTTGTATGTTAACTTCCATGTACAATTTTGAATTTTTCTTTCAAACCGTTGGTTGTAAGCAGCATTTAATGAGAACCTAACAAAGTGAACTAGATTTATGTGGATCGACTTCAATTTTGTATTCTTTCTCTCTTCAAGTTCATTTTTGTTTCTAAATAGATGTATTATAATGAATTGACAGATATCAGTTTCTGAGTACAAAACTCTCAGATATCTTTATTTCTCCATCTATCGGATTTTTAAAAAAAGGTATTATGGTTTGTGCTACTGATGTCAACAGATATAAGTAGTATGTATTATTAGTTGAAAGTGAAATGTCTGGCAACGGAAAGTTAGGAAGATCACAGTAACGAGAACGAGAACAGAGAGTGATTGGTTTGGTAACGAAGGAACAGTCAATTCTAAGACGATTGATTAACATTTTTTTCAAATGAAGATTTTACTGTATAGTTCTCAGATTTTACTAATCGATTCTGTAATTTCATGTTCAGCTACATTCAATTGTCCTCACTTGTATTCTCGTTCACTACAGTATGGCCAAATAGATAAGTTGTCAAAAAGTGTAAATTACCATTACAGACACTTCTATGGTTAAAATAATTTGTAAAACGCAAGTAAACATGAAACTCCAAACAATCCACACGTAACTTACATTTATCTGTAAACATTAAATTCACAATGCATGATCTCATTATAAAGAGATGAATCAAAATGATGATTTCATTTTCATTTTATAGGATATATGAAATTGTAATCGATCATTTCTGAATAGTGACGATTCATGTTCTAAGAATATTCATCTTCTTTATACTACAATGCCGATAATAAGTTTTCATTATATAACTGATGAATTTCATTTACAAAACAACCCAGATACATTACAATTTCATGACATCACCACGTGAACTTGATGTCATCTTGTCTATTATGTAAACAACTGACATAATATTGTTGAGTAGGCTAGTATTTACATGAAGTGGTTATTAACAGAGGGTTAACAACAAAATTGAAGATTGTTACAAAACGTACAAAGTCAAAGATGTATTCATTGTATGAAATCCAAGTAGATGAAATCAAATCTTAAACAGGACTAGGGAAGTATGAACTGTGGAAGGAAAGTTTTTCATCTACAAAGATGGTGTGTCTACAAAAAAGTTACAAAGAAGTTGGCTAACTAATTTATCAATCCCTTTATGTATTGTAATTGTTAAGAATATTGAGTACTGTTTAGTGATCTCATTGTTGGTCGTCAATTCTTAAGAACAACTCTAAATTTCATATAAATACATACTCATTTTCATTGTTGATTCGATTGACCATAACACTTCTGCGTTTGCTTTGTTCTCTAGATTATCAAGTGTTGAGTGGAAAGTTATTGAAAGTATAATGATAAATTGGTGGTGAGTACTTCCATGTGGTTACTGTTGTTTATGAGAACTGCTCATCTGGGCTTTTACGTTACACTTACAATAACCCAAAAGATAAATCATTAGGTAGTTTTAATTGTAATATTATTAAAAACAAACATAAATAGCTTACTCACATGAGGCTAAATATAATAACAGTGATAATAGAACTAATTAATGACAAATCGATTAGTTACGACTGACATATATAAATTGTGTGCAGATTTCTTTGATGTATTTGGCAGCTGAAAGTGATAGATAAATGGTTGGACTCTCAAAAGGAATATAATCATCCGAAAAATACAGCATACTTGCAAGACGTCAAGATAATTGAAACTAATTATTATCATTTCTCATTTCACATTGGATACCAAAATAATGACGTTGATGAATTTGGAAGGTGTTTTCAATATTATCACCACTGGTGAAATTATACTCAAAATTTTTTATTACACTTATGAGTTTCCTTAGATAATAAATCATATTTTCCTAATATCTTGCAACGACTTGCATTAGAGACAACCAATGAAGAAAAGTAATAATGATTTGAAGGAAAAGTATATTTGACGGTGTTTAAAGGTACAGAAATAGTAGACTTTTAAATGAATCATCTAGAGGAGAATAAGCGTTTCATACCATACAATACCGTGATCTGATGGTATTACGTGATTGAGTGAAATCATGTAGTTACTATTCATTAAAACTAGCATGATTAGAATCAATATTGAATGAATACAATACTATTTATTATTGAATGTAAATGAACTTATTTCATTAACTATATACACGTTAACTTACCTTTAATTGATGTAATCCCTGTTTGAATAATTAAAATTACATACCATAATAAAAACATGAATTGAGACATCTATATGAAATTTTGTTAATCAAAAGTAATAATCATACAGTTTTATAATAAGTTCACACCCTAAATGAGAATGCAGTGGTTTTTACAATACGGCAGAACTTAAAAGAAAATAACCAATAAACAATAAATAGAATGATTGTTTAAATAAAGATGTATGAAATATGACAGTACACATACTATTGATTGATTTAACTATTTTTTTTAAAATAACTTACTTAAGCCTGTTACTCCCAGTGTAGCATAGGCTGCCGACCAACATTCTCCAACCCACTCTATCCTGGACCTTCTTTTCCATTTCTATCCAATTGTTGTTTATCCTTCTCATGTCTGTCTCCATCTCTCGGCGTAATGAGTTCTTTGATCTTCCCCTTTTTCTTTGGCCTTGAGGATTCCATGTGAGGGCTTGCCTTGTGATGTAATTGGGTTCTTCCCTCAATGTGTGTCCTATTCACTTCCAGAGCTTCTTCGTCTTGATTTCTTCCTATGCTGAGATTCCAGAAATAAAATTTGTCTTATTTACTGTATATAGTGGAAGCGTTGTAAAATTATCAAGAATCTTATTTTTGCAAAATATCAACTTTATTATATGCAATTTATCTTTAACATTTTGATTGAAAGTTATCTTGATAAAGAATAAATTTTCCTAAAATGTTAAAACCTTTGAGAAATTTCTGTTATGAAATATTCGAAACATTTTCTGTTGATTCACTGGGTATTGTTTACTTGAATATTAAAATTGATGATTAGGACTGCAATTGATCAGTCTCTTATTGGCATATGTGCAAACTGTGAGTAATGCCTCGATACTGCCTTAATCCACACGCATTATAGGCAAAGATGGATGGTGGTTAGCAGTGGAATCCAGGACGTACTTGTGACATTAGGCGATATCGAGGCAGTACTCACAGGGTACACATATACTATACTATCTTTATGCTTTCTAAATTGACTAATAATTTGAACCGTTTCTACCATTTTCAACTAAGCCCATCATAGTAGTTATTATTACACTAATTTGGGTTCCAAAAATGGAGTTTAGCGTCAGTAAGTCAACAAAGTCACTGTATTAAGACATACTCCATTGTTATAATGACTAAATTGGCATGCAGTTGTTAGTCAAGCAAACGTTCAAATAAAACACTTGAGTCTACTACTAAAACTAACACTAAGTGTAGGAATATTTCTGGAATGAAACTCGTAATATAATCGGGCAACTCAGATTTTTTTATGCTACAAACTAATAGTAATTCCGAAACCCACAAAACAACAATGACTATTTCCTACTGACTAATCCTCAACCAACATTATTACCAGTTTTTATAAATGTTTCTGGATACCGTCATTAAACATTGCCATTTCTTGACGATAATGTAATACGACTGATAAAATTGAGTAAACTATTAGCAAACTCGGTCGACAAATTAATCTACAATTGTTACTAAATAATGTTTTCTCGTGGTTATCGTGTAGTGGCATCAGACCCTAACCACACGACCTTTGAAGCCGAGCATATAATTATTGAAGAGATTTATATTCGACGAATGACACGAAATTTTAATAACAGAGGACGCAGGAACATTCATTCATTCCATCAGATGTCATGGCTTAGCCTCGCACACGTGGTTATTCTGTATAACTTGTCCTTACTCACATTGAATATATCATTTCATCTTTAGCTTTGTTGTATTCTTTGGAAACTATGGACACTATGTTGCTGATTGTTACAATACGACGAGTCAGAATAGACAATGATGTAACTTCCACGTTAAATCTTATGAATCAGGCAGTCACATCATGACATATCTATAATTTCAGGGTTAGGTCCATCATCATAATGATAATAACAAAGTGGAACATAATTCTACAATCTCTATCTATTATAGATTATTTCAGCATGTTTTTCTACCACTTGTTCATTTAGAAAACATCTCTAAACCTTGTCAGTCTAATTGAAGGTTTAGCGTTACGATCATGCACGCAGATCATCAGTATAAGCAGTTGAGCGAATATCCTGCAAACTGAAAACACTGTCGAATTTACCGCAACAGTGACCAAGGTTCATGCCATTATCATAGACATGGGTTTGGAACTGTATTCTTCTTGGTTACAACTTATTCTCTCCCTGATAATCGCATGAACAGCATCCACTGTTTGTAATCTCGTAAACATCTGTTTAACCGTACAACACCATGTCACCTAAATTTGTGGCACAACGGCTTTATCGATTTCAACATCTTATATAACTCAAGTTCATATAAATTGATCTTTATATTATCTCAAACTCGATACCTTCAACACATATGTATACAGCGTCGACCAGCATTCAATTCATTCTAACTACATTTTAGTATGAACGTTGACTGACTTTATAATTTTGAGCAAAGATAATGCAAATATGTTTGTGTACACAAAATACTGATACGGTCCATATATTAGTCTTTCAGTCAACGGTGACTGCTATGCATCTTAATGCGACTTGTTAAAATATCTCCGCTAAATCATTCTCCATTGTTATAATCCTGCTTTACTCGACGTATAAGTAATGTTCATATGGATTCTCATTTTAAGCGTGTTAAGCATTCAATCAAACATTTCGGAATTATTATGTGTTTCCCGATCATTTACTGCCAACATCTTTTTGATTTGTCTTTCTGTCTACCAATGTCCTCTTCTCTTGGTAACCTCCAAAGCGCGACAATCTCACCCGACTTGGTATTAAACCAACGTAAAGTTGGGAGAGTGATGTAGTGGCACTGGTTCCTAACTACACGATTTTTGAAGCTAAACACAGAATTACTGGATAGATTTATGTCCAACTTATAATAGTGGAAGCGGGAACATTCCATTCATTAAGTCGGATGGCATAGCACAGCCTCATAGACATGGTCGTTCTGCATAGCTTGTCGTTAATCACATTAAATATATTATTCTATCTTGATGGCAAACATATTCATCAAAAGCATTAGATGTTAAATTGCTGATTCTTACGATACGGCGAGTCAGCGCAAGATCTAAAAGATTAAGTGGTCATACCACGACGAACCTACAATTTTAGGATTTGGTGTATCGGAGTAAGACTAAAACCGAGCTAAGCCATAATTCCACAAATATATGAAATCGAGTTATAACACAAGCAGTGTCATAGGTATTCCGAGTTTGACAACGCCTTTATACGTAACATTTCTATAATTGAAGGATGCCAGCTCATTTAAATCAGAACTCGGAAATGAAGTGGTCGGAACATATATTTAAAAGACTATCGTGGAGCAGTTGATTTCAGATGGCTAACTGTTGCAAGGTATGCGTAGTAGGTGTGCCCACTTGTGATCTGGTGTGGATACGTGACCAAACACCTTCAACTAGATGTGACCGTTAAAATTAACCAGTCAGCGTCAAATGTTGAAGACTTACAAAACCATTTATTTTGGGGATTTATTTACTGCTACAACACTGTGAAACAGTTGACGTTGGTAACGGAAAGCATCAGAACAAGAAAGACTATCAATAATAACAATACACAGATCTATCCTTGAACAGGTGTGAGGTCATTTTTAGATGAAGTTCAAAAGTATCGGGCATAGCTTTATGTGGTAATTCAATGAAACGCAAAGATAGAGTAGATGGGTCATGTGATTCTTGCAGAATTTTTGAAAATATCGCAAAAAAAGTTGAATCATTTAAAGGTTAATACAGGAATTTTAAGAAACGAAGAAGTGCTTGTCTAGAACTATAAATTAAAGAATGGCGTAATAGCTGAACAAAATTATAAGGGTTTACAGAATATTAGATTTCATTCCAGTGTGCCATATGAAATGTTGCATATCGTCTTTGTTATAAATAAAATTCTCGAGCTGTAGGACCCCTTCTTAGAACGATTTCACAATAATGCTGTGAAAATTGCTGACAAATGAACTTTTGGTATTGATTGATATTCGCGCGAAATAGAAGGTTTGCGGTGTAACACGCATAAAAATGAGCAAACAGTTTGCAGAAGGATATTCCTCACTGCGTGAAGATGTTAAAACTTTCATCGTAAATTTACATATCCACATTAAAGAGCAAAATGTCGTGGAGATTGAAAATGACACTCAAGTTAAGTGAGTTACAATTAATTGATAAATAAAATATAGGTTTCCCAAACTAACGGAGCAGTATTTCATGACTACCAGATGGCCAAGCGTAGATATCATTAAACAAATTGTTGACGGTAATATCATTTTTTTCTTGCTCAACGTTTACAGACCCACTTTTTCTCATGCTGTATAACGAACTCTATTATCGACACATGTATGCTCACGTGAGCACCGGTTTAACAGTTGAAGATAGAATTCAGTCATATTTAAACTATACTAGTTTATTTAACGCACTTTTAGGTAAGTGAGACTTTATCCGCCAGTAATTTAAAGACTTTGAAATTGCACTAAATATTACTAGTTATGGATCGGTGTCAACAACTGAACATAGCGTTGTACATATGCCTATATATCAGGAGCAGAAGTGGCTTGAGGTTATCTAAAATACATTAAGCTCTGTCAAGATTTTGACATAATCATGCTAGGTTGGATATACACTTCTGTAACACTAAATTAGGGCGATACTATGATTTATGGACGAACCACTCCGATATAAGATAACGAGTCACAAATTTTGGCGCGAAATTCGTCCTCACATTCGGCTAAATAGAGTTTTGGCATTATAGCTGACGTCAGTTCGTGTTGAAAACCGTAATTCTAGTCTTTAGCCCTAACTATTAACTGTAAATGAGAATTCCAATTGCTCTATAATCCTCATTTACTCCTTATCAGTAGGTGTCCCCTCTCAAGACCACTTCAGCGTCACTCTGAGGTCGTCCAAAAATTATAGTTTCACCCTAATTAGCATTAGGTCGTATTAATCCTACCCAACATCAGAGCTTACAATTTCCGAAAAATCTGTTCTGTGTTCTGCCGTCATTCCCCAAAAGATAGCTAACACCATGATTATATCGAGGAAGTGATGCTTCTGTCATATCAAATAGTTATATCGATGAATTAGATAAACTTCGCTCGTGTCACATTGGCCTTCATACTTTTCATGATAGAGAAGTAGCCTGTTTGTACAGTTGCACAGCAAACGTAAAAGCAAAACTACTGCGTTGGCGTTCTGTTAAGAAGCAATGACTTGAAAATCACCAGTATTTGAAGTTTAGATATAAAGTGACCTCATGATTCATTATAAAGCTAATGACTGTATCCCTTATCTAGTTAAATATACCTCTAATATTGGTTTTTTTTCCATATAACGGAGCGGCACTAGTAGTGGATGGGGTAAATCCATTAAATATCAGAATGAACACTCAATACACTAGATACTTGCCTGCGTGTATACGACTTAACATTTGAAAAACATTATATACGATAATTTGTTGACACAAATTACAAGCAGTCAATACAGTTAAGTCCAGAGTAGGTCATTCTTTTAGTGCCATAGTACTTTAAATTATCCCTTTTAATACTCCTATTGCTATTGTGATAACGCTTTTCATCGTTGTGTTTTTTGAACCATTGATATCTAGTGTTGTGACACACTTATTGACTGTCCATGATTATTAAATTAATCATCAAGCGTTTTCGTCCTATTGGTTTTATTTCGGTATTAATGATTATTTATCTATCTGTAGTTGAAAGTTCTTCAATAATATAGGCAAATGGTCTCCTGTATGTAACGACTCGAGTCAAATTTATTGCACACTGGAACTTGAAAAAAAATGAAATTTTTGGGTGAGATGTCCCTATTAGTAAATTGTAATAGACAAACCAAACCATTATACCAGAGTAGTAGTAATTAGTAAAACCCTCTACTTTGTATATCAAGGAAATGGCATTTAGCTCATATGTGTTTTCCGGAGGAGTTCCGTTGATATTGATCTATCAATGTTTTTTCATACTACCAACGCAATTTTTATTCAACTTACCAATAGTAAGTTTTTATACCAAACACCCCGATTGACTACTTGTATGATTGACATCAAAAGGTAGGATTTTGTATGACTGGAAGTGTAAAGAAGGCAGCATAGATCGTATGACCTGATATTCCCCTTTTGTACTCGTAACTGTTCTTGTTTCTCTGTATACGACAAATGTGTTTTCGGTAGTTGGTGAATCTCAGCTTGTCTTTTTGGTTCATATGAATATACATTATAATATTTCATTACAGTTGCTGCGCAACCAGTTAATTTGGTTCTCCCTAATCAGTGGTTGTGGGATATAATAGACGAGTTTCTTTACCAGTTTCAAAAGTTCTGCAGTTTCCGCAGTCGGTTAAAACTCAAGCCTGAAGATGAAGCTCAACTTTTAAAGAATCCAAAAATATGGAGCATACATAGCGTTTTGAATGTTCTATACTCTTTAGTTGCCAAGTCAAACATCAATGAGCTACTAAGCTATTATGCTAAGCAAGGTTAGTTACATTTTTCTGTACGTTTCTACCAGACCGAAACGCTTATTTTTTCGTAAAACTTATGTGGACTTCGTATTGTTTAGGGTTTTTCTTGTGATTCCTAAGGGACTTCATCATCATAATTTCGCTGCTGAAAGCGAGTATTTATTTGCAGTGAACAGGCTCTTGAAACTAAGCGAAATATCAATGGGTGGTTAAATCCCATTAAATATACTACGTAATCAGAAGCTAAAATATGTTAGAAGCCTAAATTGTTTAGACTTCACCAAGATACAATATTGAGAAGCGGAAAAGTATTTGTCGATACAATCCAGTCACTCTGTAAATCCCTTTCTCTGACATTTGAATAGATATGATGCACAAGAATTCAAGTTTGATTGATAGTTAAATCTTAATTCTGTGGGTTGGTTAGTGGTTATTAGTCAATCTAGAATGCAACTAGTTCTATCTTTTTCAGCCATATTTATATTTTAAAGTCTTGTCTTTCAGTATTTTATCTAGCTACTTTCTGTTTAAAATATAGTTTTTATTATTTATCGTTATATAATATTCCTACGTTATAACATGTAAACAGCTTACGTCATTGATGCCTAACCGTAAAATGTACTATAACCCTATGAAAAACTATTGCGCCAAGTATGACGTTCTTGTTGAGAGCCCCCAAGAGTTTCTCGATAGCCTCTAGATGTTGGAAAAAGACAAAAATCATCTCGCCCAATTAGTATCAAATAAAAAATATCTAGAAAAACTAAGAATTGTGTGTTGCAATTTGATTGAAAAACTGCTTATTTTACTATAAAATTTAGGGCGTTTCTTCAAGCTTATAAGAGGTAAAGGCAACCTGTAAACCTATAAAGATGCTCATTTTCTTTACATAGGTGAACCTTAAAGTAAAGCTTCCATTCTTCACGCATTTCCTCTACTATTTGAAGTCCAATTGTAAGAAGTTAATGTCAAGCGTCCGAGCAACACATATCATTTCTGTACACTGTTTTTGTTGTTTGTTTTAAATTTAAGGCGATCCGGATGACATTGCAGATGATTTTGGTCGTTGCGTACTCTACAAAATGCTCGGGTTCTTCAGTCTTATTGGACTTTGTCGATTACATTGTTTACTAGGTGATTATTATACAGCTATTAAAGTTTTGGAAAATATTAAATTCAATCGTCTTGTAAGTTCTCTTTTCTCAATTACTATTGTCATAAATTCCAACTTCTGTATCCGCACCCATCAATAGAATTACTGATTTGAGTCCATTAATAAGAATATCTGCCTTACTCTTAATATTCCCAACCACCACTTTACCCCTATAAAATCAATATCACCGCCAATAACGACTGCATATCTCGATTCCCATTGGTCCACACAGCTCTAGTTTTTATCCTAAATTGCAAGTGAGAACACGAAAATAGCCAGCCGAATTATTCTCAAAATTTATCTTTTTTCTACTCATTGTATTACTGTGTGACTCAAAAACTCATGATTAGTTAAATCAATTACAGGACCACAATGCATCGTAAGTAATAAATTACAATATTTACCTGATTAAGTCATTTGTAGTACAAAACTGAGTGAAAGGTATATTATTAATTAACTGTAAACTATGAACAGTTAACGATATGTGACTTTACTTATAATTATTTCAGTATAAAAATATTACTGTAGCCTAAATATTTGATAAACATACGATAAAAAATATAATCTATCGTTGGATAGTCCTCATCGTTCCACCCTTTTTCACATCCTTCCAAATCTTACAACTTTCTACTCCATCAGATACAATTGTTTGTCAGTTAATGCTTAAGAATATTTCTTCCGGTTGACTGTACTTGGTGATCTGGATATTTGACTGAAATTATCTACTTACTTATCGACCAACACTTTTGATCTCTATCACTGTCAATTTTTATCATCTATTAACTCAAATTTTGCGGCTTCTAATAGTTATTTGTGCTTATTCAAACTGTTATCGTCAATTATTTTGACATCACTAAACTCACTTGTTCGATGTAATAATTCTTTATTCGCAGTTACGTTTAATGGCCAAGGCATTTAGCTTTATATCATCAGATCGCATATTTGAACCCTGCCCTCGGTTAGTGTTAAGTAGCTCTCAAATCAAAAGTATCACACGAATTTGATGATATCAACTTTTGCTCAAGTTTACCATTGTCTCATTTGAATCGACTGCACATTTATTTGTGCACCATAGATGTAACATTGATTTAGTTTTCAGGGAAGACTAAAATTTAACAAAAGTTTGAAGCAAGTCACTAAACTCTTTAGTCCATACATTTCCGTATATATATATATATATATAACTTAGTTATTGCTTGTTATTTATTATAGACCACTCAAAGATATATTACTTGAAATCTAGAATTACCCACCTTACTTAAACCTGTTATCCCTCTTGGAACATGCTTCCGATCAGGGATCTCCAACCAACTCTGTCCTAGACTCTCCTTTCTGTCTGTCGACAAGTGTCTTTCACGGTTTTAATGTTTACTTCCGATTCCCGGCTCCTGGAACCAACATTAATCCTAGACAGGTGCTCCGGGTCGAGTTGATAGCTTACGTTACATGTATGAAATTATGTGTTTTCTTTACTTACCTAATACCAACATGCTTGCTTGTTTGAGTTTTGCTCATCTCACTTACTGTAAATATGTGTATCCATTATCATATTGTTAGGAAATGTATCATGAAGTGCCTACTTGTCATATTACAACTGGTTATTATGTTGGATTTTCTTATATGATGATGCGCTCGTATCATAATGCTGTATCTACATTACTAGCCACATTGTCATATAAATCACGTGCAATAGGTCTTATATCTCAACGTGCTGATCTAAAAGAATATGTTAATAAACAGGCGGATCAAATGATGTCTTTGTTAGCTATCTGTTTAACTATGATTCCCACTTCGGTTGATTACAATATTGATTTGGATAAACGAGAGAAATTCACGGAGACGCTTAATCGATTGCAACAGTTGTAAGTATATTTGTGTATTTGAGTAGCGCATATATATATATATATATATATATATATATATATATATATATATATATATATATATATATATATATATATACTTCGACTTATATCGCATTAGCTTAGCTAAATTTCGCAAACTGACCATTGTCCTATTGCGCGGTTTTTATAATATCACACTTACCAGTAATCATAACATTTGTATTTTGGCTGGGATATTGCCCATGTGTCCAAACCAAAGTGGATAACTTTTTAGGGAGCGATTCTTCAGACCTTTGACCTACAGATCTAATCCACAAGGCAGTTGAGTGACGTCAGGATATGTTTTCCCATGGTATCCGACGATCTAATCAAGTTCATACTCTATTCCTGAGACCTATTTACTCTATTTGTTTAGAGTCATTGTTTTCAAATTCCTGTAAGTGCTCTCCGTATCTATCAACTCAGGTTACTCACCGGATATTCAATTTTCATAATCTCACTTTCGCAAAAATAATTGCACAGCTTATTGGCAGTGAGAAATGCTTACCTCATGGCCAATAAATTAATGGGAGCGAATCAGTAGTACGATCAACTTAGTACCTGTAGTCACGATACAACGTCAACTATGGTAATTCACATATACTTTGTGATTATCTACTTGACTAATTATATTTCTAATTTACCGGTAAATCTATTATTCAAAAATTATCCTTACTGTTAACGGTGTCTTAGCGACACATTTTTCCATCCTTCTAAAATTATCAAATGAATAATGTAGTTACTTTTAATAATTTTTGAAGATGAAATGTTTGACAAGTTCTAAATTAATGTCTTTAAAATATTATGTTCTATATCTATTTTATGTGGCATTGTACTGCAGTAATACAATTTATTTAGTAACTATCCCGTCTTATTTACAGTAGACATTATTTTAAGGTTGAACTCCCCCAGTTTAGCGTTACAAATACCCAAAAAATAAACTGAGCCATGTTAGTAGATTCAGAGTATCTGGTGGTTATCGTAATCAATTGATTGGAGATGTTGAATGACAAGTTTCAGAATCGGTTACAATAGTGCAGATTCATTCCCTCTTTGTCTTCCCTTGGATCATAAGTCTTAAAATATCCAAATACTTCTTGTTGTTAATGTAATATTTCTCGAATCATATTCCCATGCTTAATCTTCTTTGCCATCAATAGCATCACAGTTATTTTACCAACTACTTTGATATTCATCTTAATAATCTCATACTAATGTGATAGTAATAATAATAATAATAATAATAATAATAATAATAGTATGTAATATCAACTCGAACTGATTTACATATGTTTTGGGTTTCATGTCAATTTTGGATGACTGGATTTGAAATGCAGTAGATAACATCGCCGACAATACCATCTTCAACTACATAGTTATCTCCAATTAATATATTAGTATGTAGTCTATCGTTGCCTTCGTTTATCTCGTGGCTGTAAGATATATATTAACTCATTCACTAGGTACTTGAGAATAAGTCTAATAATACTATCTGGTTGCTCAAACCAAATTAGGTAAAGCGGGGTTCGAGGCTAGAGGTCGAACGCCTTAATTACTAAGCTACCGCTTCATTGTACGGGATATAGAAGTAGTGTGTTCAAAAATCAAGAAAAAATTTTGTGTTACAACTAAATTGTGCAGAGCAAAATGTTATTTGTGAAGATTAGTACTTTCCTGTTGTTAAAGCGATGTATGTTAGGTTTAATTCTTAGTTTGTAGATTTTACGCTGAAATTTAGATTCACCTAATTATTAAGTTTTAAATTGCGTTGACATTCCCATCTGTTATTCTACTGTTTGGTACTAACAGCAAATGTTTCAATCGTTGCAGTTCACTATTTTGTTGTCTCTAATTTACTGGAGTTCAATCCGTGTCGGGTGGAAACAGTTATCCACTTCAGAATATGGATGAAGGATCGTGCAGGATTATGGATCGATTAAAGTTAGACATTAACACCGTTGGATGCCGGCTCAGTGGTCTGGAGATCAAGCGTTCGCGCGCAAGACCAACGGTCCTGGGTTTGAGCCCCACGTGCAGGATCGTGGATGTGCGCTACTAAGAAGTGCCATACTAGGACAGAACGGTCGTCCAGTACTTCCAGGTTTTCAATGGGGGTCTACTTTAGATCGACTCACCAATTCAACCATTAAAATTATTGCAATCTCCACAAATCCCCATTCTCATTTATGTCAATTCCAAAGTATAACCAAATAGCACACTGTATATTTCCGAAGTCTATATATCATATCGTTCCTTATAAATAATTCCATTATAATATCGCTACATTCTAATGGTATTTTTAATTACTACTGTTCATAGCCTTCTGAACTCATTAGTTTAGTGGGTAACGTGTTGCTGTTTGAAGCGAATGGTTCTTGGTTCAAGTCTCGGTTTAGGCATCAACACTTGAATGCAGTTACATACAACTGAAATGTTCTAAACAGTATATAACGCGCATCCTGGCTTCCACTGCCTAGCTTTCGTATTAATTACTGTTGTTATTTTGTAGAGATGAAGCCGAATTCGCCAGTTCATTTGATCTTGGCTGCCCGAAATTTATCTCACCAGAAACTCCGTATTACGCCAAAGCTTTACCAATAAGTGATTCAATCTCTCCTTTGGAACCACAACGTCAACAAACTGATTTATTCAAAACAGAAATTATTCAACAAATTGAACTATTACGTCTTCGTTCATATCTTAAGCTTTATACAAATATTTCTGCATCGAAATTGGCTAATTTCATGAGTGTAGTGAGTCTTTTATGTATAATTTTCAGATTGTGAAACTTATCCGCTGTCAGTTGTAGGATTCCGTGTGCTTACAGATGATACTTCTCATTAGACCACTATACTGTCGTAAACAGAGTCTCAGCAAATCTTTAGTCAAAATAGGTCAAAAATTAGTCGAAAAAAGCATATCTACTCAGACAATTATCAGTTATGCATGTTACTTTCTAACTGTTATGTGATGATCAATATATCGAAAGAAACTAAAGTAGAGTATCAACAAATTGCACAACATTTAAAATCTTTTTTTAAATGTTCTGATAATTACTATAGTCTTGAACATAGATTCTGTCGAAATCTTTTTGGTTACTGCTATAGATTCTTGAATTTTTGTTTGCTTTTCTACTTTTACCAATAAATGATAGCTCTGATGAACAAGAAACGCCTTAATGACTCATTTTCAGTTCATACTACTCCTATTATAGGAATGGTCTTTTTTACTTTGAGTTTGCTATTTTCGTTATATGTCTCAAAGGCATAGTTGTTGCATTCAACATTCAGCTATATGGCTGCAAGTTTTAATCTCTATGCTGGTTTTTACAACCTGGTAGTATCATTAGCTCAAAGCTATGTAACATGAATTTGTACTTGGTAAATAATTCTAAACACTTTAATAGCAAATGGTTATCCACTCAAGTTTATTAATAGGTGCAAAAGTCAGTTAATGCCAAGACCTCTAATTTATTCAGTGCCAAAGAAATAAGGTCTATATCAATCTACCATATAGAGGCGAATCAAACAGTGTAGTTTTAAGGCAGAGATTGAAAGCAGCCATCGAGAATACGTATTGTGCTGCTCAGTTGGTAGTGATTGAAAAGTCTAAGGCCATGATTCCTAATAGACCCAAACAATGCACTAATGATTACGTCACACCCCATTGTATTTACCAATTTACATGTTTGTGTGGACACACATACATAGGGAGGAGTAATCGAACAATGCAATCAAGGGTCAATGAACATGTGCCCAGATGGCTTCAAAATCAGTGTGTGTCAAATGATCCGATTAATGTAGGAGGTAGAAAACCAAGTTCATCGATAGCAAAACACATAATTGAGACGGGACACAAAATTAACATTAATACAGCATTTAGAACGTTGTATAGAAATTGTCAAGGTCGAATTCTTAAGTTAATTGAAGCCTTAGCTATTCGTAAATTTAAACCCCCCTTATGTGTACAAAAACAGTTTGTCCTAACCTTGAATTTACCTTGGTAATCCTTAAGTCATTCTATGGCCTAGGATAACGCGACAAATTCTTATTCTTTCTCCCCCCTTAGTTATTTTAATTGTACTTTTATTTGTTTGACCTTTATTAATTTTCATATAAAAATGCCTTGACAAGTATATGTGTGACCAGATTGTTCGAAATGTATAGCGCAAATACATCACATTTTTCAGATCAACTCCGTCTTCTTATTGTTCTATCGAAATTTATAAAGGGGACTAATTGCTTTAAGAGACATTTACCGAAATCGAACAATCCATTGAACTGAATTGTTGTCAAATTCTAGTTAATAATTACCACTTAAAGTTTATCATATTGTAATTACGTCACATTTAATATTGTCTACAAAATTCTATAGAGTTGGTTAATCATAGCTAACAATAAAATTCAGAACATACATTTCATCCTATTTTGAACTATTTGTCAGCTAAATGTACATGCATGTCAGTGTTGATGTTCACATTGGAACTCGAACTCCTAGTACCTTTCACTTTAAATAGTCACTAAAATCAAGTATATCCAAATGGTTATTTACGTGGTATTATTATTTATTAGCAGTATGAATTATTACATTTTTTGATATTCAAGACGAAATGTTTTTGACCAATCTATTCATTTCAAACTGTTATGATCACAATTTATGCCTATTCTCCTTTTTATTTGTGTATCTAAATGCTTTGTTGTGTTTTCGCCAAACATTCTGGTACAGTTGTGAACCAAAAAAGGTATACGCCACACAAATTAAGCCGCAATATTGTGAATATATAGAGGATAGTGTGACAAAAAGTACAATCTACTATCAGGAATAAGTAAATAAAAATATAGTATATAATAAAAGATATATTTTTGTGAGAAATATAACCAAAAAAGCTCGTTTAAGGGGATCCCTCTCACTTTTATGAAGAATGTGACAGAAAATTACGTCAAGATCAGTACTGGTTTCTGTCTTAAGTTATGTTTGATAACATCTCAAGCCGCTTAGTTACATCGTCTGTAGAACCTCAACCAGGAAGTTAGTCAATCATATGTGCGTTGTTTCAGAGAAATAAGGCAGTAGCATAAGGGGTAACTGTATGATTAATCGTATAAGAGATTAGGCACAAAAGCTATGATTTGAGAAGAAAATATGAATTTGTTCAGTGGTTGAGATGACTTAAAACCTTATAATATAAGGAAAGACACTGAATAAGTACACTAGAGCTATTGCAAACTGTTTTGAGTTGTGTACCTAAAAGTCTATAATCATTAGTTATGATAATCATTCGGACTTTAACCAGAAAGTCTGAACCTACCTACACTAGTCAGTCCAACAGTCACTGACTTCATAGATTAACATGTCTTGGTTTGATCGCCCCAGGAAGCCATGATCAACTAACAAATGCCAATCATATTCAAATTTCCCGGATACCATGGGACTAATGTTATAAACTGACTGACTACTTCATATCTTTTTGTACACAGTTCATTTCATTATGTTTTCTACATTTATGCTTCATTCATATCATTGTTATTATTCTGTACTGCTCAACGTTTCTATTCATGCAATAGTCTGAACCATCTTTACATATGGAATTAATGGCTTACAAGTATCGGTTAAAACAAACTATGAGTCAAGCTATTGACGCTGCAAAAGATGGTAACGGTTTTGGTACATCGATCAATTCTGATTTGAACAGTTCTCAGCAAATGCATCCACATTTGGATTTCTATGTTGATAATGGTACAATTTATGTCGCTGATACAACTGTTGATAGAAGATTTTCAGAATATTTCATTCTTCATATTGAACAATTACAACAGGTGAGATTATTTTATATATTTTTGTCTTTTTTGGGAGGGGAAGAGGGATGGTAATTTTGTAATCGTCCTATTTGCTGTTATTAAGTTTTAAACCATCCCACTTTAGTTGTTCAGGATTAAGTTTGATTAGTTTTAATTGATATATTTGCATACTGTGTGGATTACCTTGATGTAATTATCTCGCCACAAGTTTATTTATAGAATAGATAGATTATGGCTAGTAATGAGACCGAGAACGCTCGTCGGTAACGTATTGATACTGGAGCTTAAGTTCCAATGCGAACATCATCAACATTGGGATGTAGATATACCTGCATATCAGAGTTGATGTTCGCTCTAGGACTCGAACCCCGTACCGTTCGCCCCAAACCCCATCGCGTTATCCACTTAACTACCGAGTCCTGATAGCCACCTTCTTGTGTAATGGGATGGATTCCACTGCTAGCCACTATTCGTCTTTGCATAAGCAAACTTGCGACTTTAGGAAATATCGAGGTAATCCGCGCAGGATGCACATATGCCAATAAGAGACTGATCAATTGCAGTCCTAAATAACAATGGGAAGATACAAGTAAACAACACCAAGTGAATGTAAATAGTATTTATATTTTTATGCCTAAAAGTAGTTTAGGAATCAGGACTATGGTTTATAGAATTTAAGTCATTATGACCACTTTTCAGTCCTAGCCCGTTCGTAGCTCTGGTTTAGTGTCAATTCCTACCATATCATCCAAGTTCGATGAAAAACATCCTAAAAGCTTCAAACTCATTGCCTGAGGCCAAAGTTTTGCTTCTGACTGAACAGTAGCAGGATGTTTCATTCGGATAACCAGCATCTGGAGTAGTGCTACCTTCTCATAACGAAAGGACGAGGTCAGAAATTGTCGAAGCTAAATATCTTACACATTACAGATTTCCGTCTCTGATGGCAATGTATTAAAAATTAGATAATAACATCTAAAACCACTTTAAAAAAGCCGTACTCGACTCACCACGTGCATTCCTCCCTTGAGCCCTGCCATCACACTCTCAAGTCATCAAGACCACCCCTTACCCAATTTTCTTCCTATGTGCCTTGAAACGATGTATTCTTCCACACCATGGGGAACCAGGAGCTGATATCCATTCTTATAACTCTAACATCACTCAGAATAACTGACTTCACATTCGATAATTGCCGAAACTACTTCCTTCTGTTTTCTGCTGTTTTTGTTTTTAGATGAACAAGACATTGGATACATTGGAACGACGTATACATGAAGCGAATGTTCAAGAACCAAATGATGCCGCTCAACTCAGATCTTAGCTTCATCATGCATGCATGTTACATTCTGTTAAGTGTCTACTCTGTATCGTTTACTGTTTAATAAAGTTGATCACTTGGACAAAGCTGTTGTGTTTGATTTTTTTTTCTACTATTCTCACTGGACTGTTTGCTTAATAATAGTAGTATGTATGCAAATCATAGTATTTTCATTTTGTACTAACATAATTAGAGGTGATTTTATGCGCTTATTACTCCTGTCGCTCAGTTTTTAAGAAAAATAAGTGTCTAGTATAGTGAGATGAACAAATATAAGTATATAAATAAATAATAAATTTGTAATATCCCAATGGGTAGAAAAATTAGATTTTCTGACGTTTCATGACTTAGTGTAAGTCACTTCTTCAGAGAATAAATAACCAAATTAAAATTAATCCTAGTTTAAATAGTACAATGGAACAATAAGAATATGTGATCAATCAAAAATGGGTCTGAATAAGTAGATGTCATGTCATTTCTGTCAAGGTGATTCATAAGTGATATGTATGTAAATTTGTGTGTATGTATGTGTGTACTGTTTAAGGATGAAAAATTGTGTGACATTTATGATGAGAAAACATCAGCAATAAAATCTAATTCGAATGATCTAAGAAGAATTGTTCATAATCTCTTGGACAGAAGCTTAACCAGTCATGAAATCACTCTACTGGAGAAAGGATTAAATTTCACTTTACATAAAAAACCACTTAGTACTATTGAAATTGCCCTAATTATAGAACCAAGAATCGCACAATTACCGGAAAAAGAGTCGCGTTTATTACGTCGAAAACATATTACACCAAACATTTCAAAAGAAGAATTTAAGGTTCTGCATTCGCTTCAAAAAGACAAAACGATTATCATCACAAAAGTCAACAAAGGCACTACAATAGTAGTCATCAATAAAGCTATTGAACATCTCTCAACAGGACCGTATGAAAAGATCAATCCGAAAAAATTCTCTAACGATTAAAAATCAAGTCAAATCAGAAACAAGTCAACTTTTGAAAGAGCTAAAACCAGTCATTGGTGTCTCGCTTTGGTTTGCTCTGCATCCCAAATCATGTAATGTTTCATGGTTTACCGAAAATTCATAAACCAGTTATCCCTCTAAGACCGATATTAGACTTTACCAACACACCAACATATGCGTTGTCGAAATATCTAAGCAAAATATTGAAACCACTACAGCTTAACTTACATACTATGATTTAAGACACATATTACTTAAAATTATCGGAATTAATTATCGAGAAGAATGAGATCATGGCAAGCCTTGATATCGTTTCTTTATACACCAGTATTCCCATTGATAAATGCTTAGAATTTATTAGTGGTTTACTAGAGAACGACAATACTCTTTCTGATAGATGTCCGTTGAGCATCAGTTTAATCATGAGATCCTTAAAACTCTGCTTAAATTCGACTCTATTCACTTTTAACAGAATGTTATACAAACAAACTAACGGTGTAGCAATCGGATCCTCCCTGTCCCGATTGTAGCCAACCTTTTTATGGCACACATAGAATCAGATATCTTCGCCCACGACATTATACCACGAATTTGGCTTAGATATGTAGATGATACATTTGTTGTGATAAAAGACTCGTCTAAGATCTTTTTCAAAAGGGATAAATAAACTTTCATCTCACATCAAATTCACGAATGAAAATAAACATGGTGAGCTACCATTCGTAGACTGCTTAATGAAAAGAAATCTAAATGGAATTCTAAATCTATCCATCTACCGAAAGCCTACACACTCTAGTCGCTATACTGACTTCCATTCAGCACATCCTTTCAGTGCTAAGATCTCGCTAGCCTTAAATCTTTTTAGAATAGCTAACAAGATCATCAGATCAGAAGACAAACAAAAAGAATGTAATTAGTATCTTAAGATTTAATAATTTTCCTATGAAGATTATCAGAAGTATATTAAAACAAGACGGTTTAGTGCGTTGTAATAATAATTCGAATGAAATGCCATGGATTGGTACTGCAATTCTACAATACCGTCATGGCACAACAGAAAAGCTTCAAAGAGTCTTAAAACAACACAGAATTAAAGTATATTACAAAACAACGAACACACCGAAATACTTTAGTTCGCTTGAAAGAAAAAATCCCTTCCATGTCCACACAGAACTGCGTCTACAAATTAGGTTGTATCGATTTTGATGCCTTCTATATTGGAGAGTTATCTCGAGAAATCTTGACTAGAGCCAAAGAACATATTAGGTACACAAAGAAGCCTCCTGACAATCCCTTAGAATTGGATAAACTTCAAAATAAATCGGCACTAGCAGTTCATGCCATTTTCAAAGACCACCAAATTGATTTCAAAAATATCAAAATATTGCAAAAAGGGGCTTTTCCAATCACGAAGAAAGAAGAGTAGCTGAAGCGTTCCATATAATGCTTAATCCTACTTCTCTCAATAGAAAAGAAGGCCTTACCATACATCCTACTTGGACTATCTATCTATTCACACTATCATCTCATAAATTAAACTCTATCCTTTCTCACTATAAATGTCACACAATTTTTCATCCTTAAACAGTACACACATACATACACACAAATTTACATACATATCACTTATGAATCACCTTGACAGAAATGACGTGACATCTACTTGTTCAGACCCATCTTTGATTGATCAAATATTATTCTTGTATTGTTTCGTTGTACTATTTAAACTTGAATTAATTTTAATTTGGTTATTTATTCTCTGAAGAAGTGACTTACACTAAGTCATGAAACGTCAGAAAATCTAATTTTTCTACTCGTTGGGATATTACAAATATATTATTTTTATTTATAACAATCAACCCAATGCTCAATTTATTCAAAATTATCAAATCAAACCTTGGTAATGACACCTACAAATATAAGTATAAATTGAGATGTTGTCCAATAGTTATAAATTTTCGGAAAAACTCTGTAATTCAGATGCTGTATTTCATTTACCAGAAATAGACGCGTTTTTTTGTGTAATCTCAACCGTTATGTAAGCAGTGAAGAGCCCAACATCTTTGTTTTGTTGTTTTACTGAATTTCCGTGATTTAATTTGTGTAAATTATAAAATCCTCTAGTTGGTGATTTCTGTACACTGAAATGGAAACGATACGCATAATTTTATCATGACCATAGTATGTAAAAAAATAATGATAAGCAAAATTGTAAAACCTTTCATAATTTTTTGGGATGATGAATTCGCCTGTTGATTAAATCATTTGTTCATCTTTGTGAAGATCGCAAATTCAAACGTTACTTCACCAGTTTCAGTAGGATTAACCGTAAAGTATCGTTAAAAAGCATAACACAAAAGCGTCTGACCTATGATGCGCGAATTACGTAACCATATGTAATAGATAAACAGTACAAAGTGATAATAAGTAGTTCACCGGTTTTCTCGCTATCAATTCGTACTTTTTACTTATTATGTGTGGTTACATAATCTATTTCATTGGGATCACTGACTCATAAGCTACCTAGATTGATTTAATATTTTCACATACCTAATATAAATATTCATTTATATTACAGCAATGCCTTACTGGTGATAATGATCTTACTGAAAACAACTCTATTCGCCTGTTTTTGTTATTCCAACTTTCATCTTAACTATACACCATATTGTAAACTTTTGAATACTTGCTAAAAGCTTTTACTGACTGTTGACATATTAAGATTAATTCAACTATCCAAGTAGATAAAATGAATGATAAACGTGAGAACTTACGGTTTTGTCAAATCTCTTGTTTCCTAGAAATTTTCTAGACATTTTATTTACAACTTGTATCGTCGAAATTCTTTACAGTTTGTTATTTTCATAATTTAATTTAGTTTTTGAACAAATCCTACGAGAAAACTTACATTAAACTTATTGCAATGTTGAATTCCTAATTGTGTTTTTATTTCTAAATTGTAAAAGTGATCTAGTCACTTATTTATACAAATGCCCTGATACGGCCGAGGGTGGGGAGAGCCCGCTCTCTCTCTCTCGAAATGCTCTCATAAGGCCACGTGTATACAGCCACTGTCAGGGACATCCTACTCACTGCCTTCTCGCGGCGAGGGTATTGTTTACGAAATTGAGAGGATGAAAAGCGAATGTCCGTCGCTTTAACCTGGTTAGTGAATATAGAGGATCCACCTAGGGGAGTTGGAAAACCCTCATTCCAAACCAATGGCGCTCATGGGCTCCAGGATCCTCAGGAAACGAATGGCGTACGAACCTATTGTTGGTCACCCGTTACCATGGGACTACATTTCCTGACGTTGCTCCATTGCCTTGTGGATCAGACCTTTAAGTCGAAGGCTCCAGATGTGGCTCCTTAAGGAAACTACTTGCTTCGGTTCGGGCACCCGGGCAGTATCACAGCCAACACGCAAATCAAGTGACTTCTGTGGCTCATATGTATTCGGTTCCCCTTTGTACCAATATTAATGAGTTCAAATAAATAAATGTGTTGACTACTTCGTTAAGACTATTGATAAGTTGTTTACACTGATGTATGGTACTTCACTATTAGTCTCTAATTCTATCAAGAATGTGAATTCAAGAAGCAACAACTTACAAATTTACTGAACTTCGTTATCAGTAATTAAGTAATAATGTAATTTATTTTAAAAAGGTTTTGTAGGAATCCTTCAGAAGTATCAACTTAATTTTTTTCAGAATTCCGCATCGCACTGGATTGACTTTCGTTAAATAGTCGCTGAAAACCACGTAGCATTGATTTTCCAGTTCTGTTCTAACATAGGGCTGCTCTACAGTACGCATCTAAAATCTCACCAGTTTTCGGACCCAAGACTTCCAGGTCTCATGATGAGCACTTGACGTTAAAGCCACTGAGTTGATATTCATTGCTTTACATTATTAACTTAAGTCAGTTCGTAATATTTCATTTTCACTACTATCACCCAACCATTCATGACTTTTTACAAGTTATTCACTTAATATCAATCTATCCTGTCACTTCTGTTGTACATAATTCTTGTAAAACCGTTTAATTACTAGTGACTAGTTTCATGATAATGCTGAGCTATAACTTGTGGAAATAAAGGAATAAGATGTGAGACTATAGAATAATTCAGAAGGATACTTGTTCAATAAAACATTCGTTTTAGTTATTTGCCTTCAAGTAATAATTAATCAGAAAATAATTTGTAAATAAATGTGTTAAGATATTATTTCGGAGAAATTTACCATTTAAATTGTACTATCCTCATCTCTCCTAAGTCATGTGGTATATCCATCCGTGTGTATATATATATATGTTGTGTGGCGAAAGAATTCATTTACGGCTGGTACCAAGGGATACCTAATAGTATCTACATTAACAATACAATGAAGAAGCAGTTTGTCTCATTTCCCAACAGCTAAATCAATCGTAAGTCAATCATTGGTATTGTGAGATGAGTGTCACATGGAATAAAGATAGAGGCAAACGGATCTTCCATTCTATCCCTTGTATGTGTACGCCGATAAAAGAGAGGGAGTCATGAATAATAATGTGGCAGTTGTCCAATGCTTTTCGGCTTTTCTTGCAATTCCAACTCGTCAGTTTGTAGTGGAAATAACTTCCACATTGTATTTTCTCTTTAATCACAATTCGATTGTAATTATTATTACCATTTGGAGATCGAGTTTCTTTATTATTTTTTTGTGAACATTTAGAAATCATCTCTATGCTAGAAAATCTAAATCCAGTGTTACATGTACCTGTAAAGCCTCGGCTAAATAGACTAGGCTTAAATATTAATAACTTTGAGTGGGATGGTCAACGTCAACTTATTGATGAAGCAGAAATATTTGGTGAGTTTTATTTCATTTTGATTCCTACCATTTCCCTAAATTTTTTATTCTCGAGTATGGATGAAATATTAATTCTTCTTTTTAACAACATGGGTTGTATTTACCGTAGAGCGATCTCAGGTGAGGTGCCACTAAAAACAAGAGGACACTGGGCAACTGTTCCATCCTCGTATGGAACTCAGCGGTGTACACCTGTAACTGATGATCAGGGATCGAACCCAGGACCCTCATATCTCACACTTAACCATTTGAACCGCTGTTTTGATACAGATTTTTGCGTCTGCCGTCCGATCACGTACAGATATACACACTTACTAAACTCGAGTCCATGCAAGCGAGTATCATAATAATAAATAGGAGGCTGTAATTGGCCACTGAGTCTAAATATTCATGGACTGAGATGGATGGGCCTTGTGTTACATATGCATAAACACCGATTACCACGATGTGCAATGCTCACTAGTGCGAGGGATGGTTAGAACAAAGTTATGGGCGGCCAAACCAAAGCGCGGTATCAGTCCTTGAAGTCACTAACTTCTGGTCTGAACCATGTTGGTAGATGCAGACTACTTGATTGGAGTCCATGTGACTATCGTAACCAATAGTTGGATACTGTGGGTGACGTGGCTCAGAATGGATCACAGTGGCGTAGGTGTATCTGCTCTTTGTCTTCTCTTATACCGTTAGATTAAAATTGCTTTATACCTTTATTTATACGAACTAATTCCTTATACATGATCTCTTTTATATATTACTACCATTGAAGTAACTACTTCTATAAATTTGGTGTTCGTCTTGCTGTGTTAATGAGATGTGGTAACTTGGACCGATGCATATATGTGCCTGGTCCTACGTTGCAGCTGACTGACTGACCGAATGATCATGTGCACAAATCATTGGTATATATAATCCTCAGAGACATGAGCTAAGACTTTCACAAACTGCATAATCAACTTTGTCTAATAACCTACCTTATTTATCATCTCTCACCTAACTCTTGACTTTTAAAAAGTATGTGAGCACAAATACGTCTTATGTCTATCTTTGCTCAGTCTACTACAGTTTCAGCTTCAAGCAATTCGATACATAACACGATAATCATTCAGTTTCATTCGCTCTAACTGTTTCATGCTTAACATGTCTAAACTCCACTAGTCAATACTTCTTACTGGAATGAGATAGTTGATCAGTGCTCCTTGATTTTCATCAGTACCCCGACTGATATCATGTAGTACTTTTCAATTTTCTTTATCAATTAAAGCGTATAGTTTTATCTTTCATTTCTACACCCGCAAGTGATCATCTATTGTTAAATTAACTGTTAGGTGATCATAACTAGATTTATAATACTACTCCGTTATTTTATTAAGTGATATTTTATCAACTTCCGTATGAGTTCCATAATATGGTTTGCTAAAAACGAAATTAAATAAAATTTTGTTATTTATAATCAAATAAATCCAAACTATCTCAATACTTGTTGTAGTATATTTTATATTATTAATCTTAAATTATGTATTAAGATCATATTCGTGATATTCGAGATCCTGAACATCCTCATAGTCTTGAAGTGTTAAGTGTATTGACTGATGATTGGATTAATGTGAATGATGCCGAAAGTTGGGTTTGTGTTGAATATTCACCAACAATCCCTGGTTGCAGTATGGCTACATTAATTGGATTGGCTATTAAAGTGAAATTAATTCGTTCACTTCCTCGACGATTTAAAGTGAGTTTTTTTATTTATTAAGATCTATTTTGTTTTCAAACATCAGTTTTTAATCGGCTTTTATTAGGTGATTGTTTTATCTAAAGTATATAGTTAAGCTGTTTGCATACAACTATATGACCTTAACACTTTCTAACAGTGTGTTTTCTTCTCATCATATGACCTATGGCTGGTTAGATTAATAGATTTATATTTAATGGATTACAAAACAACACTAACTTAAATAAGAACTTTCGTCTAAATTTGAACGAATAGTTTCACAATATTTGGGCGCCGAGTTAATTTGAAAGTATCCTTGAAAAAGCTTGAACCAGATTGCCAGGCGAAACGTTGGATTTACTTAAAATTCATTCGCTGAGATTTACAAATATATTCTTCTTTTTAATGAACACTAACTTAATTTTTAAAAAAAGTATGATAATTGTTTATTCTGGTGGAACATTTGACCTGTAACTGTGAAAAAAATATCATTTAGCAATAATACATATATATTAAGTAACATAAATTTACAACAGGAAAACAGTTGAATAATTTCAGTTCATTAGTTAGACACCGAGACAAACTACTGACTAAAATTACATAGACCATGTAACAGCATAATGTTTTCGTTAATTCCAAATATCGATTAATAATTCATAACGTAACTAAAACCAACTGAACATTACTGATATTGAATGGAATGTGTAATGTACTCCTATCGATATACCAACTATGAAGTATTATCAATATGTGATGATTGTAAAAGCAAGTTGTTTTAGTCATTATAACATGGAACTATTTGTAAGGTAAGATTATAATTCATTTAATGGTTGCTAATTCAAGAAACCAGTCAGTTTATAGTTTATAGTCTTCATTCATGGTTATATCTTTGTGTATTAATGTGATCATGTGTTGATTGCTGATTCACTTTATTTTGATTATAGACCATCATATTAATTGTACTAATTGTCATTTTGTTTTGTGAATATATACATCTTAGTGGAGAAATCTCTAATTATTCAAGTTGTACACCTTGGATTTAAAACTTTAAAATTTAACGTTTATAAAAAATTCAATCACTTGTTGTATCATTGAAGAAATGATTAAATACGTTTTCCGGCCCTTCTCATTCTTTCATTTGCTCATTGGGCTTGTTGCGTGGGTGGAACTAAGTTAGTGATTAGTTATCAATACCAAGGTTGGACTTAATAGTTTCAAATAAATTTAGCATTTGGTAGAGATTTAATAAGAAATATATTATTTACTCTGAAGAAGTGACCTACATTAAGTCACGAAACGTTAGAAATGCATTCTTTTCTAATCATTGGGTTATATAACACAAAATATATATTTATTATTCGTGGTTAGTTGTTTTCTTCAGACATTTATAGAGATAGTCTGATAGATATTTAGTTTGTGTTCATCCTAAGCAAATTAGCATCCAATTAGTTAGTGTAAAGGAGAAATCGAGTGTTAGCGGGACGTAGATTAGATTAAGGCATACTCAATGCACGATTGTGTCGTTGCACGCTGATTGGCTAATTCTTATCCAATCAGCACTAGTCGATACTTCAGAACGCTTTAGAATCTTCTCATGTAAAAACTATAAATATACTAACATTTTTCCTACTGTGCTTCTTACTTCAATCTAGCCTTGTTGTTTGGAATGTAATCTCTTTCCTGCTCAATCATGTTCTGATTTAGGGACTTGTCGAGTGAATTGGTGTCCAAGTATACTAAGCAATAGGATTAACTGGGTTGTAATAAGAAAGAATTATAACGTCGATTTTTATTTCAGAGACGTTGAGACTATAATGTATGGACGACTTTTAAGTGACCTTGATAAAATTCACTTATTTACTTAGGTTAAAAAAAAGAATGGTAAATTAGTGTTAGAAATCTGCATTAGGATTTAGTATTAGAAGTTAGGGTTATGTATTAGAATTAAGGTTTTCATTACGAACTAACATCAGCTATAGTGCCAAAATGCTACCAGACTATATGAATGAATAAATTTCGCCCAAAAACCAAAACTTTCTACCTGAAATCTCATTAGTTTGTTCAGAACTTATATAATTAAAAGTTTACCAACCTAATTCCATTGTCAAACAAACATATCAGAGAATTTCAGATATAACGCATGTTTGTTCTTAAAAATTATATGATTGTAGATCATATCAACCTGGGTTGTAGCTCCCTAAAAAAATCACTTCGGTCTGGGCACCCGGGTAATATCATAGCCCACACACAAATCAAGTGAATTGTGTGGCGTATATGTATTCGGTGCCCCTTTGTACCAACATTTATGTGTTCAAATAAATAAATTAAACATGTCAACCACTTTTGTAACATTTAACCATATTTTAAATAAGTTTATTCTCTGAAAAAGTGGCTTACACTGAGTCACGAAACGTCAGAAAATCTAATGTTTCTACTCATTGAGATATTACAAATATATTATATTTATTTATAACAATCTACCCAATACTCAATTTATTCAAAATTATCAAATCAAACCTTGGTAATGATACCTTTTTAACCGTGTTTGCTAATAGATGATAATGCTTTTTTCTTCTTCATATTACAACTATACAGTTACATTGTGATTGATAAGATTTATATAGCTAAGATGGACTATCTTATACATTTATACATATGATGTTGCATATTTTATCTCTGTTTATATTTCGTTGTGTTATTCCTTGAATTAAAATGCTTATATGTGTAATTCAGTTATAATACTGAGGATAAATTTAGTTAACTGATTCAATCACATTTCATTCCTTACTATTTTAATTATTATTTTTCATCTTTTTCTTTCAATGTGACGTAATAATAGTAATGGTAATTATAAATCTTTATGAACTATTCTGTTAAATGTCAGCAGTGATTATATTTTCTTTCGTATAGTCATTTGATTGTGTGATTTGACACACAGTGCCCCTTTGTCTAAAGAATTACTTATTATAAACCAATTGTGAACGTTTCTTTTTGTTGTTGTAATTTCGTATCTTTGTACCCTATTGTTAGTTCTTGTATGATAAGTAAGTAGTTCATAAGATATCAAAATGGTTCCTTCGTTGCTGGGATTAGTAAATAGTATACAGCATTTAATATCATATTATACCAGTGTCTTGATCTAGTCTTATTGTAGTGATACTTAATATTTAGGATCCATTATTATCGGTAAAATGTTTTTCATTATCGTTTATTTATCATTTCAACCGTAATAAACTTCCTTTTTTCCACTGCTTTTCATTTTTACAAAAATACGTTAGTCTAAATGTTTTTATTTTGTTTCACAACTGTAAAGTGCAAATGTTGCGTTGATATCGGTGATTTTATTGTTTTGTTAACTGTTTTCAACTAGCAGATCGATTGATGGATTTGTATATCTTCACCGATTAAAATAGACAGGACTTTCCACATATACCAAACCTCAGAGTAGCTTAATGGGTGATGTTAACCTGTGTGACAGGTGATTGGAAAAAAAACTAACGGATGTCAAACAAGAACGTGAAATTAGTCCATAAAGTCATTGACTTTCGAAATAGTCAGAAGTGGTATGTATAGACGACCTAGTTAAGGTCTTCATGATTTCCGTAATTAATAGTTGGAGACATTGTATGACACGGCTCTAAATCAGTCATAACAATTCACTTGCATTCGCTCTTCGTTTTCTTTGAATATCTCAATCTTAAAATTTTATTCAACGAATTAATTTTTCTCCCCGAATTCATAATGCCTATGTCTGACTTTTTCTTCGTTTGTCGATATTATTACTGCTTATACTACTCCACCATTGATCTTTGAAATTTCGCCCCGATGTCCTTATGTCTAGCTGTGACATCTTGAATCGATACGCATACATTTGCCAGATTCTACGTTACTTATTACTACTGATTGCCAGCTTTGATATTTAAAGCAATTAGTCCCTTTGATAAATTTCGATAATGCAATAAGAAGACGGAAATTATCAGAACTATGTGATATATTAGCACAATACAGTTCGAACAATCTGATCACACATATACTTGTTAAGAGCATTTATATATAAAAATAAAAGGTCAACTAGACTGGAAATGGGGTAAGAGGAGATAAGGATAGTAATAAGAGTAATAATAATGTGAACACAATTCGAAACCTAATCACTCTGGATAATAAGTCAATATTACCAGGGTAGGTTTAAGGTAAGAATAAACTGTTTTTGAAAACACAAAAGGGGTTTGAATTTTCGTGTGGCGAAGGCTTCAATAAACCTTAGTATACGCTCTTTTACACTTAGATACTACATAACAAAAGCCGAGTTTAGATCAATCTTATGGCCTGTTTCAATTTTATGTTTAGCAATAGAGGATGATGGATGTTTTTCCTCTGCTCTTATTGGGTCACTTGATCGTATTTGTTTCTGAAACGATTTTGGTACATGTTCACACACCCTAATGTGTGAAGTCTTGAGTGATGTGCTGACTGACATCTGTTCAACAATGCCTAAACTAAATATCTCCGAGCATAATTTGGATTGATTCGGAGCTACTGAATTCAACCATGTTGATACTAGATAAGGAAAGTCCTTGCGGCAGCATCAGATACTCCGAACGTGATTTAACTCCCACTGCTAACTTCTATTTGACCTTTTATTTTTATACATAAATGCTCTTAACAAGTATATGTGGGCTCAGATTGTTCGGAATGTATTGCGCTAATATATCACATAGTTCTGATAATCTTCGTCTTCTTATTATATTATCAGAACTTTGATATTTTCCCTAAAATATTTGTATCACTTACCCCCATATTTTTCTGTCCCTCTTTTTTTCCTGTTTTTTTCCCACTATAGATTGAAGTCAAGGTGAAACCTGGTACACATGATTCTGAAGATGAAATTAATAAGCAACTTGCTGATAAAGAACGTGTGGCAGCTGCTCTGGAAAATCCCGCCCTGCTTAAATTAGTAAATAATTGTCTAGCAGTTCAAAATGAGTGAAGTATATTTCAGATGACCCTGTTCATTCACTTGTCATTACTTGAAAACAACATTACGTGTATATTAACTGAAAGAATGTTTGACTTTTATTTCATAAATTCTTGTATATTGTTGTGAATAAATAGTAATTTAAATGTACTTCTGAAAAGTTATTTATTTTTTCGTTACTAATCTTTAGTATCAAGTTTTAAAGAAGTTTGTAATTAAACTGTAAACTTACATTTTTAGATCAAACTTGTTCACTCCTTTTTCAACTATTTTTAAATTTCACTGGTAACAATTTTACAAAATAAACCTCATTATTTGGTCCTCAGTTTTACACAACTAGATCATTCACGCGCAGACATGGTTCAGTCCTATGATAATGCACAATTAAACCGAGGTGACAGAAATGCGTAGAATTTTTGTTTCGTGCCTGTTGGAACTGTACAATTTTGGTTATTCTTAATCTTCGGTTAGTAGCCGGCCAACATTACTCTGGATTCGAACACCTTGTCAGTCGATCTAACAATGAAACAACTTTTTTGGCCAAACTTTATTTTGAAATGCTAGCATTACTTGTTTTGAATACAGATTTCGTGCATAAGGATATACTAACCTCGATCACAGATTGTAATGAGAAAGGCAGTTTCCTTTAAGCGAGTGACTACAAAATTAATGGACACACGAGGGTACATATACTGATCTCTACAAACTAGTACTGCAGCACGAAAAAAATGAAAAATACCTGGATACCATCTCCCAAAAGAGCGGCTACCCAATCAACTTCGGAAAATCACCAGCCACACACATCATCAGGAACAAAGTGAAGTACAGAAATCAACAAAAGGATCACCCTACCGTACATAGAAGGCATATAAGAAACAACAAAACTGTTGAAACCCTTCGGAATAGGTGTTGCACACAAAATCACTACAATCAGACCTATGAAAATCAAAGAATGAAATGGCAAAAGGAGACAAACCAAACATCATCTACCAAATAAATTGTGCCGATTCCAAAAAATACTATCGGGCAAAGCGGACACACTTCATCGTCGCCTGCATGAACAATAATTAGCGGTCAAACGCCTTGACATATCCTCGCTTATATCAATGCATGAGGACATGCATTCGACAGAGAAAATGTCGAAATTTTAAATAGAGGCAACTCCAAAAACACCAGGGAATCTTCAGAAGCCCAGCACTTAGGTCAATCAACGAGCATATAGAAGTCGATCTGATTATGGACAAACATAGGAACAAAAATCAAACCAACGAGAGATACAACCGAAACAAAAAAGTAAACAATGATAGGCTTCAGGTCAAAATGAACCAGTCGACATCGAGGTCTACAGGACAAACTGTGGACAGCATGTGAAGAAATTCAAACACTTCACTTCTACCTGAAGTTTTTGCTGATGATGTCGTTCAGAAGAACGATGTAAGCTCCACGACCAAACCATCCAGACCAGAGAACAAAACTTCAAATCCATCCACCTGAGCCACAAATCTCCACCATATCAACATCTGTTTTAATGCTGATTAATGCTCGAACATAGATTTATCCATTTGGGATACTATGCGTATGCAGCCTAATATACCATTGGCAAATCAAAGTTAAAGGTGAACAGCCGTTTGTCAAGATATACAGCCAATATCAGAGAAATCGTTCTCACGGCGGAAATTTTTTTGTGAAATTGTGAGGACGAAAAGCGAATGTTCGGCGCTATAACCTGGTTGATGTATATGGAGCATCCACCTAGGACAGTTGGGAAACCTGATTTAAAACCAATGGTGCATATGGGCTAAAAGACCCCAAGGAAACAAATGTTGTACGAACCCATTGCTAGCCACCATTTGCCATGGTACTTCATCTAACGTTAATCTGCTGTCTTTTCGATTAGACCACTAGGTCAAAGGCTTGAGGAGTTGCCCTTTACGAAATCTACCTGATAAATTCAACCAAACCCTTTACCCCTATAGGTCCTCGAGGTCATTTCTTACCCGACATGAAATCAGACGCCGATAGGAGGCAGATTAGTTCTCTGATGTACCCTATTCACTTATGGATATGCAACCATATGGTTAAATTGCTTGATCACACAGAACACCAAATAAGGCGTCACATTTCGATCACAATCGAACCATGAACAGAGAAGGGCATAGAAAGCACTTTAAGACGCTTTTTGGAAGTGCTTTATTGGTGTATATGGAAATCCCTCTACCTTTATATTTTCACAAATTACTTATTTTTATCCCTTCAGCCATTCACTCAATTGAGGTTTTGGTACTGGTTAAGATGGCTTAACTTGTTTTTTATCGTAGTTTTAGCTCACTGAAGTACTGTTTTCCAAAACTACATCTACATTCTTTTACTCGACGTGTTGGACATGGCGGATGTTGGATTGACTGAATGAGCGAAAAAGTGTATTGGGCTACCAAATAATATGCACAAATACTTATTTTTGTATATATCATACTAACTCATTAGATATTGATCCGTTTCTTAGCCAAAGAGATGCACTTGTCCCTTGGGTCACTTCTGATTGGCCTACCATATTGGTTAAATAGCTGAGCGATAATCTTTGTTTAGGCAGTAATTTGCACTTTAATTTATATCAATATATACAATGTCTCTAACAAAACCGCCTTATCTATGACGTTGACTGTACAGGAGCACACGTGTTCAGACTAACCGCAGCAGTTATTGTTCGTTGCAAACCACTTCATTTTAGAATCTCCAAGTAGAATGTAACTAATAAGTAATGATTAAAGTTACCAAAATGCGTATCAGTTGAGTCTACTGGAAGCTTACAAAAGGGTCATATAGAAATATGACAATACAGGTATCTAATAGTTATACGATAAAGATTCATATAGCAGTGATTCAGGAAACAGGGATGGATGGATGGATAGCCAAGTCCGAGTCAATCTGCCTCCACAACCCTGAATGAATTTGTCTATGCCGGTCATATCGTATTCGAAATTCTGGAGGTTGATTAAGTTTGTGTTAGCTTACATGCGTTCGTAATGTTAACATGTTTATTCAGTCTATCGACGCCTAAAAACATAGAAAGATGTTGTTAAACACCATTAGAAAATCATTAATTTTCTTTTATGTTGCAAACATTGCATTGTTCACTAGAAAAGTGACATTGAGCGAGCTTCACTGGAACTCATGTTAGAATTCAGAAATGATGTAATATCGGTAAATATAATGACACACAATTCTAATAACTGTTTTTTATCGTCAAAAAGAACATTTACAACGCCATTTGTCAGTTCTCTGGTTCCGGGAGTCTTTCGGTTGATATATGTGAATGGTTTAGATGGCTGGTGCCGTAAAAACGTTTCTTGTTTTAGGAAGACTTCCGGAATACATATGAAGAAATTCGACGCGTAAGTTAAAAGTAATGCTTTGAATTCACACCATATTCAAACGAGGAGATCGCAGATTATCGAGAATGATTCCTTAGATATGAAGGCAGTTTATTTGATGATATGTTAGTCAAGCCTTTCTTAAGATGACTACCTGGATGACTAATATACTGTGAATTCCCACGAACTCCAAATGAGACCGAGGATCTGGTCCACTCAAATATTCTTCCACCATTAGCAATTAGTTATCATACTGAATTCCCCTTTATGCTTAAGGCTTGTGACGTAATAAACGACCGGATTAGACACGCCCAAATGTGTTGAGGGACACAATTCCGAATACGAGCAGTTGTATATATCCCTAATGGTCCCATTTTTTCCATTTCAAACCATGTCTTCTCAAATTTTTATTAATTTATTGTTGCCATTGCTTCATGTGTTTGGGCGTCAATTCATACAATGAGTGCTTTTTATTTTTCCCACACTGACTCTAATAATGCTGTTAATCCATTTCTTGCTTACTTTTATCAATCTCCCGACACTACCTTATGACTTTTTAACCTTTTTTATATAGAACTTCCTTCATCTAACTGCGTACTTCTTCAATAAATCATACCAAAACATACGAAATTCCTCAGACGTTACAGCCAATGATGTACAGTCAAAAATTTCTTGCAAAAAGTATTGCGCTGAACAGGAGTAGTAGTTATTAAATAAGAGTTCACTATCTGTGGGATACTCCCAACAAGATAAAACCAGGTATCTATATACAAGGATTCCCAAAACCCTTCTCGAGCAGAGAGTCAAACGTTAACAATCGTCGACTGAACCACACAGTAACCTTAAGTTTAGTCAGACACAACAGATATCGGCAAAATCAAGTAACAGGGGTAAAACTTGAATCAACGTCAAAAAGTAAAAATCCAGATATGGAAGACTGAAGAAAATGAAGTGCAGTTAAAAGATTGTAACGGAAAGAGGACAGTGAAAATCCCTCTGCAGCTTTTTGTTGGACAGTACTGTCATTTATTTGCTTCTTCTCCCTCTCGTGTATTTTACCCTTTGTTCAGATCTCGTTTAACCACACCTTTTGTTCTCTAGTCTTCCTCGTCTGAGCCTTTATTAAGTGATTTTGATCGAACTTTTGACTTTTGCTGCTTAGTTTTCTATTGCATGTTGCCGGACTATTGACAATAGGGTTGTGTTTGAATAAGCTCAAGGTCACGGCGTGATTCAGTGTGTGACTGTTAACCTTTTGACTATCTGCCTGGGAGGATTTCTGAAGTCCCTGCAGATACATATTTGATCCATCTTGTTGGGAATATTTTTATTGATTCCCAGGTATCGAACCCTTTGGCATTAATCGTTTCTTTTATTGTTTAGCGCGCTACTTTGCGTTGGAGGAACTTCCGACTGTATAGCACAGGCTTTACCGTTTGAGGTATTTTGTATTTTTGATATAATTTGTTCTATTCCCTAAATTAAAACCATTTAAACTGAGCGCATAGTTTGTGATTTGACATAGTTTAACACAAGTGTCTCAAAAACACTCTGTAAGCTATACAAAAAAACGTTGTCAGCTCTATTCGAATACATTTTGGTTCGTCAGTCCTGCGCTCAAAGCGAATAATGGCATTTCGGTCGTTACACAATACATGAATAAAAGTCAGAATACGGAACAGGGAGACGAAGCAAATAAACGACAATGCTGTCCAATAAAATGCTTCGGAGGGATTTTCAGCATTTTCTTTCCTTCACAATAACTGAACAACCGTTATTGCTATCAGCATGCATATGGTTGTATTTGATAGTCCAAACCATTGTAATTAATCTTTCTAAAAACTAAAATAAACGAGTTATAACACAGAACAATGGTTTATTCGACGAAAACTACAAGTACTTGTCAAGTGTATACAACAATGATCATTTTAAAGTAAGTAGTGATGTTAGGCTGGAAATAAATAATAGCGACTGTGATAACGACACGTGACGTACGAAAAGGATGACGGTGTTAAGGATGCCACAGATATTCAGGGTTTGATAACGCTCTTGTTCGTAACACTTTTGTAATAGAAAGATAACGATTCAATCTATTCAAAAATCATAGATGAATTAGAAGATATATTTGGAGGATGTCAGTATATGTTGAGAAGTTTTGACCTAAGGTGGCTGGTAAATTCAAGGTTTGTGTTCTACGGCATACCCCCTCGTGATCTGGTGTGGATGCTTGGTCGGGCGTCTTAAACTAAAATCTGACCATTGAGTCTAACACGGTCAACAACAATGTTGAAAGCTAACAGAACTATTCATTTTGGGATTTAGTTGTTGATACATGGTCGCCACCCCATGTACGTTGATCAACAACTAATTTTATACGTGTTAATATTTCTGTTAGCAGACGTCATCCGAATTCGGTCTAGTCAAAACGTTTGTCTCAACATTTTCAATCGTCTAAACACAACCCTTTCGTTTCCTTCCCTTGGTGTCAGAAGTAACGTTTCCAAACATATTAGGAGGAAAGTACACGTTCACATCGAAAAAAAGTCAGCGAACTGTAAACGTGTGTTTCTCATGCCGTTCCCCTGGAAGCAAAACTCTGCTGAACAGCATTAAGTTTCTTCAGTATTGAGGTGAAGTGATATTAACCGAAAAACGGTATACATAAGATTCCTAATTCTAATAATATTCTGAGTGTGTTCAGACATTATGGAATTAGAGTTACATAAATTTGAAAAAAAATTGATGACACTAAAAGTTATATCAGAATATAAAGAATGTAACTACATTGGCCTTAGAACAAGTAACAGACTTATATGTTATCATGTAGTGTACATAATTGCATTCAGCTCACCAGTAGCACGTACGAAGCAGACTGTCCGTAAGAGTACAGGTGGGAAGGCTCCAGGAAAGCGCTTGGCTACCAAAGCGGCACGAAAGAGTTCTCCAGCTATAGGTGGCGTTAAGAAACCTCATCGTTATCGTCCTGGAACAGTTTCCCTACGTGGAATCGTCGTTATCAAAAGTCCACCGAGCTACTGATACGCGAACTGCCCTCCCAGCTTTTGTTCCGGAAGATCGCGCACGACTTCAAGACTGACCTTCGTTTCCGAAGCTTTGCAGTTTCTGCCCTTCAAGAAGGAAGCGAAGCCTGCCTTGCTGGCTTTTTCGAAGACACTAACTTGTGTGCCATCCATGCCAAACGTGTCACTATTATGCCAAAGGACATCCAACTGGCTCGCCGAGTCCGAGATGAACGCGCCCAAGTCGACCTATAATATTCAATGACCCAACTGACGAATGATTTGGCTAGGGCTCCGTGAAATTTCACTGGCTCTACAACGTAAAAACTTTCCAACACCGGTGTTCGAGTCTTTTCTGATGAAACTCTCCTATTTTGAAGATCCCTCAAAGGAAGACATTTTTCTTTGTTAAGAGAGTTAATATAATATAAGAGTGATAACCTGTCTAGTAACAGCATGTTACGAGTCTTGTTGCAAATTGATACATGATCTGACCAAGATTCTTGACCGGCCACACTAAGCTAGTAGTTTGTCTTGCGAATTAACTATGTTTATAATTAATATTGAAAGGTTACAAGTCGTTCATAGAGAGAGATTATTTTCCTCTAGTGTTTGAAGCTTGAAAGTATGCTAGTCACACTTCCGAATTTCGCACTACACGGGTGGTTGGATCATATGTTGTTTTGAAGGTCAGTGGGTCCTATACTATACAACTTCGATGGATTGCTCGAGGACTTTGTTTCGAATAATTTTATTTTGCATGTATTACACAGATTTACGGTAGGGTTTTTCTATATAATTGAATTCCACTGCGTAGTTGGTTAAGCATGTACATATACATACATGCTTATTTTAATATATGCTAAAACCTTGGTTGTAATACAACTGCCTGTCATTAGAAAAAACAATCAAGATTTGATCTTAGTTTTAAATTAACAGTTAAACTTTCCGACAAATAGTTACCAGTTTATTGTTCTTATACTAGTATTTTGTACGAAGCAACTTCTACTGCCATACTTTTTCCATCAAATCTTAAGGTTGGTTATTAGGTCTAAATATCTGCTCATATTAATAAAAGTAAACTTGAGTGGTAAAAGTTAATTTGTGTTCGTGGAGTTCTCACATGGTCACTTAGTCACGTGGATGTTGTTCATTAATCTGGAGTTCATATGCCAACTAAATAGCAGTATCGCTGCTCGTACTAATCATAGCTCATCGTGCAACTTTTGTCTAATAATTCGGTAATGTTCCACCTAGCAGAACACAACACTACCAAAAGCACTCGTCAGCTAAATCTTTTCCATCATTCCTCTACATATAGTGGTAGAATTACGGTGTACCAACGCCCCTGAGTCAGTCAACCAGGATTAAAATAAAGCTCTATGTATTTTACATAAAGTTTAGTAATAGATAACTTGTACGCTATCATCAGCTGATTAAAAATTATTAATAACTGATGCCCCACAATCGTAGTATTTCTCGACCTTAAGGTGGAATTTGACTGTCGATCGTGAGGTCCTATGGCCGTGTTTGTCACTGAAAGGAGTACCATAGAGGTACATTAACCTTGTAAAGGCTCTCTACTCGAACACAGCTGGTTGGGTGAGAGCTTATGGCGAACTGTCATCAGAATTGATCACCTCAAGTGATGTTCGTCAGGGTTGTCCACTTTATTCTTGTTTAACTTTATTGTAGACATGCTTTTAGAGATATCACCTTCCTCATCTAAATTCCCAGAGGTTGAATTTCTACCGGAAGATCCACTTGTCGACTTAGAATATGCCGATGATATAGTTCTATTTGGTGAAGATGCTGACAAAATGCAGTCTTCTGACCACTATATGCAACAATGCAAGTATGTTCGGCATGCGATTCTCTCTCCCGAAATGCAAAATGTTGCTTCAGGATTGGGTTGCATCGACACTCGAACTAATGATAGGAGGTGAAATGGTTGAGTGTGTCGACCGCTTCACTTATCTTGGAAGTCTCATCAGCCCTTGTGGTTTAGTGTGTGACGAAATCTCAGCACGGATAAAGAAGGCTCGACTAGCTTTTGCCAACTTGCGTCATTTATGGCGTAGGCGAGATATCCGTCTATCAACCAAAGGACGGGTTTACTGCGCAGTAGTTCGTTTCGTCCTACTTTATGGCAGTGAAACATGGCCGGTAAGAGTAGAGGATATCCGTAGGCTACTAGTATTTGATCATAGGTGTCTTCGAAACATTGCTCATATATCATGGGACCATCGCGTAAGTAACACAGTTGTTAGGAAACGGGTACTAGGTAAGGATGGCAAATCAATTGATGAGGTAGTGAAACTTCATCAGTTGAGATGACTGGGACATGTGTTACGTATGCCAACGACCGACTGCCTTGACGTGCTATGCTCAGTGGTATAGGAGTAGGTTGGAAGAAAGCTAGGGGCGGCCAAACCAAAACATGGCACAAGTCCATGAAGTCACTGACAAGTGAACTGAGTCATGTTGGTAGGTGTAGACTACCTGGTTGGGGTCCGCGAGATGATAGCAATCGATGGTTAGAGACCCTGAATGACATGGCTCAAAATCGTTTGCAATGGCGCAGGTGCATCCACTCTTTGTGTTCTACCAAATTCTGATCTTCTGAATTCTCCATGTCCCTTTCTTTTTTCTCTTTCCAAATTTATTTCACTGGATTATACTCCTTTCGGATTACTGCTCATACTCTTACTACCTCTACCACTATGGGATTTGAATCGACGACTGCACCTCTGCTAATGTGGTGTGGCAACTCGAACGTACGTACGAAGTTCTATGTTGTTAATAACTGATTAATATCTGATCCTTAAAATGCTCGAAATCCAAAAAGTGGGTTTAAGACGGTAAATTACAGTATAATATAGTATGAAGCACTGATATCACGATAAAGGTGTATTGCTTATTTATTTCTTACTTCTCGACGTTTACTTCCTTTCCTTCTCTGGATGCACTCCCTAGCTTCTTTATTCATGGTTCTCAATGAGCGTACGTCACATATTGTTGTTGATACAGCACCTTTTGTAAAACGTACACGTCTTGAGGTAAGTGAAATTCGTAAAGTCTTTCATCATGTGCGTTTCTAGACTTTCGGTGCAAGTATTTACACTATACCACAAGTTTTAGCTGAAATAAAAGATGTTCAAACGCGTGAATATATGAATTGTTTACCATATGCCCTGAATTGTCAAGTACCAGAAACTAATTCTATTAACATAAGTAAGTATCAAGAAAATCTGGTACCTTAGTTATTATCATAGTTAAAGGTATTGCAAAACAAACTGGGGATCTGTCAGTTCTCTCTGCAACAGATATTAATGTGATCGCTTTAACTTATGAACTGCATAAAAGATATATCGGTGAACCAAAAATTAAGGATGTGGTAAGTCATTGTTATATCACTATACATATACCCATACCGTCAGAAACCTTTGCCCAGTAACCTTGGGTCTTTAGCTCGTTCTCAATTGCCAAAATTGAACACAAAAAGCAATCCATCCGTTGATGTATGTGATGAAGCAGAAACATCTGGATCTGAAAACGGTGATACAGAAACATCTGAACCGGATGATGATGATTGGATAACAGAAAATAACTTTGATGAGAAGGCCATGACTAATTTCGGGCTTGGAGGAAAAATTGCGTATGCTAACCTTTTTGATGGTGTTTGGTTGCTTCTAACTAATCGATTACTGTATTTATTGATTTATTTGCTCAATTCATGGACGCTCTTAAATTTATGTATTTCAGTTAACCTATGTAATTTTGCATGCTGTTCCTTCCGATACAGTTGCGCAAGGTTCAGGGTAGTGCCTAGCAAAATAAAATTTGAATCTGGTGCGCACTGGCCAAATGTCACTTTTTTAAATGGCTGACCTATGGGTCTAATATTTTTGTGATGTAGATATAACAATGTTTCAACAGCATTGTATGTAACACTATTTATGCCTAACTTTTAATATGACAGTCGACACAAGGATAGATTAAATGTATGACGTCGCCACATTTAGTGAATTTCCCCGAACACTAATTTTTCATGCATTTATCACTGATCTTGTGAAGATTTCCATTAATTTATATATTTCCTTGTGCGAGTTTCGCTAATATTCTGCAAAGTAATTCAACCAATAGATCGAAGGTTTTTATACTCTCCCGTTTACTTTAGTTTGGGCATACAAGTAAAATTACATTTTAAGCTCTAGAACTGATAGATACTTTTTATAACGGAGAGTCATCCTTCTCGAATCATATCTAGGCGTAATGCTCTTTATTACCACTGATACTGTTACTACTTCTATTACCCTGGTATTTGTCTGGTTGTGCTATGTTGTGGCAACCAATAAATATAAGTGATAAACTGTACGTTGCTTATGAATGATTGTCTGACACAGCAGTACATCTGTAAGCGGGAAATACCAAGTAGAATTTGATAAACAAGGTACAGTAGAATAAATAATTATTCATTCTCTTTATTTTAATTTTCTGGATTTGTTTCTTGATACAAACGTATTTTGTTTTAGAGATATACTGGAACCAATCAATGAAGTTGAAACAAACGTTGTAGCTTGCTTGACAACTGATTTTGCTATGCAAAATGTTCTTTTCCACGCAGGTCTCGACATAATAAGCATAAATGGTTTGCGTATTCGTCAACCAAGAACACATTTACTTTGGTGTTGTGCTTGCTTTAAGTGAGTCTACGAAACATATGGTTTATATTTACCTATTGATTAATAATGGTCTAATGATCAAGTTTGTAAGTGGTCTACTGATGATATGACCACTCGTAAATACCCACTTCATTTCCAAATTACCATGTTCAACTGCCACCGGCCTAAATTCCCCATTGCGATTTGCGTGGAAGTAGGTTGTAAAAATGCTTGGGTATGGTCAAACTAAGACAAAGCACTAGTTCATGGTATTATTGACTGTTGGTGGATAAAAAAATATCCAGATGTCGTTTGCATCATAAAATCATAATCACTTATTATACATCGTTGGGTGACATGGCTAAAAATCAGTCGCGTAGTGCAAGGGTATTCACCATTTAATCTCACTTCACTTTTTAAACTATATTTTCTATGTTTAGTTATTTTCACCATTACAGACTCCATTATTTCTTCGACTACTGTACTAATACTTACTTAGTTACTTACGCCTGTTACTCCTCGTGAAGGAGCATAGGCCTCTCACCAGCATTCTCCATCCAACCCTGTCCTGGGCAATCCTTTCTAACTCCGTCCAGTTGTAATTCATCGTTTTCATATCTTCTTCTGTTATCCGACGCAATGTGTTCTTTGGCCCTCCTCTTTTTCGCTTCCCTTCAGGATTCCAAGTTAGGGCTTGCCTCGTGATGCAGTTTGACGATTTGCGTAACGTATGTCCTATCCATTTTCACCGTCTTTTCCTAATTTCTTCTTCAGCTGGAAGTTGGTTTGTTCTCTCCCACAGAAGGCTATTGCTGATGGTATCCGGCCAATGGATGTTGAGTATGTTGCGTAGACAGCTATTTATAAATACTTGTACTTTCTTGATTGTGGTTGTTGTAGTTCTCCAAGTTTCATCTCCATACAGTAGAACTGCTTTGACTTTCATATTGAAGATTCTCACTTTGATATTGGTTGAAAGTTGTTTTGAGTTCCATATGTTCTTCAATTGTAGGAATGCGACCCTTGCTTTGTCAATCCTTGCCTTTACGTCTGCATCTGAACCTCCTTGTTCATCAATGATCCTTCCCAGGTATGTGAAGGATTCTACAACTTCCAGAGTTTCGCCATCAAGAGTGATTGGATTGCTGTTCTCCGCTTTGAATTTGAGGACCTTGGTTTTCCCTTTGTGTATACTGAGGCCTACTGGTGCAGAAACTGCTGCTACACCGGCTGTCTTCATCTGCATCTGTTCGTGTGTACGTGATAGGAGGGCTAGGTCATCTGCGAAGTCCAGATCGTCTAATTGATTCTGAGCTGTCCATTGTATTCCATGTTTTCCTTCAGATGTCGAGGTCTTCATAATCCAGTCGACCACCAGAAGAAAGAGGAAGGGAGAGAGTAAACAGCCTTGTCTGACTCCGGTTCTTACTTGGAATGCATCCGTCAGCTGTCCTCCATGCACTACTTTGCACTGTAGTCCGTTGTATGAGTTCCGGATAATATTGACAATCTTCTCAGGAACTCCGTGGTGTCGAAGAAGTTTCCATAATGTCCTCCTATCTACACTGTCGAATGCCTTTTCATAATCAATGAAGTTGATGTATAGTGATGAGTTCCACTCAACTGATTGTTCGACGATGATCCGTAGTGTTGCAGTTTGGTCTGTGCAAGACCGATCCTTACGGAATCCAGCTTGTTGATCTCGAAGTTGGGCGTCTACTGCACCCTTCATCCGGTTCAGCAACACTGTTGAAAACCTTCCCTGGTATTGACAGTAGTGTAATGCCTCTGTAGTTTTCACATTTGCTCAGTTTTAACCGTACTAATACATCTTATTAATTTACTCACGTGCTGCACGGATGTTAGAATTCGAACTAATGCACATTCGTGACTTATTTATTTGTTTAAATTATAATTGATTCGAACTCAAATTGTTCAGTAGAAGTATTTCCGTTGCTCACTTATAGTTGACAAGTTTCCCGTGTATCCGTTATGCAGTGTAGAACTTGACAGCGCTCTGATGCAATAGTGACTGGTGACTTTAGTGCTCAAGTAGGTAAACTAAACGAAAAGGAAAGGCACTTGGGCGGACCTTATGGTGTCGATAGCAACTGATGGTTAGAGACCCTGAATGACATGGCACAAAATCGTTTGCAATGGTACAGGTGCATCCACTCTTCTAATCTTCTGAATTCTTCATGTCCCTTTTTTCTCTTTCCAAATTTATTTCACTGGATTATACTCCTTAAATAACATCTTCAAACCCTAATCCTCCCGTTTACTGCTTATACTTTTACTACCTCTACCATTATGGGATTTGAAACGACAATTGTATCTGTGATAATGTGATATGGCAACTTAAACTGATGTACGTACGTACGACGTTCTACGTTGTTGCTGACTAACTGGTACCCTATGTCTGACTCAATGATCTCAAAATACGAGACCAGTGGTCTGAAAACATCCATAGTCGAATACTAGTACATTACGAATATCCTTTATTCTTAACGAACATGCCTTACATCTATAAAGCAAAACAAAGCACAGTGCTGCACAGTAAACTTGCCCTTTGGTTACCAGAAATATTCTCGCCTACCCCACAGTTAACGCAAGTTAGTAAAAGCCAACCGAATTTTTTGAATTCGTGTCAAGATTTCATTAAACACCAGGAATAGTGTTTTATTTGTAGAACTATTTTACTGAGTAAGTGGTTGACCTGTCCCAGTGAAGATCACCTCAAATCTTACTAATATACTCAAGTTAAACCTGTGAGACATTAGTGACAGTCCTTATAGGATTTAGGAACTGAGAACATTTAAAGAGAAAGAGCAAAATACTTAATTGATTGCATATTGTCCAGTAATGTTTATCACATAACGCTTCACTGTCCTGCTTGACGCAAATGAATCTTGATGGATTTTAATATAATTGAGTTCAGTTTTTCTCCATTTTATTACTACAGGCCTACTAAACGTACGGACACCTACTTTTGCCCATGGTGTGGACATGCTAGTCTACGTCGAATCCCAGTTACTTTACACGAAGATGGCCAGTTAGAATTTCACTTTGCGAAAAGATTTGTGCACAGACGGCGCGGTTTAAAAGTAAGTAGTATATACTAAATGATGTCATTTTGTTTTGTTCGTAGCAACCAGTGAGAATCCCAAAGGGTGGAAAGTATGCTGACGAACCAATTTATTGTGCAGACCAACGTATTCCTGACCGAAGACCAGCCCGTCCTAAAAATCCAAAAGTGCTTCCATTAGCTACTAACGGATTATTAGGATTTGAAGATGAAGAACTATCCAATGTTTTGGAATTCCAATGTAATTTAAGCAATGCATCATCAGTGGTGTTCCCATTAAATGACGTTACTAGTCGATCTGCACTCTGTGGTATCCGATCTGATCATCAAATACCAAGCAGAAGCTATTTACAAGGTGTACATGCTGAGCATGGCCTTAAACCGACAAGAGGCAAGGCTCATATAGTTAGACCAAGAACAGGAAATAAGAAGAAACATAAATCTTAAATGTGATTTTCTTCGCTGTATATTTCTAGAATATACATTATTTTATCAAAATATATATTTCATTTCCTTGGTTTTTCAATAATCACATGCCTTGCTAGTGTATATAAAGTAGTTGTAGAAGGAACTAACCTTCGAACGGCAGCTAAACCCAAGTCTACCAGCCAAAAAGTGCGATGTGTTGGAACCAAATTTAAAAATCAAGCACATCCTAATTCCTTTTGTCACCACTTACAAATCATTTATCATCAGATAAACCTTAATGTGTTTTAACTACTTTCACACCTTACTGTCTTCGGAAACAGAACGTGCCGTTTGTCGGCTAAGCAGTAGAGTCATGTAGTTTTATTAGCCTATAGTTTTGTATTAACAAACCTCTTTATTATTGCTTCCATAGTAACACAAGAAGACAGATATCTACATAACCTGTTGGTTGTTTACACCTCTACTTTGTAGTTGGATAAGGAGATTCTTAAAAAAATATCGCGTTAACACGCTCTTATTATCAGAAGTCACTTAGTAATATAGCCAAGCGAATTAATACAACGATAAGAGCGAATCTTAACTAAAAACACACAAATAACAACAAGTGGCTGTTCCTCCGATTACATTAAATCTCACTAAACCACATAAATATCAGAAGACAACACCTAACATGTAAATGCAAAAATTTATTATTTAGCAGAAGTACAAACGCATTTTTAGCTAATCAAAAGTCCAATGGAAAAATGATTGGGAAGTTTGTGCTGAATAATTAAGTGGTATAATGGATGATTGTTGGATAAGGTTATTTAGACCATATGATTTAATGAACACCACACAAAAATCCTTACTTCAATGACCAAAAACCTAAGACGTTATTAGACTTTAAATTAAACACCTTATAATAAAAATCGTCATACGCTTACTAAACTGATGTCAAAATGTGATACCTGGGCTTCTAGTGACAAGCCGTGATTGATAGAGTCCAACTTCGTTGTACATGAAACAAATATTACCAATGGTAGTAGATGGCGGCCGCGTAGTATCGCGAATGGGCTGACGTCAGAGATGTCAGTCATTGAATGACAACTCAGTAATTTTAAAGTTAAGCACTCGCCGCGAGGCTTAAGGATTGTATATTCGATCTCTTGTTGAAAGCGCATTACCAGAACGAAATAGCAGTTCAGTGATTATATAAGCACAACCAATTCTTCGTCATGTGCAACTTCGATATCAACAATTTCCACGACATCCTGTAATGATAATTTAGTCATTTCCTATCACAGTGGTGATCCTCTTCTAGTTAAATTTAACAAAATCAGCCAAATAACTTGTGACTATTGCTAGGTTAGTACGAGTGGCCTTCAGAATTATTTGTTAATCTCATGTTTTTAAGCTGATTTTGGCCGTAAAGAATTGCTAAAGTTACTAAGGTGGATAGTTATCGTGTCATTACGAAAGTAATAACTGACATCTCGGGCCAATCAGAAGTCGGCTAAGTGTAAAGTGCAAATGATTAACCAAGAAATGGCTTTCATTCCTATAGGATGGAACACGAATGGTGGCTTAACTTTCCAAGGGAGATATATATGATTCTCAAAGTCGTGCATGGAGGACAGCTGACAGACGCATTCCAAGTAGGGACCGAAGTCAGACAAGGCCGTCTATTCTCTTCGTTTCTGTTCTGGTGGTTGACTGGATTATGAAGACCTGGACATCTTAAGTAAATCACAGAATACAATGGACAGGTTGGATGCAACTATATGATTTGGACTTCGCAGATGAATTAGCCGTTCTATCCCATACACCAACAAATGCATATGGAGCAGCAGCCTCTGTGTCACTAGACCTCAACATACACAAGGGAAAAGCAACAAGTTCAAATACAACACGGAGAACACCAACCCAACCACACTTGATGGAGAAACTCTAGGAGAGGTGGAAACATTCACGTACCTGGTCAGCAGCATCATCGATGAACAAGAAGGACTCGATGTAGACGTGAAGGCAAGGATTGACAAAGCAAGGGTGGTACTCCTACAGTTGAAGAACATATAGAACTCAAAAATACTCAACTGATATCACAGTCGGAATCTTTAATACGAACGTCAAGACGGTTTTATTGTATGGAGCTGAAAGCTGAAGAACTACTACAACCATCATAAAAATGTACAAGTATTTCTAAACAATTATCTGCGTAATATACTGAATGTGCGTTGACCGGATGCCATCAGCAACAGCCTGCTGAAGGAAAGAACAAACCAAGTTCCAGCTGAGGAGGAAATAACACTGGAAGTGGATAGGACATACATAATGGGAATCACGAAGCAAACGTTAACTTGGAATCCTGAAGGGAAACGAAAAATAGGAAGGCCAACGAACACGCTACGTCGAGAATTGGAAGCAGACATGAAAGAATTGTCCAGGACAAAGATAGATGAAGAATGCTGATGAACGACCTATGCTCCTTCACGACGGATAACAGGCGTAAGCAATATATCATTCGGTTTGATAAGTAAGCTTTCTTTCTAATTCACTCTTTCCGCTTGAGTGACGAGTTGAGCTCATATCAAGGTAAATTATGTATCAGTTTCAACTCTCTGACATACCACATGTCACAACATTATTAGCATCAATTAACCTTGGAGACGAATAGACATGAGATTAAAGCATCTCGAATACCTGATTTCTGAGAATATCTCTTACTCATGTGTTTTTATTCCTTTGAGGACCATATGCCAAAGGATACAGTTTTTGGCCGATTCTACTGAAGCTAAGATGAACAATTCTAATCATTCTAGCAGTTATCATCTAATTGCTGTGATTTAAATACAATCAACACATCAGTTCTAACGTTACACTGAAATCAAAGTGCAATTATTTCAACTGTTAATAGGTGTTTCGAAAAAAATAGTCAACTTCAATCAGAAAATAATGTTTTAAAAAATTCAGCGACCTTGTACAATTTGTAGAAATGAAATGAAAGTTACGATAAACCAAACCCACTTCTCGACAAAATAAACATGAATTAGGCGATGAATTCTTTTACGATACAAGAACTGTACATAGTGTTTTCCAAATATATTATATCGCTGTGCCTCTTTCAAGATTTTGTTTAATTTCAGCTGTATATTTCCCATAATGTCGATCAAGTAACTCATTATATCGTTTGTTACGCTCATTAATATAGTCAATATCAGCATCGGCATCGAATGGACGTCTCCGACTGTAAGCTTTACGCTTGACACCTTGTTCAATTATTTGTTTAGCTAGACGCTCAACAGCTTCAGGTGTGTCTTTGCGATCTGTTAATCCTATTGTATCAGCAGTTGGAAAGGCTAAATCTCCTCTGAAGAAGAAAAACAAACGTTTGTGCTAGAATTAATAAACATAACAGTACTAATCTAATCAATCATTATGTTCCCCTTTTTGTGAAAGTAAATCATAGCAACGTTGAATTAAAGACGTACGTGTTTAGCTTCAAGTTGTCACCAACTCGGCATAGCAAGATAAAATTGTCAAGAAAAATGCTAGTGTAATAGAATTAACCAACCGTATAAATAGTTGTAAAATAAAACAGCAACGAAATGCTTTATAACTTAGGATTTAAGGAGTACCTGCATTAGTGAGACTGATTCTGAACCATGCCACCCAAATTTTTCAAACATTGGTCACAACGATTACGCAGACCCCGAACAGGCAGTCTGTATCTACTTACACAGTTCAGTACAATGTTCGACGACTTAGCGGACTGATGCCACGTTTTGGTTTGACCACCTCTAGCCTTCTTGGTATATCAGCAAACATTACACATCGAGTTAGGCAGTGGTCGGACATATATATTACATGTACTTACCACCTTAGTTGAAGATTGACTGGCTTATCAGTCGATTTGTTATTTTTATCTAATACCCTGTCCTAACCTCAGCACTTATTTATTTATTTCAACACATAAATATTGGTACAAGAGGGCACCAAGTATATATGCGCCACACCATATTTGTGTGTGTGGGCTGTGATACTGCCCGGGTGCCCAAACCGAAGCAGGTGATTTTCTTAAAGAGCCACACCCCGAGCCCTTGACCTAAAGGTCTGACCCACAAGGCAATGGATCATCGTGAGGAGATGCATTCCCATGGTAGCCGGTGACCAACGATAGGTTCATACGCAATTTGTTCCCACAGGATACTGGAGCCCATGTGCACCATTGGTTTGAGATCCGGTTAAAGCGCCGGACATTCGCTTTTCGTCCTCTCATTTTCGTAAACAACACCCCCGCCACGAGAAGGCAGTGGGTAGGACTTCCCTGACAGAGGCTGTATACGCGTGGCCGTGTGAGAGTATTTCGAGGGCGGGCGCACCCCACTCTCGGCCATATCAGGGCATTTGGGGGCCGACTGTTATCCCAAGATACTCTTCGAAATGGCCCAAAGAAACATCTGTATAACCTAGACAACAGTGAATACTTTATGAGCAGTTTATTGTACAGGACTTAATCAACCATGATAAATATTCAGATGAGACCAGGTTTGATTGTTTTCCTTGAGGTTCTTTGATGCTGGTGGTAATTATCATGACATCGTAATTAACACAAGGACTAATTCGTAAAAATCTCACATAATTAGGCGTAAGGGTGAGAAATTTTACTCCAGTAAATGATAAAAGTTAATAATCAGTATACGAAGTTAACTGTGAAATATCAGGAAGAAGCAAATATGCAAATCAGTAGTTTATCGTACAGTTAGTTAGTGCAGTTAAATCTATTGGCATTTTAAATTGTATACACCCAGTTATTGATTATTTGCAGTTATTATTAGGAGCCCAACCAGGTAGGTTATATCTATCAATGAGCTTCATGAACTGATGGCACGTTTTGGTTTGGTAGCCCCTATCTTCATTCTAGTCTAGTCATATACAACAGAGCATCACTCATCAAGGTAGGTGGCGGCTAGACATATATATGTTCTAACTATCTCAGTCAAAGATTTACAACCTCATCAACCGACTTTCCATCTTTACCTAGTATATTATGCCTTACAACAACATTGGTCACGTGCTGGTCTAAAATATGAGTAACGCTTTCAAGATACCCATGATTAAAAACTTGAAGCCTATGTACACTTTCTGCTTTCATACACCATGATTCGCAGCCCATAAAATAGAACAGAGCGAACTGTTGCGTAGTATAAATGCCCTTTAGTTGGTAGACGGATATCTCGCATAAGTCACAAGTGAAGAAAACTGGCAAACGCCAAACGGGCTATCCAAACGTGTGCCAAGATTTCGCCAGACACCCACTCACCAAGGCTGATGAGACTTCCAAGATAAGCGAAGTGGTCGATGTATTTAGTTATTTTATTCCCCATCACCAGTTCGACGGTTAACCCGGACCAGTTTTGCAGCGACATTTTGCACTCAGAAGGAGAGAAACGGATCTCGAAAATTTTAGCATTGAGGATCAAGGGTCATAGTCAAAAATGACTTAGCAGATATCGGGTAGTTAGTTTTTCTACTATTACTACTATCAAGACATTATATCACTCGGTTTATCAATGAGGTAGCGTTATTAAGGTGAAAGGCATTAGGATTGGGATAAGACACGAGACTTTTAATTTAATGTGGTATTTATTTATTCTACTTCTAATTTAATATGAAATCTGTTTAGAACAATATTTGATTTGTTTTAGTATGATATTTATTCAGTATAATATTCTTTTATATTAACTTGGTGTAATATTTGTTCAGCCTAACATGCAGCACATCTTCGTATTGACTCTGAGTAAAACGTAGTTTATACTTCCCTTATTTCGTTTATATATTATATTTATTAACTAATCATCAATGCTAGTAAAACCTATTCAGACCTAAATAAATGTATTCGACTAGAGCGACCAAATTTTCAGAAGATCAATAAAATCTTTATTCTCTCATTAGTTTTGTTTTTTTCCTATGTCGCGTAGATCTCAGTTTTCTTTCTGCTTTAAGTAACAGGTTCCACATTTATAAGAAATAAAAACGAAGATGGCATTTTCTCTTATTCGGGATATGGGAAATATGGATCCTTCATAGATACCGTTTGAAATGTAATACGATAATATGAAGGGTAGTGATTGGAGCGGGATTCGGACTTTGTGGTTAAGTTTTGAACACCTTAACCTACGGATTTATGGCTCAATAAGAATAAATTCACAACATAACATAAAAATCCCAAACACACGTGTAACTTACAATTTTTCTTTCTCCTTTTGATAGGCAATCAAATCTGGTTTAATCTGTTTAGTCATTTTAAGATATTTACGATGTGATGCATCAGCGTATGTTGAAAATCCTTCATCTGTATTACATTTTTTTCTTCGTCTTATTTCAAGACGATCGGCTATCTCAGCACTAACATTTAATGCACGCATTCGATCTGGATCAACTTTTTGTTGATTACATTCCAATCTAAATAGTTCATCTTCTTCCTCCCATTGTAATCGTTTTTGTCGTACTTCCCAGTTTGATGGAAGTTTTGATCGCTTATCCTCTTCAACAACTTGAATATGATTAGATTTTCTAGCCTCATTCTAGAAAAAAAAACAAGAAACTTTCAAATTTGTTTTGTCATAATAAACAATCACTGTAATCAATATTACACGTTAGTTCGGTAGTATGATAATTTGCAAACCCAATGCCATAATTATTTGCAAAACGTTATTTATTTTTTAGTGGTGATAGTGATTGAAATATGTTTTGACGGAGCGAATACTGGGAGTGTTGTAACGTTCGGATTGTTTTACTGACTATTATCGTTTACACGTTTATTATACATGTAACTGGGTTATTGTATGAATCTTCCCCTCTGTTGGATCCACTAACTATTGTTATACGACGTACTGTTCCTTACTTAATTATGCCTGTTACTCCTCGTGGAGAACCATAGGCCGCCCAACAGCACTCTCCATCCTACCCTGACCTGGGCAATCCTTTCCAGCTCTTCCCAGTCGTTATTCATCCTTTTCATTTCTGCTTCTATTTCCCGACGTAATGTGTTCTTCGGCCTTCCTCTTTTTTGCTTCCCTTCACGATTCCAAGTTAGGGCTTGCCTCGTGATGAAGTTTGGTGATTTCCGAAATGTATGTCCTATCCATTTCCATCGTCTTTTGCTAGTTTCCTCTTCAGCTGGAAGCTGATTGGATGGATGTTGAGTATCTTGAGTACACAGCTATTTATAAATACTTGCACTTTTTTGATGATTGTTGTAGTAGTTCTCCAGGTTTCAGCTCCGTACAGTAGTACTGTCTTGCATTTCGTATTGAAGAGTCTAACTTTGATATCGGTTGACAGTTTTTTTTAGTTCCATATGTTCTTCAGTTGTAGGAATGGGGCCATTGCTTTGCCAATCTTTGCCTTTACGTCTGCATCTGATCTTCTTTGTTCATCGATGATGCTTCCCAAGTACGTGAAGGATACCACATCTTGAGTTTCGCCATCAAGTGTGATTGGATTGGTTTACTCCATGTTGTATTTGAGGATCTTGCTTTTTTTATGTATGTCGAGGTTGCTGCGGCTACTCTAGTTGTCTTCATCTGCATTTGTTCGTGTGTATGGGATAGAAGGGCTATGTCATCTGCGAAGTCCGAATCGTCTAATTGGTTCTGAGCTGTCCATTGTATGCCGCGTTTTCCCTCAGATGTCAAAGTCTTCATAATCCAGTCGACCACCATAAGAAAAAGGAAGGGGAGAGTAGACAGCCTTGTCTGAAAACGCTAACCAGAAAAATATTGTTCCTTAAATATTATTAATTATTTATGAACCGTTTGATCCGACCTCGGCCACTTACGGAAAAATATGGATAAAATCCCCATACCTACGACTCATATGTATAAACTAATGTGTTTAAGATAGATATGCTGGGTGCTTTAAATTTAATGATAAAAGATTACTTGTGGTGTTCTCATTCGAACTCAAGAAGGAGGGATAAATGCTTGTATTGACGGACTACAAACATTTAAAATTATGTCGTCAGTGTACAAGGCTACTCTCGTTAGTTTACGTGTCCTATTGGTCAAGTTAAGTAATAAGGTGGTAGATGGACTAGAATACTCGGACTCAAAAATACCAATAAGAGTTTCAACTGCTGCATTTTTTCATGAGTTATAGACTACGAAGGTGCAGGTTCGGGAATGTCAAAAGATTTGACAAGTTTCGGCGTAGTTTGGCTTGTGTACATACTGTGACGTTTTAGAGTGACATTTCTTTTATTAAAATACAGTAAACAGAGAGATTTACTACTTGGAAAGCTTCAACTTGTTGGTTATACACGATTGTCATGACTGAATCTGACCTTAAAAGTGACGAGTATATGACGATCGTTCTCATTAGTTTTACTTAACCTTGTGTTACAATGTTGACAATTTAAATGAACTAAATACCAGCTTTTTGACGACTGATATTTTGCTCAAAACGCTCTTATCAATTGGATACAAAGTAAACCTTACTTAATTAATATAAGAATTTTCTGACTATTTAACTGAATAAATATAATGTACTTCATAACTGTGTTTGATTAGCAAGACGATGAACTTTAGTGTAGCACAGTATGCGTGTGGATTGTCAACTTAAAATGATGAGACATTGTTGACCCATAACATGTGAAGCTGTTGAATTTCCCTCAGAAATTAAGATCTTTAAGTATTATTTTAAATGTAAGTATAATCTTTGTTGTTACGGGCTAAGTATAGTGATGAGTTCCATACTTGTTCATTTATCAGAAGACAATTGAGGAATACATGTCGGTTCGATTTTAAGACAGAAATTGATATTTAACTAAAAAGCTAACAGTGTTGCAAATCAATAGGAATATACCGGCTGAATGACATACACGTCATGTGCGTAAAAAGGCATAAAGTATGGATAACTACGAAGATGATTCAACACCTCAGACGCCCTGGTACAACCGAGAGGAGAGGGCCAGCTCCCCTCTCGAAATGCTTTCATATGGTCACGTGCATACAACCACTACCAGGGAAGTCCTATCCACTGCCTTCTCGTGGCCAAGGTGATGTTTATGAGATTGAGAGGACGGAAAGCGAATATCCGACCCTTTAACGTAGTTGGTAGGCATACAGGATCCACCTAGGGGAGTTGGAAAACTTTGATTGCAAACCAATGGTGTACATGGAGTCCAATATCCTGAGGGAACAAATGGCGTCTGAACCTATTGTAGGTCACCGGCTACCGTGGGACTGCATCTCCTTACGTTGCTCCACTGTATTGTGGATTAGACCTCTAGGCCAAAGGTTCGGAGTGTGGCCCCCTAGGTAAACCATCTGCTTCAGTTTGGGCACCCGAGCATTATCCCAGACCTCACACAAATCGGATGATTTATGTGGCGCGTATATATTTGGTGCTTCCTTGTACCAATGTTTGTGATGCAATAAATAAATAAACTTATCTTTAGAACGTAGGCTATTATCACGGCTGTTTAGAAGAATGTTTTATATAAACGAATAGAGATTTCGAACCTACCACTCTTAAGTGAAGTTCCCTGAGTTTTTCCATATACTTTGAGGACCCATTGGCCCCGGTTGTGGACATTTTTAGTCTATACAAACGAATAAACAAAATTAATAACAATTATCACTATAGATTTTTTTACTTGATTATTTCAAATAAATGGATGATTAGGTGTTTCATTTATAATATAAGAGGTACCTTGACTCAAATAACAAAGCATTCACATAATTGGACGTATTACGATCATATTGAATGTTCTGCCTTGTTCTTTCGTACCACGTAAACTTGAGTTGATTTAGTTCAGGAATTTATGTATTTTCTAGAGAAGAAACTTACACTATGCTGTTAAACATCAGAAGTCTAGTTTACTATCCAACAGCATATTACAAACATACTGTTATTACCATAAAATTAACAGACATGCGCCCTGATATGCTTTGTCTGAACATCAAACTGTCTCTGTAGTGTATTCTATTTTGAAAGCCCAGTTGGATCAGATTAGTGTGAGAACAAAGCATATAAAGCTAGCCAAAATCCAGTCGAAACAAGTAGCAAAAATATCCGTCTTATTAAAATGTCTATTCACACACTTAAATGATAAAATGAAGTATCCCAATGATCAATCTAACCCACTGATCTAGAGAAGAATTGAAAGATTGAAACGCACGAGTAAGATGACATGATAAGTTACCTTTCATAGAAGATAGCCTAACATGACAATCATACTACCAGACTGTAAAAGAAACTGTACATAGACGTCTGATGCAGGAAATAACCTATTTGATCAGTTACTGACGTCGAAATCCTGACTGAGGACGACAACAAAACACTGGAGGCGCTGAACAACATCCGTTACCAATGAGAGCTGAGAATTACGTGATCCAGAAAGGAAAATGAAGACATATATTTTTACATCAGACACGTTTTTATTAGGACTGAATCTTAGTTGTCATTCGGTAAGGGTAAGGGAGCACCATTAGGCACAACTTACAATCCGAGATCAATAACATGGTATGGTCAGAACACTAGGGATTTCCCTAATCACTTAAACAGAGGAAGTCGTTTAGTTTGAACGAGAGCTTTTTCCAGCGTTCGCTTGAGTGGAAACCCTCGAAATCCATCGTATAGGAATAAATAAAACGAGCAGAATTTATTGGGAATAACCGCTTAATAATAAAATATCCTAAGTTACTATCTCAAGGACTCTTACGACGTAAACAAATGAAGCCTGAGTTATATCATCCAAACCACGAAAACCAACATCTGAAAGACCTGTATAGGTTTGAACTTTGAAAGACCTTAAAAATGGCACAAATATATCCGAGGGATTCACTTGAACTCCAAGCAAAATGGAGACAATTGTGTAATATGTACCATTCTTTGAGTGGACTGATGTCTGCCTGATATCCTACTTTAAGGTAATCTTTTTAAAGAAACCAGTTATATGCAAAATATACGACGTTATCTGTATGAAAGTATGAAGATTTAAAAGTGTTAGTGTAACCTTGCCAACAGTATTTATAATTGCTAATTAACTACCGGCAAATCTAAGAGCCTTAACTTTTTAATCCAACCCTAATCAACTATAATTTGTACCACCAATATGGATTTAATGTAAGTTCAAATTGTTAGTACACAGCCTGTTCTACATATACGTAGTAAGAAAAAAAATCCCTGAAGTTTTTTAGTTGATATATAATGAGAATATAAACTCAACCTTCATTTAAAAGCACAAAAAATTTGTTTTTTATTACCACGATGTAAACTGAATGTTTTCAGGAGGGATTCTGTAAACAAATGAATGTCTCAGTAGATAAGTAAAGTAACGCACATTACAAAAAACGCCATGACTTCTTGTACAGTAAACAATATCTTTCGATTCAAATCAGCATCCAATGATAGAAATATCAGATCACTTGACTATGTCAGCCACTGAATACGTTTGAACGTACGGCTTTTCAATACAGAATGTTCGTAGATTGATCAGAGAGTACTTTGTTGAGAAAGACGTTACGACGTGCTCAGAAAAAAGGAATCTCACTCCAAATTCGTGAACCCTCTTCCGATAATTTTAAGACTTTGACGTGATGTCATGCAGACAGTAGTATGTGAAACGTAATCCTATTGCGTTTTACGGAAAGGGAATAAAGATAAGGCATTTTTTGCCCCAATAGGCACATTCAGGTAAGGTCACTGAGTAACGTAATACTCATTTTTTGAAACATTTGAAAACATCAGCACTTTAAATAATATTTCGAATATTTGATTGTATCTAGTGATTTATTACTGTTTTAGGTGCGTGTGACATAAAATGCGAAGATAAGCTTCCTTAACTGATTCAAAGGTTTCGGAAAATGCGTTAAGGCTTCCGGAACTGCTGGTTTGCTATATAATCGTTTTCAAACCATGTACTGAAAATCTAATCAAGTCTTTGTTCGCTTAAGTTTAAGGAAGTGGCATCACAGTAATGGTGGGCCAACGAGTACTTGTTGAACCAATGTAGTTGAACTACAGTTCATTCGCACACAATGCATAGAATGCTCGCCAAACTCTGACTTGGCCCTTAGCCATGTGGTTCGGCATGGGGATCGTGCTTAAGGTGATCACTAACCCTTGTTCCTATCATCATATACAAAGAAGTACCGAATACTGTCATTCTATTCCATTTATATAGTTAAAACATTAGCGGCTTTAAGACTATATTTTCTTCCAAGCCGCGTGGTATTTATATTCATTTATACAATGTCCTATTTACTTGTAGTGACTTACTTTTATCAAGAGAACGCGGTTGGTTTAATGAAAAAAATTATTATTATAACCAATTGTACCAATGATTGTTTAACTGTGCTACAGACAGCCATATTACTGCTTTTGTTTTTCGATTGTGACCTTGCACGAATTCGGTTACGCTCAGTAACCACACTTGTACTCCTTTGGCACGATCTCGGTATCCTTTCGATACCACGAGATCGCCAACAAATACATCTCGACTACAGCCATCAACTGCATTCTGATAGTTGGCTTACGGGGGATTTTATCGATTAGCTGGCACGTAGACTTCTTGTAGTGGTGTTCATAGTCAAACGCTACTCGACACCACGCTACATACTTTTGCCACTTATCTTCGACAAAGGAGCAGGTTTTCCAACCCAAACCTGTGTTTGTTTGTAACCATGAATTTAGAGTGCTTATCTCTACGTCCTGCTCAACTTCTGATCTTGTGGGAAAAATTAGTACCACATTAATGTATTACGTCAAAATACAATTGTGGGTTGATGTCATATTAGCGTTGTATTTGTTCAGCTTCGACTTAATAACCAGGGAAAATTTTAAGTTGGACCTCGAATACAAATGTTCTTCAAAACACATTTAAGTGGTTGTATTAGTTAGTGTTGATAAAATACTACGTGTCGTTAGAATATCTCTAGATTGCAATACTGTGAGATAAATGGAAGATCTAACGGAACGGATTTAATCTTCATTTGCTTGAAGGGGTTCCAAACTTCTGGGAGTCGAAGGGAGATGTCGGAATTTCCTATTTTCGATCCAGTCTATCAGGTATCTAACGTGAATTAAAACTGCTGTGACCACCATAAGTTGTACCTCAGGAAAATTCTGATTGAACTGGTTACGATAACAATGATAAAACATATGATTAGGAATATTTTTTCTCGTTCGCCTGGATAATACGGCAGTATGTTAATGCGATAACCACCACCGTATAGGCTAGTCCATTACTTTTGTTTGTCTTCGACCATGAAAAGAGACGGGGATCTGTTCGATATCCTGCGACATAACTGCTGGATGATTTGGCCAGGGATCGGTGACATTTCACTGGCCCTACTGTTTCTTGGTACATCAACATGTACTCTGCGATAAGTGTAGATTCAGTAACCACCAACAAATTGCAACCGACCTATCAACGGGATTTCAAAGGGATCAAACCGCAATCAAGTGACAACACTCCTTAGTGGTTGGTAAGTCCCCCAGACAAATAGGTCCGTAAATCTTCAGCATTGATGCCAACCGTATGGGTCTTACTAGACAGTCTCTAGCTGAAGGCGCCCAGTCACGCATTGATTATTCGAAAGCGTGAAGTCGCCAATTCGTTGGAGATACAGACAGACTGGATATTTATAAACGAAGAATTTCCGGTTGACAACCTCTCAATCCTGGCTTCCCTTGAGGGAAGCAATCACTCCGTCATAGCCTTCAGTTTCATCGGCAAAACTTCGCAAAAACATCCCACTAACAACAGGCGCTGGAATTTCAAACGGTTGAATGTGTCAGCTTTACAGGACTATCTACAACAGGTGGATAAGGATGTCCACCCTCAACTTGACATGGATGCTCATTAGGATTTCTTACTGCACACAATCTTATATGCTACGAAGTGGTCTGTTCCTCAAATGATCCTCCAGATCTGCAAGCAAACTACAATCATCAAGAACCACACTCTTCGTTTTCTAAACCACAAAGGTACTGTCAGGCAGAATGCAAAGGAATTGATAACAACGACGCGTACAGGCAATACAAACATATAAGGAACATATGCACAAAGGCAGTAAGAGAAGACAGGTTTCGGTACCAGATAAAGCCTGTGGATAAACTTGTCTCCAAACCGAAATCTTATTCCGTTATAGAGTCTCTCTTCGACAGGCCAAAACTGGAGTTTTTCAAATGCTAGGTATCAACGGCCCGACCAATTACGACGGTGACGTCCCTAACCTTCTGGCTAAACGTTACTGTCAGACATTTCAACCTACCCACATCAACTATATTAATGAAAGCTTTATCTGCAAATGCACAGGACCTTCCGAAGTGAACCTGATCGCTGACTTAGTGTACCGGAATCTGCAGCATCTAAGAGAAGACGCTAATCCTGGCTCGTGAATGGTTCATTCTGCTACAGTGAGAAAAGCAGCTTCAATCCTGTCAACACCGCTTAGCGTGATGTTCTCACACTTCCTAAGCCGGGGCGAACTACCGAAGGTTTGGAGTCTGGTTTACATCACACCAAATTCGATCAACCGACCGGTGGATCTTCTCTTCATACCTTCGAGAATCATGGAGTCCCTGATATGCGATGCTATACGTGACTATCTATTAAGCCTAAACTTCTTTTCACCCCAACATCATGGTTTCAGAAAGCGTCATTCTCGTATAATTAACCTGATGACCACAGTGAACAGATGGACAACCATCCTTGATCGCGATGGGAAAGTTCACGTCATTTACCTTGACTTCTCAAAAGCTTTTGCTAGGGTCAGTCATATATGTCTTATCAATAAGCTCAAAGGATTAAGCATCAAACCATCTCTAATTGATTGGCTCACTTCATATATAAAAATCGACATTCTAAGGTCAGCATTAACTTCCCTTTCTCTCAAGCTATGGAATGTCCTAGTGGGGTCTCCCAGAGCTCAGTACTAGGACTTTTTTTCTTGATTTATATAAACGATCTTCCACAACAGATATCGTCTGAGTTATTACTTTTTGCTGATGATGTTAAACTCTGGAGAGAGACACGCAACAAAGAGGATATACAGGCACTTCAGGAGTATCTGACTCGACTTCAAAGTTCAGCAGACAACGACGGACTTACCTTTAACATTTAGTGTCAAATAGTTCATCTGAGACATGTTGCAGATGCTCATAAACGTATTCAAAGGCGAGACACGAGATCAGTTTGGGGATCAGATTCGAGCTTTATGAAGAGCGCCTAAAATCATTAAACCTTTACCCATTAGAGTATAGGCACCTTAGATATGACCTTCTTGTGGTCTATAATATCCTCAACAATTCTGACATCCTCTTAAACACCTACTTAAGTTAAGCTCTAACACAAACCTAAGGGGTTACACTCAGAGGCTGGATATACGACATAACAAAATGGACTGTAGAAACAACTTATACTCCTTAAGAGTTGTCAAATGCTGGGATTCGATGCCGGCTGAGCTAGTTGAAGTGACTTCCCAGGAGCTCTTTAAAAAGCAACCCGACTAATTCTTAAGGAGCAAGGATAATATCTTACTATGATTTACCAATTTCTTTTTTCCACTATTATCCTTAATATACCTAGGTTGCTGCCAGGAGGTATTGGTGATCCACTGCTACTAGACACGGAAGCCCGTTGAGCGAGAGCTTATTCTATTCAATCCACAATCATTCGAACCATTTGAATATCTCTAAAGACCGGGGTTAGTATGACATCCTTATTTCTTAATACTTTATTTACTTCTGTTTATTTCATGTAACAAGGTCCCGACTTGTATGAACAGGCAGTCTAGTACCAATAGATGTAAAAGCCTAATGAGCAGGAGTTCCTTCTATTCGAGAAATGAAGGTTCAAAAAATATTAAACAATTTCGAATACATTGAAAGTATTGTGGATACAAACAAAGTTTGAGGCTAGTTGTGAACTGAAGGTCAGGCGGACTTCGGAAATAACGTGAAAATAAGGTATTCGGAACGGTAAGTCACCAGCTTCTAGTTCGGATAATTGGCTTATCTTGACCTTACGCCTGTGATATTTCTAATCTATAGCTTAAATTCTGAAAAGTAGGTTCATTCTGTGTTCATGCAACTCGTCAGCTCACTTCCTATTTTGTTTTCCTAACTCTCTCACTCTACTTTCACTCCCGCAACCCACAAAGTACCTCCAGGCTAGCCACAAGTCCACCAAAAACTGAAAACTACATGAATCCACACTTTGGAGGTGAGTTTTCAGACTTCAAGGCCTCTTGAGACTTTATAATTAGTGTCTTCAATCTCACTCTCTTGGGAAGAAACCCCAAAGTGTTATAAGATTCTGTGAAAATATTGAGGAGGAAATTTCCCCAAACATTTTGGAAATGTTTCCCACACCTGGGGGAATTTCTAGGTTTTCGTGCCATTTCCCCAGAGTTTTCTATAGCGGTTTCTCCTAAATTTACCTGAACCGGACAAAAATTTCCACAAAATTGGATGATTGGGTCTCGATCAATAGGGACGTATTTACGTCTTAATATACTGTTAAGAACACTTTGGAAAATGAGCTAACAGTACCAACATTAAGGTACTTTGGTTGGTCATATAGAAAAAGCACGGTTCTAGGTTACAGGTTTTTATGTATGTTTTCTATTGCTTTCTTACGATTCTGAAAGTGGTGAGTAGTAAAACTAACCATCCTAAACCGTTTTTAAAGGGGTTTCCAAGGAGTTTCCTAGATAGTTCTCTGTTCATCATCACTTTGCACCCTATCGTGTACTAATTCGCTAACAAGCTTAGCGCTTTTTATCCCAGGTTTAAAGAGTTCTGGCATAAACCGTAACTGGGGTACTTCATAAATAGCCTGTTTAGTGTCAATAAACGTTATCTCATCGGAGACTTTGTTGTCTTGAGCAGTTATCTGTCCCCACTCGATAAAGCAATTGGCAGAAGTTACTATCGCTTCCCAGAAAAAAAAACTCCAGTTGATTTGATAGTTTTTCGCCTCGAGACTGAAGGTCCTGGACTCGGCCGCAGGTGGAGTCATATACACTCATTAATGAGGACGTAGCGACTGTCCATCGCGTCTCAGTTCTCACTGGTTGTTTAAACATGGTCAACCTTTAACGATAACTATATATATATGGCTACGTGCATACAACCACTACCAGGGAAGTCCTATCCACTGCCTTCTCGTGGCCAAGGTGATGTTTATGAGATTGAGAGGACGGAAAGCGAATATCCGACCCTTTAACGTAGTTGGTAGGCATACAGGATCCACCTAGGGGAGTTGGAAAACTTTGATTGCAAACCAATGGTGTACATGGAGTCCAATATCCTGAGGGAACAAATGGCGTCTGAACCTATTGTAGGTCACCGGCTACCGTGGGACTGCATCTCCTTACGTTGCTCCACTGTATTGTGGATTAGACCTCTAGGCCAAAGGTTCGGAGTGTGGCCCCCTAGGTAAACCATCTGCTTCAGTTTGGGCACCCGAGCATTATCCCAGACCTCACACAAATCGGATGATTTATGTGGCGCGTATATATTTGGTGCTTCCTTGTACCAATGTTTGTGTTCAACTAAATAAATATTTCCATCATAAAAAGTTCCTCATGAAGTGTGAATTTGACCATGCATGAAACCTTATTTCAAGCATTTGATATACGTTATTTATCCTCTAAACCTACTTCCCACCAAACTTGTCTTGCATTATCTAGTTTACAAACCTAACTGCATTACATTTGATTGCATATGACCTAGTTTAATTCTTTTCGATGAATCTTACGAAGACTAGTAAGTTGCTTCCATTGTATTTCTAGACTGATACCGATGGACAACTCAATTTAGCTGGTACTCAACATTTTGGTTTGTGATGTTTAGAAGTATTTGAATTATTATACGGACTTGGAATTCCCGAGATAGTGCAATTTACAGCAATAAAACTAGATGGGCACAGATGAACGTACTGTATTTGGAATTCGAAATCAGGCGAACATTAAGTACAAAAGAATAATTAGTTCATACAATCACAGTTTTGTTTGGCCTTAGGTTATTATGTAAGTGAAATAGTTATTTTTTATGAGGGAAGTTATTTCTTGAGGAAATTAGTTTGTTAATGTACTTTAAGTAGGCAGAGCTTTGTTTTGAGTTGATGTTCAATTTTAGAGAATGAGATATCGGTTTACATAGTAAATGTAATTTTTAGTTTCCACCAATCCCATATACATTTTTTTATTTTTAACAGATCACCTGATAGATGGTTAATTTGGGATCTAATAATAATACGTTACAAGATCTAAATGAATCTTCCACTCAATCTTGTTTTAGCAGAAATTTTACAAATTTTATTGAGGAAAGAAATTATGCTGATTTGAAATGTATAAAGGGTAAAAGTCTTCGAGAGAAATTTCATGAATTATTGCCTCCTAATTATTCTGCACATCTAAAATCTGAACTTGATAAACGTATCGATCGTTTCAGGGAATCTTGTTTACACCTGGTTGGAAAAGATTCAGTTAATATCAAAGAGCTTGGTACATGTGCAATGTTTATTTTATTAGGCGATATGGGTGAACAGTTGATGGAATTGTTAAGTCGAGGCGTTTCTGTGATGGACATACCTCGTCATTGTTCTGTCAAAAACTTAAAACCAAAAATCTTGAGTAAAATTGGTGGTTCTGGTGCTGATGATGTTGATATTGCTTGGACAGAAGTATGTAAATGTCTAGGTGGGATACTAGCGTTTCATCCATTTAAGACAACCAATCAAGATGAGTTTAGTCAACTTTTCCGTTGTTGTCGTGTGGTTTATCAAAGTGATGAGTTTATCACAAAATCAACCAATACTCACAAACATAAGAAACTTATCATGAAAAATGTTACATGTAAAAAATCTTCGGTGGTTCATAATGTGAAAGAAAAAAAAGTGGATATAAAAGAAACAAACGGTTTTTATGATACTGAAATAACTGATCCATTAAGGTAAGTTATCTACGAATCAGAAATTATTATTCTTAATTCTCGCTTTGTGGAGCGGTAGCTTAATGGTTAGGGCGTTTAACTTTCAACTACTAAGTCCCAGGTTCGATCACTCACCGTATCTACTTCGGCTTCAACAACCGGGTAACATCATTAGTCCTCGCACTTAGAGTGTGGCTCATACCTAAGTACCTGGTAAATGTGTTAATTGAAAATGAGTCCCGTTTTAATATCAGACATTAAAGATCTTGAAGGTTGGTTCACTGCATTGTTGACTTTTTATTTCTGATATGCAACGAATAGTGACACTTGAGTTTATTGTGAAACAGACTTTTTAAAAGCGTACACTCTGAGCATTGAAGGCGTTAAACAATTTGATGTTTCACTTTCTATTCCGAATTTTTAAGGCATGCTTTTCAACAACTACATTGTGCCGAGATAGAGTGGTGGCTTAACTTAGCAACATGAACTGATCTCAGTTAAACCACCACTAAAAATCAGGGAGTACTGGATAGCTGTTTCTTTTTAGTACGGGACTTATAACTGCGCATCCAAGAGCCCATCAGGGCGTTCTAGTACGAAGCAGTGATCATGAAAGTTCAACTATATCGAGTGAGGCAGTCAGCTACCAAGTACATTAGTTGGTGGTACGATATTACGGATTGATTGAAGTTAAACTTGTAAAAGTCTGGGTACTAATTCCTTGTTCTAGAGATTTAGCGCTCATGTTCGAGAACAAAGGTCCTGAGTTCGGTCTTCAGTAGCGATTTCATGGGTGATCACTGCTGCGAAGTCCCATACTATAGAACAAAACAGCTTTCCATTGCCTCCTGGTCTTCAGTGGTTGTTTAACTAAAATCAGTCGGTGATATTAACTGTAAAAAGTAAGTTTTCGCAAACCTGTTTAGCAATACGTATTTTCAACCATTGGAAACCAACCTATCTACTTCACTTGCTACAACGGGAGTTTTTCCTTCAAGTCTTCCAACGGATGCATAACATTTATGCTACTGACTCGTCGTCCATTGGTTTATATTTCTAATTTCAATCAATTCACGATGTTTCTTAATAATCTTTTAGTGTCATCGGTTAGTAAGTGGCTCATTTCCGCTGTGGTTAAGCCCTGTTGATTTTAGCTTCCCACTAAATCTCCGGAAATTATCTCTGGAAATTGATTATAAATAAATACATAGTGCTTCCAGGTTTCCAACGGTGGTCTAACGTCAATTGATTCATGATCTCACTCAAAAACTTAACAATCTCCACAACCCCTATACTGATGTTCAGTGGTATGGGTGTAGGTTGGAAGAAAGCTAGGGGCGGCCAGACCAAAACATGGCACAAGCCCATGAAGTCAGTCAGTCAGTCAGTCAGCTACAACGTAGGACCAAGCACATATATGCATCGGTCGAAGTTGCCATACCTCATTAACACAACAAGATGGACACCGAATTCATAGCAGTGGTTATGTCAAAGGTGGTAATACATAAGAGAAAGATTGCATATAGAGATATAATACAAGAAGAAAGAATTGGTTCGTAAAAAGAAAGATATGAGTCAATTTTAATCTCTTAGTTTAAGAGAAGATAGAGAGTGTATACACCGACGCCATTGTGATCGATTCTGATCCATGTCACCAAGAGTCTCCAACCATTGGTTACGATAGTCACGCGGACCCCAACCAAGTAGTCTGCATCTACCAACATGGCTCAGACTAGAAGTTAGTGACTTCAAGCACTGATGTCACGTTTTGGTTTGGCCGCCCCTAACTTTCTTCCAACCATCTCCAACACCGGTTAGCATCGCACGTCGTGGTAATCGGTGTTCGGGCATACGTAACACGTGACCCAACCATCTCAGTCGATGAAGATTAACAAACTCATCAACTGATTTACCATCATTCCCTAATACCCTATGTCCATGAAGTCACTGACAAGTGGTCTGAGTCATGTCGGTAGGTGTAGACTACTTGGTTAGGGACCGCAAGATGATAGCAACCGATGGTTAGAGACCCTGAATGACATGGCTCAAAATCGTTTGCTATGGAGCAGGTGCATCCAATCTTTGTGTTCTCCCAAATTTTGATCTCCTTATTCCTCCTTGTCTCTTTTTTTTCTCCTCTCAAATTTATTTCACTGTATTATACTCTTTAAGTAACATCTCCAAACATTAATCTTCCCGATTACTGCTTATACTCTTAGTACCTCTACCACTACGGGATTTGGATCGACTGCTGCATCTCTATGCTAATGTGGTGTGGCAACTCGAACTGATGTACGTACATACGAAGTTCTACGTTGTCACTGACTGAATGACCTATACTGATAAATACATAGTAATTATTAATACTATAGAGCGGAGTTTGCTAGATTATACTATAAAGCGTTTTTCCTTTCTATTCTATTTCAGACGACTTCTTCTTACTCCACTTATAGAACAAGATCAAAAAAGAAATTCTAATCAACCTGGAACATCGTCTTCGCTTTTTTCCTCTTCTACTTCTACATCGTTACAAGCAACTAATTTAATTAATTTAACAAATAAATTATCTTGTAAAGCAAAACAGTTAGATATTACAAAAGAGCAATTTATTCAAATGATTTTTGATATTTTGGCTTCATCCAAATCAAATGATGAAGTACAAGAAGAGGTAAATAAATCATAGATTAATTAAAATTAAATAAAATAGGATTATCTGGCTAATGGTAAAATCCAAAATGCACAGTTTCGTCGTATATGAGACGTGTCAATTAAATGTACACGTATACACCTATAGTCAAATCCTCATGCTTCTAAACGGTCAGCGTTTAGTGGCTCTTTGTTTTGAAGCTAATTAGATCGGACGATGATTGCTATTGAAATGTACATCCCGGCTACCCTCGTATATAATCATTGGCTTAACTCACGTTAGTGAATGACGGAATTAAATGACTCAAATGCAAATACGAGAATAAAGTTTGAATACGCGTGTTTGACACAGTGTTGAACCAGACAGATGACCAGAGAAACAAAGAGAAGAGGAGAAAGCGAAACAATGCGTGGTGTAGGCGAGTGAGTCAACTCCCATTTAATCGAGTGTGAATCGATATTTCTGGCCAAACAAATATAAGTTACAGACACATAATGAATAGGGTAAGTAATTAACACACACACACGATCGTATAAAAACAGTCAGGGTTAATAAGTGAATAATTGATAAAGTCAAAATGTGGCTTGAGAAGAATGAATAATTTAGTCAGCTCGGAAACTAGGATAGCCTATGTGGGCTTAACATAGCAGCAACCGCTACAAGTGAATTAAACATCATAACTTTTCTCTACAAAAGCCTAACATGATTTTCATAAGTTCAGTTATCTGTTGGCTTGTATTAACCACTACCCAGCTTTACAAAAAGAGTATTTAAATCTCACATTCGAGGCAATCTTCTCAGGGTGTAACACATACTAATAAAGAGATTGATCAATTAAAGACCATAACGGTAGCACAACGAAATAATCAAAATTCCTACAAATCAAACTAATAACTGACTTTTATTTTGTGAATTGGATGTAAATTAACATGTTTTATACACTGTCAGACATGTCAACTTGAACGTTATTTAGATAAATTATAACCTTTATTTTTAATAAAAATTGGTTGATGAGATAAGTACGTTTTTATCGATTAAGGTGGTCGAAATATGTATTAATAAGTATGTTCAACTATCGTCTATCTCGACGGTTGATATTTACTTGTAGAAGTTGAAGGGAAGTTATGAATGAACAGACCAAAACATGACATCAGTTCACGAAGCTATTGACTTGGTTTAAATTATGTTGGTAGGTACACACTACTCGTCTGAGGTCCGTGTGATCATCATAACGATTGGTCGGAGATCGATGACATAGCTTCGGATAGTGAAGATATTTTGCATGTTGAGTGGTGGCATAATTCCTAAAACACTTTGATTTCAGCCCGTAGTTTACAGGTTTAAAATCCCACTTCATCTATCTGTTTATCGCCAGTTGAGTGTTGTTATCAAACCTCACGAAAAGGTATTATACTTCAAAGCCGATTATCATAAACTTCTACCTTCAAGTGGTCTGATACGACCAATGATGAGGAATCTGCTCTTTCTCTTGAAATACCTGAATGCAGCCATGCATTCATAGCCTCTGCCAGGAACGTCCCTCCATCCATCGGAATATTGTTCACAAAAGTAAGACTATGGAAAGCGAACATCTGACTCTTAGACCGGATTCAGTCAGTTGCAACGGTTCAAGTTGCCATACTTCATTAACACAGTGATGAAATTGTCAGGCCAAATCCCAGGACAGAGGAGGTAACAACAGTATTAATGATGATGGTGGATAAGGAGTGCCCAACTAGGGTAGTTCTGAAACCCTGATCCAAAACCAATGGTGCATATTGGTTGCAGGATCCTGATTAGCTTATGAGCCTGACGCTGCTTCAATGCATTGTGCAGTAAACGTCCAGATTAGAATGCTCGGAAGTGATCTTCTGAGAAAAGCACCTGCTTCGATTTAAGCACTCTGCTATTATCCTAGTCCATATATAAATATAACAAACAAATTTATCTTTTTATACGTGTTAATTAATTTTATCCTTTATCTTTATTTTATATTTGCATATATTCTTTATCATATAACACTCCTCGATGCTTTTTTGTCATATTCTCTCTGTTTAAAGTTATTTGAATTGATTGGGTTGGATTGTGTCGATGTGATTTTTGATCTGATCAATCGCCGTGCTGAGTGGACAAATGTCTATTTTACAACGGAAGGTATATATATATATAAATCATAAGCTTTCATTTGACCTATTGACTACTGTTATACAATTTACCATCCTTAATTTATTCTTAATCTACTAGTTACAGCCTCCTATAATCACAGCTACTTTCGGCTTGGTCTTGCATAATAATAATTTTTTATTTTATGGTGTGATGCTGAGTGGTCTGCTTGTATATAAACCAATTATGTCTAAAATATAGATTCATATAACGGAGAGTAGTATTTGTGTTCTCAACTGAACAGACAGGTAAGACGAGAAGCCGCTATTTCGGGGACCAATGGAGAATTAGCGTTGAATCAAGGTTGCTGGTACTGGTTGAGATGTCATTGGTTTAGCATGGGGACAAGATCATAAAAGTTGGTATTCAGATTAGCAATTTAGTCATAGAACATAGGACATAACAAATTGGTGACGTGGATTTAAAAAAGCCATAATAATAAAGTTACTAACTGACGTCGTGTTGTCTAGTTTGTCAGTGCTGATCGGATTCTGTTGACTAAGTTGGAATGTAGCTGCTAATCTGAGTGATTCAAAGATATGGTATTCACTATATCTTGGTGTTAGGTAATCGAAGCTAATCAACGCTGAACCCTAGTCTTTGGTTTCTTACTATTTGTTACTCGGTAACAAGGTGTACCTGTTAGTTTGTGAGTAATGATGGTGTGTGTGAAATCGGAGTCGGTATCACTCATTATCGTAGTCAGAGGCATTACCAATTAGTGATGGGAGTCCGCATCCTACTGCGAACAAATACGCCTTCCTGATATTTACCGGTCATCAGGAAACCTAGGGAAAACAGGGCTTCGTGTTAACTACCAAATATGTGCCGTTGAGTCAGTTGAACTAGTCGCGAAATTACAACCTGATCAGTAAGTAAGGACTAACGAACCGAACGAACATTGTATTGGACGCTACTCAGTAATCAGTCAATCGTAGTCAATTGTCACAGCCCTACTTGCTTAATGTTTACGTCTCAGACATGCGCTTGAATTCTATAGAAATTGTCTGTCCCCTCAAGATTCTAGGTTATTTATTTATTTATTTATTTGAACACATGAATATTGGTACAAGAGAGCGCCAATATATATGCGCCACACAAAACAATGAGAATTCGAAGAGAAATAGAGAGAAAAAAAAAACTAAGGAGCGCAAAAGAAAAAGAGAACAATAAGGAAGAGATTGGAGTAAGGTAGTGTGGTAGTAACGAGGGAACGAAAAGGTACAATCAGAAGAAATCTTTCAGGTAAGGAGACACAACCACTTTTTATGAAGAAAGTAAAAGAAGGTTACAGCAGGATCGCCACTGGCTTCTATTCTGAGCCATATCTGATAACGTCTCTAGCCACTGTGTAGCACCATCTCTCGGACCCCAACCAGGGAGTCGTGAAGGACCAACACAAGCCAGTCCTTTGCAGCTTTCTTTCATGCCACGACACCATGTCATGCACTGACCACCTCTCCGCTTCTTCCAACCAGTCCCAGAGTCGGCAAATAATGCACGACGTGGAATTCTCTGGGACGACATTCGGAGAACATGTCCAAGCCACCGAAGTCGGTGTTTCAAGATGGTGACACCAATTGAATTATCATCTCTGTGCCCGAACACACGATGCCGAACCTCTGCATTACTGACATGGTGTTGCCACTGAATGTCAGCAATCCTTCGGAGACAGCGATGATCGAACACAGAGAGTCGTCTAACGTCCTCAACTCGGAGAGGCCAGGTTTCACAAGCATAGAGCAAAACTGCTCTCACCGACGCGTTGTAGATCCGACCTTTTACAGCCAGACTAACATCACGAAGGCGCCAAAGGTGGCCCAGATTGGCATAAGCCGCTCTGGCTTTCACTATTCGTGCATTGATCTCATCACTCACACCCCCACCAGCACTTATGCAGCTACCCAGATACACGAACTTCTCAACTACGTCTATCTGCTCACCATCCAGGGTGAGTACAGGATTAGAATCCTGCCAGTCTTGTAGAAGTACTTTGCACTTCGAAGGTGCAAAGCACATACCATACCTACGGACACTGATTGCCAACTGATTAAGTGCGGATTGCATGCCTTGGGCATTATCGCACAGTAAGACAATATCGTCCGCATACTCAAGGTCGAGAAGTCTTTCTCCAGGCAACAGATCCACACCACCATTACTTACATTCATCAGAGCTGTTTCCAGAATGTCATCGATGGCAAAGTTGAAGAGGAATGGTGAGATTGGGCAACCCTGCCTAACCCCACTGCTCGAATGGAACAATGGAGAGAGGTGGTTGTATGCCCTCACTCTGCCTGAGGTGTTTTTATATAGGGCTTTTAGGATGTTAATAAACTTCTCAGGCACACCCTTCTTCAATAGACAATCCCAGAGAACAGTCCTGTCCAACGAATCGAAGGCAGCCCTGATGTCAAGAAACACTACGATTGTTGGCCTTTGATAAGTATGGCGGTGTTCTAACATTTGGCGGAGGGTGAAGATATGATCAATACATCCTCGACCAGAACGAAACCCAGCCTGCTCCTCGCGAGTCAATCTTTCTCGGGTTTTGAACAACCTACGAAGAATGACGGAAGCCAATAGCTTGGACGCAATCGGAAGTAAACTTATCCCCCGATAGTTGTTACAGGAACGACGTGAACCCTTTTTAAAGATAGGGACAACTATCGACTCATTCCATGACGTTGGTACACTCTCTAGTTCCCAAACCTTTGTAAACAACGTCGTCAATTCCTTAGTCAAAAAGTCACCACCATCTTTAAAAAGAGCCGGAGGTAAGTCATCTGGGCCAGGTGATTTGTAACGCTTCAAGAGTTGGAGTTCCTTGCGGACTTCCTCCTCGTTTGGTGGATCAGTCGTCACCGGCCATGGAGGGCAGGACAGTCTGACCGATGTTGCCGGAGCAGCAGGCCAGTTGAACTGCCCTTCGAAAAATTCTGCCCATCGTCCAAGACGTCGATGGATGTTAGTGATTGGCATCCCATCATCCTCGCAGATTGTTTCACTCACACCAGACTTCTTGCTGCCAGTGGCTCGGATGAGCTGGAAGAGCTTCCGGTAGTTACCAGATGCAGCTGCTGCTTCCAGCTCATTAGCACGCATCGACCACCAGGCTTCTCGGTCCTTACGCAAGCTTTGCCCAATTTCCTTACGTAACATCCTTCGTTTATGGTCAAACTCACGGTCACCCGGAGTAGACCGACGGGCTTCAATGAGTTGTAAGGAACCAGAAGAAACCCAGTGCTTAAAGCGGGACGTTTCGCAAACCCACAACTGACTGTTCCCGCCATTTTCATGGCGTCATGCAATTGCAACCAATGCTCATCTATACTTTTCGGTGGAGTGGTAGCTAGCCTAGAGGCTAGCTCGGTTCGATACTTACTTGCAACAGAAGTTGCAACCAGCTTGCTAACATCAATCCGTTGATGGCGTTCACTTCGTTGTCCACTGAAAAGTAAGGCAAGATTGGCGCAGACCAAGGCATGGTCAGAGTCCAGATAGGTACTCCAAAAGGAGCGGCAGTCTTGTACACAACCACGCCAGCGGTAGCTGATCGCGATGTGATCAATCTGAGTCCAGGCTTGAGATGCAGAGGGAGGACGCCAGGTGGCACATCGGCGATGACTGTGCCGAAAGTTAGTGCTAGCCAGAAACAGGTTGTGGTCTGTGCAAAGTTGCAGTAGACGGTCCCCGTTATCTGACCTGCGACCAACGAGTCCCCATCGGCCACCTAAACGACTCTCTTCTGTGCCTAGACGCCCGACCTGAGCATTCAAGTCTCCGGCTAGTACTACAATATCTGTCGAACGCACTTTCTGGAGAAGAACTGATAACTGGTGGTAAAACTCATCCTTGATTGCATCCGGGCTGCAATCTGTCGGGGCATAGGCGGAGATGACGAAAAGACATCGTTTCTCACGCCGATTTCTTCTCACTTTGATGGAACTTTCTAATCTAACAGCACATAACCGACTGTTAATGGGGATCCAATCGACTAGTGCTGCCTCAGCTCTAGCGCTTAGTGCGACACCAACGCCAGCAAGACCAGACGAAGATGCCACAGGGTCCCCGGATAAGCGCACGTAAAACAAGCTTTTCGAAGCGACAGATGGAGATCGAATTTGTAGTACTTCGCCAGAGTCTTGAATACGGGTCTCGGATAGACAACAACATCGATATTAAGACTTTCCAAAGACATAGCCAGCCCTATCTGTTGTCCGACCTGCATAAATGTGCGAACGTTGAAGGCAGCCAGTTTGAATGGTGCACGTGGTTTCAGAAAATCTGCTTCAGTCCTCGTATTCGGTGGTAACATACAATTTTCAACCGGACAGTGACTCGAGAACGTTTAGATACAGTCGGATTTCCACCAAAGACGAGCCGCTGTATAAGTATAAAAGAGGGTGAATAATGTGGAAAATAATAATAATAATAATAATAATAATAACAATAATGACAATAATAGTAATAATAATAATAGTATTAATAATGACAATAATTGTAATGATAATAATTTGAATCAATTGTTTGTTTTTCAAAGCGAGAAAAGTAATTTCCATAGACATAAAGAGTTCATCATTTGTGTGTGGGCTGTGATACTGCCCGGGTGCCCAAACCGAAGCAGGTGGTTATCTTAGGGGGCCACTCCCCGAGCCTTTGACCTAAAGGTCTAACCCACAAGGCAGTGGAGCATCGTAAGGAGATGCAGTCCCATGGTAGCCGGTGACCAACGATTGGTTCATACGCCATTCGTTCCCGCAGGATACTGGAGCCCATGTGCACCATTGGTTTGGAATCCGGTTAAAGCGCCGGACATTCGCTTTTCGTCCTCTCATTTTCGTAAACAACACCCCCGCCACGAGAAGGCAATGAGTAGGACTTCCCTGGCAGAGGCTGTATACGCGTGGCCGTGTGAGAGTATTTCGAGAGGGAGAGCGGACTCTCCCCACTCTCGGCCGTACCAGGGCATTCGGGGGTAGATTCTAGGTACACTTCGTTGACAAGTAACAGCTGGTTAGTAACTTAGATTCATGGTGTTAAAATCTTTTTGTACGACCCAGCTACTCTTACTGCTTAGTATTCTTTGCACATTTTGCTTCAACCAAATAGTCCTCAAAATCAGAACAGAGCTTGGACAGCTAAGTAATAATATCCCTAAATAAAGCAAGTTAAATGGTAGTAACAATCATAGTGCAAATTTATAAATTACACACAAAAATATTCTAGTCTTTCTGATCTATTTTTTAGCGCTTATTGGTTAAAAATGGGCCAATCTTTGGCCTGCTAACACTGGGTTTCTTGCCGACTACCTTCAACCATTTGAGACATCCTTTTAACTATGCTTTTGTAAACAAATTAACCTAACTTGTAAGAAAGAATTTTTCTTTTGAATAGCTTATTTATTGTTATTATCATTTTTATTTCCTATTTTGTTGTTTTTCAAGGATCTTCTGAACAGAATGATGCAAAACAATCCGTAAGTCAGATGTACACTGTTGAGTGTATGCGAGATGCATTCTTGTTTTCAAACATTCATACCTGTTAACAAAGATTGATTTACATACGAGGTATTATACTTTGCTATTATCTTCCACTGCTCATTAATCTGTAGAAGGTCGTTTTGCTTAAAACCAAATTTATGTCACACGTGATGTAATGCATATAAGTCGTATTTGTCACAGATTAAGGTTTCAGTTGTTGGGATACCATTGAAAGCCAGGATTCATCAGGCACCCGTTTCTTCCTAGTGTAGGACTATTCCTAAATGCTCACCGATAATCCCACTAGAAATTGAAATCAAGCCCTTCAGATTCAGCGACAAGCACTTGGTCGTTATGCAATGGTTAAATTACAAATCCAGTTTCACACAAGGTAAATATTAATGATGTTGTTCAAAATGATAATGAAAACTCAATTAAATCTTCCATTTCCTCGTATTCAATGACACCAAAAGCATCCAATTATGCTTCAAGTTTTCTTTATCACCTCAGTAATTAATATAGTTGAAAGTTGGTTGGTTTTTAACTTTTGAATCTTCGGTTCGCAATAATGATACAACTTTACTGTCATAGATATTTTGTGTAATTATATTTTAAGGTTTAATCTTCTATGCTTGCGCTATCGGTTACTTATCTGAGGTTTTATACAACTAGCATCGTGGTAGATCAAGTAGGTGGCATGTAATAAATTTGATAATAAATGTATCACTATTCTATCCTTTTTCAACAATGCTTGAAATTAGACATTATTTTTCGTCATTCTTTTCTTTTTTTTTCAAAGGAACAAATTAAAAATGATGATGTAAACAATTCTAATGTTTCATTAATTGAAAAACTTTTCGCTGATCCATTGACTGCGTCTAATACACGTCAAGCAAGAATTGAAGAAAATGCATTGAAAACCATGGAACGTTTACGTAAAGCTTTGAATAATCGATCATCCGGATCTCAGTCAAATGATAATGATTTACCTCATGTTTATGATGCGTCAGCTAAATTACGGAAAAATTCTATTATGACAGATACTTCTAAAGTAAGCACATATAACTTCGCTCCCATTCTTACTCACTTTTCCCTCATACACTACAAATTTTATTTGTTTGGTATGTTGAATAACATTAAAGATTCAGACTATTGAGATTTCATTTTCAACTGAATGTACCTTGACGTCAGTGTGTACTGGTCATGTATTACTATAAGTGAAAGTTGACTCAGTGTTATCCTATGTATAGTGTATTCTTTATATATAACATGACAGCACTATCGATCGTTGCGTTAATAATTTGTTTGTTTTACATAACGACTTATACTTAGTCTTCTTGTATCGAATGTGTAGACAGAAAGACAGGGAACCAGCTTCATGTCAGGTAGTTTTATTTAAAACTTTCTACGTAATCATGTCAACCTACTTAGTCTTAAACAAATTGTAGACTGAATTGTCTGTATCTTTTTTTTACAGTGATCGTTGTTTAATCAACTCACAAACTGTATAGTGTTCTGACATAAAGTAGGTTTAAACTATTTGAAAAATCGATGAAATTCATCATCTATCTGTCTTACGTAAGAATACCTACTTCAGCAACTTCATTGAAAAATGTTGAGCAATCTGACAAACTGTCAAAAGTTAACTTAAAAATAAATCGTCTTACCATATGTGATAAGTTCTTCAGAAACTTACAAGAATTCTGAAGCCCTTTGGAACCAACGACGCTTACAAACCAACACAATCACTTTGTTACATTTTACGTAGATTGAAAAAACAATAACATAACAAGACAAATCCAAAATCTACCAAATATATTGCCCTAACTGCGAAAAATGTTACACTGAAAAAAAAGACACTACGCTTCACCTACGCATACATAAACACACATTAGCAGTGAGGCAACATGATGTGTTATTAATGATACTATTGAAGGTGGACAATTATAGACATGAATTCGATTGAAGGGTGCTGTAATTGTGAATCGGAACAAAACTTTGTTAATGCCATTGAATTTCTAGAGGCCTGCCATTAAAACCAATTAGCAATCTAAAGACACTTTGACATAGTTTCAATTTACCAGCCTATATGGAAGGTCAGTCAACCACACGGTCAGAAGTAAACCAGTAAATCCAATTAATGTGAATGCAAGAACATGTTAAGCCACAGCCAATCGGCCAATTAATATATAACATTTGTGGCATAACTGTGGAGTAATTCACTTGTACTCAAAGTGAGCGTTGCTACTGTTTTTCAAAATGATAATGGAAGCTCCACAATTAAACGATTTAGCTCAGAAAATACAATACCACCAAAATTTTGTCTTCATTTAACTATTGAACATTTAATGACCTTGGTAATAAATACCATTAACACAGCTTTTATCCGTATGTAGACTTCCAAACTAAATTGTTTTCGAATTTAATGGGGAGTGAGAAAATTAATCAATCATATATATATGTGTGGGCTTTTTTTTCTTAGCTTTTATTACCGGAAAATGTGAAATATCAACAGTTGGCACTATGTGATCAAGTCGAATTTCCTTTATCCGCTAAGCCGCCGGAAGATATACTGAACGTGAAGCGGGTTAAAATTAGCTCTTTAGATGAAGTAAGTTGTGAGAGTCAATTATCATTACTATAATATCACCATTACTGTTATTGTATATGTCTGTGTATGTGTGAAACCTAGGTTCAAAACACAGTGATTCATCTGAAAAACGGTTCTATCATTAAAAATATATTTACAAGTTGTTTACAAGACTCAACTTGTAGGGTATCAACGTTATTTAACATGTGTGTAAGTCTTGAGACAGAAAGGCTTCCTATAATGGTAACATAGAGATCATTTACAACATTCCATAGCACAAATGACAGTTGTTATCCGTGCTTTGTGTCAATAATGACTACGACAAATCAGAATAGAAACCGAGATCACATAAAATGGGAGCTGTCGCGTTGAAGCAAAGATTCAAGGTATTCAAAAAGCTGGGGACAATTTTGAAAAGGTTTGAGAGAACGTAATTACACTAACAAAGGCAAATGTCATACAACAAAGGAAATGAGTTCGAAAATTATCATAAACCAACTGGTTACTGAATATGAACAAGTAGTATAAAGCAGTACACAAAAATGAGTCCAGTCAGTGGAAAAAGGGGAGAGGATGCAAACAAACTTGACACTGGCAATACGGTGTAGATAGTTTTTAAATTCCCTTCATTTTAAATTTTTATAACGTAGAACAACTTTGGTCAGACAACTTTTAAGACTGAGAAGCACTGGATAGTATGGGACTCCTCAACGATGCTCATCCACGATCCTAACAGGGATCGGACCCAAGACATTTAGGCCATTCAGCGAGCGCCTAATTTCAATTCCAATAAATTAGCATTCAGTGGTTTAAATTTCCACTTCCAATCAACCCACGATATTACGTCATTATTAGCCTCATTCCTTGCCATATTCATCTTATTCGCATGAAATACTTATCCATTTCTTCTTGGTCTTCATTAGGTGTTTAACCAAAGTTAGTCCACAATGCAAAACTTAATATCCTATTGTCTTCATTATACCCTTCATTTTGTTTGACATTTTGTCATAATTTTGGTACGAACCATGTTATCACAATCAGTTTACGAAATTAAACGCAATTGTGCCAGACAATGACAATCAATTTAATCTACAGTTTGAGACAATTGATTGATATTTTGCAAATGAACAATTTGATTGTGTGGTTCTTAGATTTTACTAAACGTTTCTGTAACTTCGTGTCCAAATAAATTTGGTTGTTGCCGCCTGTGTTCTCGTTCACTACAATGTAAACTACAAAATAGAGTTGATAACGTTACAACTTATTTGTTCGATCATCTCTCTTTTAACTAATCAGTATTTTATTGTGAATTATATAGATTGGTCAAACGGTATTTCATGGGATGAAAGAATTAAATTTAATTCAATCAGTCGTCTATCCACTTGCTTATCATACATCAGAAAATCTTTTAATCTCAGCTCCAACTGGTGCGGGTAAAACAAATGTTGCACTGCTTACTATTGTTCAATTACTTCGTACTTATATGAAAGAGGATAATGTTTTAGACTTGAAAGCGTTTAAAGTAAGTAGCTTTTATCATTTGAATTGTTGCATTTCAATTTTGGTTATTTAAACTACTAATTTTGTTACGTTATTAATGATACGGGTTTTCAGCTGCAGAAATGTATAACAGATGTCTGAATCTGTTAGGTGGTTGGAAGGATACCCTTCATGAAATAGGCTTCTTGCTTGCCGGAGATCGTCAACAATATGTGTTAAGGGAACTGGTGTCTGAACCGAATAGCTCAGCGATAATATTTGAGACTGTGAAGCTCGGTGACTAAGATTAAAATCCCATAAGAGTCATCAGTTTTCTCAACAGTGCGAGTATGCATGCTAACAATTACTAATCAGCACGAAACATAAGTTTAAGATTTCCAACTATCTACCTCCAACCACCTAATATCAAAACATAGTGTAGGGGATGTCAAGTTATTCAGACTAGACTGCAATTTAATCAACAGAATTTGATTAACAGTTAAGGACCGTTTCGAGAGGGAAAGTTGTGTTTTCTGACCCTCGACCGTATCGGCATTTGTTAGAAATCCATTGAGAATTTCCCAAACAATTTTAGAAAGATGATGGACTATGTATTGTTATCTTAAAAACAGTTAGAAAGTCAGTAGTCAGGTATTCAATTACCAAACATATCAAATGTATGAACATTTATAAAAGATGATTACTGGTCTAAATTGTTATTCTATGTTATCTAATGGTAGAATTGTTAAATTTAATTCTCCATCTTACTTCGGAACCATCATTCTCTCATTTTTCAGCAGTTTATGCTAAACTCGTATTTTTTCAACTTAATCAATTAAGCTTTTTCGTTACATGTTTATATTCAAAGGTGATGAATAATTGAACGGATAATTGTTTTCCATAACTTTGACATTAGGTTCTACAGTTACTAGTTCATAATTATTATGTTACAAAGGTTAAAATAAGGCATGAATAAGTGAATTATACAATATTATTTATTAAAAAAGGTTGTCGTGGACCAAGCTAAACACAGCGGCTAAATATACCTTTTTTTGGAATAAGAAGTTGAGTCTTCTAAAGTTGATCCCGTTGGTTTTTACCATTTAGAGTTGTAATTTTACTCCTTGAGTGAAATTGTTTGGAACGTGATAGAAAGCGGGGTAAGGTTCGTTCATTTTAATATGATATAACAAGTGAGAAAGAATCGTGTTGTTTATACACATTTCGTGACATATTTTCCAAATCCTTTCAGTACTTATTCACGACAACTCAAAAATGAAACCTGAGTACGGCCTATGTAAACTAATTCCACAGGATCAGTTGAATCGGTATCTACATATGGAGTTCATCGTCGGTAATCTGTCATCGATTCGTTGTGTAAATACCGGTTTGATTGAGAAAATCATATGTAACTTGGCAGAGTTGAATGTCTTTCCAATAGATTGTTTAAGTTAACGTGTTCATAAATTGCCATCCGCTATGTCTCCTTTTAAGTCGGCTTCTAGACCAATGGTTATTTCATTGACAATGTCGGACTTTTTCATTGTTTTTATGAAATTGATTATGTAACTAACCGTTCTAACCTTTTGTAAATAACCTCCCTAATTTATAAATGACACCTTTCTGAAGTATTTAATCTATGATTATCATTACTTTAACATATAATGTTGCTTAATTCACTGGCATATCTTATGTTGTCCTTTGTAATATAACACAATAATTATAAACTTGCAAGTGTAAAGCACGGTGACGAATTTATTGTAAACAATTTTCCGCTCAAATACTCTTTGTTTTTGAATATATTTTGGAAATTTGTATACTACTGATATGTATGTATAGTAATATGAATTTATTTCAGATTGTTTATTTAGCTCCAATGAAAGCGTTGGCAGCTGAAATGGCCGATACATTTTCAAAACGTCTTAGTCCTTTAGGAGTACGTGTTAGAGAATGTACTGGTGATATGCACTTAAGTAAACAAGAGTTACTTGAAACTCAGGTAGGTATTTTGTTTCCTACGTATATTGTTTGTTTTCTTTTTTCGAGAAGTCTGTTTAATTTTTGTAAAATCTTGTATAAATTTTATGGAGTCTGAATTTAATTGTTTACAAAAATGAGGCTGGATAGGGGCTGTCAGTGGAATTTATGATGTTTATTTACCTTGTTTAGAACTCATAAGGAAAGTATAAGTAAGTCATTATATGCGAAAATTAGAACTCATCAACTGGGTTTACCATTATCTCTGTGTCAATGATTTACACTGAGAGTCTGAACCCGTTTGTTATGACTTATGACCCTGTCTAATATCGTGTGGCGAAAACGGCAGTCGGAATCGTCTTCACTACTAATAACCTTGAGTCAACGGATTAGTTCTTATTGGTCCTCGATGTGATAGAATTTCTCCCTGTCGTGGCCGTTGAGTCCAGAACACAGTCATCGGCCTCCAGTATACGAATATCGTATTCCAAGCATACGTAGCTTATATAAAAGCATACTCAACCACATCACACCATAAGATGAAAAAAGAGTATTATGTTTGATCAAGCCAAAAGTGGCTGTGAATAGGGTGAATAGACTGTGAATAATAAACTGAGAACATGCTAAGAATAATAAAACATACAACTATTAATATTTGTTTGAACAAATAAACATTCGTACAAGGAGGCACCAAATATATATGCGCCACATAAATTATTTGATATGTGTGACGGCTGTGATACTGCTCAGGTGCCCAAACCGAGGCAGGTAGTTTTCTTAGGGAGTCTCACACCCGGAGCCTTTGATCTAAATGTCTGACCCATAAGGTAGTGTAGCAACGTCAGGAAATGTAGTGCCATGGTAACCGGTAACCAATAATTGGTTCATACGCCATTTGTTCCCTCAGCATATTTGAGCCCATGTGCACCATTGGTTTGAGATGAGGATTGTCCAACCTCCCAGGTTGATCCTCTATATCTACTATCCCTGTTAAAGAGTCGGATATTCGCTTTTCATCCACTCAATTTCGTAAAAAAATACCCCCGCCGCGAAAAGTCAGGGAGTAGGATGTTCCTGGCAGTGGTTGTAGGCGCGTGGCCATGTGAGATCATTTCGAGAAGGCGAGCTGACTCTCCCCAATCTCGGCCGTACCAGGGCATTTGGGGTGTTATCCACGCTCAGTGACCACTCATATATTACTTCCACTACCACATATTATTGATACTATGGTAAAGAAATCGATAATAAGATAGATATATTAGTTTCTGATAGATGTTTATCTCTTAAAATGTATTAAATTCTTTTTAAAAAATAATTACTTATTTACATAGATGGATAAAATGACTAGCAGTAGAATGTAGGATGTGCGTTCCATTCTACTTCGGACTCATCAGTTGGATGTACCTTCATGCATCCCAGATTTGATGTTCACTCTTCTTCGAATTATGTTTAATGTGTTTCTTCTTAAAATGATTTGGTGTATGATCACTGAACATGGACGGGTAGACAGTCAACTATTATTTTGATTTGTTCTCTATACTCATTGAGTGTAATTGTATGGAATAAAGTATTCCCTAGACTGTAAAATACTTTAGTTTTTATATTTGACCGTGAATAGTGTATTTAGTATAAAGTTATCCCAGTCTGCGCATATCTTATCGATGGAATGTCTTGTTTAATGATAGTAAAATCCTGTTTATTGATTGTATTGTTATCAATAAGAACTTTCGTCCGAATTTGAACGAATAGTTTCACAAAATTTGGGGGCCTAATTAATGCGAGATACTAAAGATTTTACAAATACATTCTTCCTCTTTAATGTATTGTTATCATACTATAGTAGTATGTCTTGAGAAAACAGAATGTTTTTTTCATTCGTTATATCAGTAGTAAAAAGAATGTCATAATCAGTTAGTGTTCATCTAGTTAGTTTACTAATCTGTATTATACTTTATAACAACAAATGTTTCTACTGTAATTCACTGTATAAATTTAGATGCTTGTTAGTACACCAGAAAAATGGGATGTTATCTCACGTAAAGGTACCGGGGATGCTAATTTAGTTAAATTAGTCAAACTACTTATTATTGATGAAGTTCATTTATTACATGAAGAACGTGGTGCTGTTATTGAAGCCTTAGTTGCACGTACTCTTCGACAAGTAAGTTATTATTAATACTGTGTAATAATGTAGATATACATATCGATAAATCTTTGTTGTTGTTGTTTTACACCACAGACTAATTTTAGTTAAATAACCATTAGAAACCAGGAAGTTCTGTATAGTTGTTTTGTCCTATTATGACCTTACCAGAAGTGGGATCCAGAATCTTCAGACCCATGGGTAACTTTCAGTGGTTGTCTAACCGAAGTCAATCCATGTTTTTAACCACTGGAGTTCGACGATGTTAGGTGTGGGGCAGTTACCCAATAATTGCTTTAAAAGTTGGTTGCACAGTATCGTGAACTGATTCGTACGGATTTCTGTTGTGTATTCAAAATCACTATCTACGTCGACGCACGAACCTCCATGGGCAGTTCGATTCAGGAGATCGCATAAGTCCACGAAGTTCAGGGACTGTCGGACTAAACCGTTTAGGTAGGTGTAAACTATTTGGTTGGGATCTGCGCGATTATCTTAACTAAGGACTAGGTAATTTTAATGACGTGACTCGTTCTCGGTGACGCAAATGCACTCAATCTTTGTATTTCCTGCGCCTTTTAGTTCAAAAACTACCCTATCAAATTCTTTTTTATTAAGTTCATATTTTCAAATCATATCTTCGATGGCGAAATTCTTTATTGCCACTAATGCCGTCCCTATGTCTACTGTTCTGTGATTTTCCCTGTTAGTTTTATTTCACTGTGCCAACGGGGTATGGCAACTTGAAATGATGAGTTCGTTTACTAAGTTTTACGTTGTTCTGACTAACTTATCGACAAATGGATTGAAATTCGACATTTAGAGCACTGAACACTGGCTCTGTAATCTGAAAGTTAAGCCCTCTCTGTAGAACCCACAAATCCTGAGTTCGATCCTCAGTAGCGTTGTGGATTTTCAGTGGTTCGTTGATCTGACTCCAATTCGGATACTATGAGCATAAATTTTTCATTTACTTCCGTATATTACCTAGGCTAACGCCGTTTGTGTGGCGGCACTAATAAGAAGCCAACTACAGGTTTCGTTGGATGGATTTATTTCAAGCACTCGTTTGTGCAGACAGACATTCAGAATGAAAAACAGGTAAGCAAAGCGGAACGAAGAATGCAAGTGTGCCAACTCGATTTGATCAAACGTACTTATTTACTTACTTACGCCTGTTACTCCTAATGGAGCATAGGCCGCAGACCAGCATTCTCCAACCCACTCTGTCATGGGCCTTCTTTTCTAGTTCCATCCAATTCTTGTTCATTTTTCTCATGTCTATTTTCATTTCCCGGCGTAATGTGTTCTTTGGTCTTCCTCTCCTCCTTTGGCCTTGAAGATTCCATGTGAGGGCTTGTCTTGTGATGCAATTGGGTGCTTTCGTCAAGGTGTGTCCTATCCACTGATCAAACGTAACCCAATATTTATAACCAGATAAAAATAAGCTACAGACGTGTGATTAATAGAGTAAGCGGTACACGCACATGTGCTCATATAAAAACAGTCAAGGTTAATGAGGGAATAATTAGCAAGGTCAAAATGTAACTGAAGAAGACTTAATAAATTAGAATGTTCAGAAGCTAAAATAACCTATGTTGGCTCGACATAATACTAGACGCTACAGACTCACATTATTGGGGAGTACGACTATCAACGCTCCATGGTGTAAATTATAAAAAAACTTATTGGAAATTATATCACAGTACTTGGCATAACATTTTCATCCAAAATGTAAGTTGATATTTCTGCTTAATCTATTTCTGTCCCTGTTGTAAATGTCCCTTCCAGGTTGAAAGTTCACAAACGATGATCCGATTAGTTGGTCTATCAGCTACTCTACCAAATTATATCGATGTGGCTCGATTTCTGTGCGTCAATTTACAACGTGGTTTATTCTATTTTGATTCACGTTTTCGACCTGTTCCATTGGCCATGTCATTTATTGGTATTCGTGGATCAAATCGAAAAGTCCAAGATTTAAATATGAGTACAATTTGTTATGAGAAAGTTTTGGAACAAGTTAAGCAAGGTGAACAGGTAAAAGAAGCGATAGAATATATGTCAGTTTTTCCATTGACAATATTATGTATCAGTATGGGGTTGTGGAAGTTGTTAATTCTTTGGTTGAGATCATGAATCAATTGATGTTAGACCACCGTTGGAAACCTAGAAGCACTGGACGGCCGTTTCGTCCTAGTATGGGACTCCTCAGCAGTGCGCATCTACGATCTCGCACCCTGCGGGATTCAAACCCAGGACCTACTGGCTTCGCACCTGAGCACTTAACCATTAGACCACTGAGCCGGCATCCAATGGTGTTAGTGTCTAACATCGTGGATGCGCACTGCTGAGGAGTCCCGTGCTAGGACGAAACGGCCGTCCAGTGCTTCTAGGTTTCCAACGGTGGTCTAACATCAATTGATTCATGATCTCAACCAAAGACAATATTATGGTTTTCAAGTTAACCAATCCTAATATTTTTCAAATATATGTGTTGTATGTCGATTGCAGTGGAATCTCATATGGCCGTTTCTTCCTCTTTACTATTTGTTTGTTAGATGTAGTTATTAGTTATTCGGATTCAGTAGCTAAGCGGGTAGTTAATGTGTTCGGTATGTGAAGCTTTAAGTGTGAATGTCAACACAGGGAGATGTGTACATCCTAGATAGGGCGAAACGCGCGTTCTAAACACCAATACTAGTCATAAATCCATCTATTCTATTGAATAAAAATTGGCTATATTAAGGCAATCCACACAAAATGTACATATTCCAATAATGACCGATCAATATTTAGTCATGATATAAATTGCACTGATTCCTGTATCAGTCCCAGCTTTTACATTGATTCTGATTAGTGGATGAAGCGTTGTTATTTTCTCACCAAATTCCGCATATTTGATTAGTACACTGATAGACTATTGATCTTTTATTCATAACAGGAACCAAAGTAATTGATACAGCAACAAAATAACCTGACTAAATTCCATATTCAACTTCTTTGTTCCATCCTCATCTCTTCACTCTTAATTAATACAATTGATTAATTTAGGTATATTGTATTCACTTGAATTTTAGTGAACATAATTTGAATCATTCTGAGGCATTTTTCTTCGATGTGTTCGAACGACTACACACAATGGATGCTCACTGTTGAGGTTTTCCGTACTAGGACGAAACTGCTGTTCAGTGCTTCCATGTTTTCAGTGGTGATCTAGCTTAGGTCGACTCGTGATTTAATCTGTGAAAATGATAATCAATTATATAAAATTATGATTGTTGTAATATAATTAGGGATTTATTGAAAATTGTATAGTTTAGAATAGAAACTGAAATCAGTTGTACATTCATCAAAACCAGAATTACTGGGCAACTATTTTGTCTTAATATCGTATCCATAGCAGTGCATATCCATGACCTTAACGGGGATTGAGTTCAGTTTTAGAAAACAATTATTCTTTGTTTTAATGTTCAATATTTGGAAGTAAGCTATAAACTTAAGTTTCATGTTGGATAATATTCATAGATTAGCCGTGTTTAAATGCATGCTGATAACTGATACTGTCCATAGAATTCCATTCCATTCCCTTCCAGTTATTCTACTGTCAGCTATATTATGGAAAAATTTAAATACTTTACTTTTATTTGAAGTTTGTACTGATGATGTATGTTTAGAAGAACAAAAAAAGCTTCACAATCAAATCATCCACCGCTCAAAAAACTACACTCCGTCAAAATTCATGAGAATCCCACACATCGTTCTAGATTAAAAAAAAAACACAGTTATCCTTTAAGTTATTATAATCATGTTTTATCTTCTTTTTTTTGACCAAACACCACCATTATTAAATTATTCCTTTACTAAAAAAAGATTTTCTATTTAATTGCATATACTATTTATTTGTCTTTTAAAAATGTATATTACAGGTGATGGTATTTGTTCATTCACGTGGTGATACATTTCGAACAGCTCGTGCTCTACGTACATCAGCTCAACAACTTAATCATATGATGTATTTTAGAAATAATGATAGTTCAACTATAAAAATCTGTTTAAAAAGGTAATATATGATAGATACCATGTTTGTTAATTATATTTTCATTTTTCATTTTTTGTTCATTGATACATTATTTTATTATTTATGTGAACACATAAATACTGGTACAAGGGGGATCCAGATACATATGCGCCATATAGATCACTCGATTTTTGTGACGGCTGTGATACTTTCCGGGTGCCCAAACCGAAGCAGGTGGTTTTCTTAAAGGGCCACACCGGAGCCTTTGACGTAAATGTCTGATCCACAAGTCAATGAAGCAACGTCAGGAGATGCAGTGGTTGTAGGCGCGTGGCCTTGTGAGAGCATTTCGAGAGAGAGAGAGAGACCGGACTCGCTCCACTCTCGGCTGTACCAGGGCATTTGGGGGCGATTTATTGACAATATCATATTTTACAGATGAATTTCTTGTATTGACATGAATCATTCCTTTCATTCAATTAAATTCTTCATTCATTTTTCGGTAGTTATGAATTTATTATGTAATGAACTTGTAGTGAACAAAGACTTCAATCGGGAAATGTTGTCACGTGGCCACGAATCCGATCTCCCTCTCAAATTGCTCTCAAATGGCCACGCGTATACAGCCACTTCAACAGAAGTCCTACTCACTGCCTTCTCATGACACAGGTGAAGTTTACGAAATTGGGAAGACGAAGAGAGAATGTCCGACCATTTAACCAGGTTGGAGGACATAGAGGATCCACCTAGAGGAGTTGGAAAACCCTGATTGCAAATCAGTGGTGAACATGGGGTCCAGGATCATGGGAAACAAGTGGCGTATGAACCTATTGTTGGTGATCGGTTACCATGGGACTCCATCTCGTAACGTTAATCCATTGTCTTGTGGATTAGACCATAAGGTCAAAGGTTTGAGGAGTGTCCTCCTAGGAAAACTACTTGCTTCGGTTTGGGCACCCGAGCAGTATCTCAGGCCTTAAAAAAATCGAATGATTTATGTGGCGCTTATGTATTCGGTGCTCCTTTGTACCAATGTTTATGTGTTTAAATAAATAAATTGGTGGTGAAAATTAATTTATTGCGAAATGCGAAATTACAGAGTTCCTTCGTGAAATATGAAAACTATACATTAAATTCATTATTCAATCTCCTCATCTTCTGCTGCAGGCATTCCACATCCGATTGCTGCTATATACTGCTCATATCTGTCAGCATTCGTAGCATTTATCGCCTACTCATTTAGTTACCTTCCCATGTTTGGTTATTTATTTTGATAGGTGTAAATTTGATATATAATCAGTTTATTGTAAATTCCATGTTATTACGCTATAAGTCATTCATAAAATTAGTTCATAGATTCAAGAATACCTAGTGAGTTCTGTAGTGAACGAACACTCAAATGAGGAAGACCAGTTTATTGTTTAACACAAAATTACAGAATGTCTTCGTAAAATATGAAAGCCATAAATTAAATACTTCGTTATTCCTTCATTCCTCTTGTTATTACAATTACTCTGTTTATATTTCTCTTCTCTTCAATTTGATCTCAACTTTCTTTTGTCTGGTATTTCACTTCTGATTAGTGTTACATGCTACTTATGTCTACATACATAAGTAGCATACACTACAAGATCTACCGGTTGCATTGAAAACACCGCACTCTCGTTTTTATTACACCATGTAAGCGGATTGCTGTGTTCTGTGATTGCCAATTTGTTGTGGCTTAATACCACCCACTAATCGATACCATGTGTTTTATTGACTAGTCATAGGATTTCGAGTATCGATTAGTTTACCTATCTTCTATTTATTTATTTATTTATTTAACACATAGATATTGGTACAAGTAGGCACCAAATACATATGCACCACACAAATCTCATTTGATATGTGTGAGGGCTGTGATACTGCCCGGGGGCCCAAACCGAGGCAGGTGGTTTTCTTAGGAGGCCATACCCGACCTGAAAGTCTGATCCACAAGGCAGTGGAGCATCGTAAAGAGATACAGTCCCATGGTAGCCGGTGACCAACAATCGGTCCATACGCCATTTGCTCCCTTAAGATACTGGAGCCCAGTTGCACCACTGGTTTGGGATCAGGGTTTTCCAACTCCCCTAGGTGGACTCTACGTGTCCTTCAACCCGGTTAAAACGCCGGACATTCGCTCTTCGTCCTCTCAATTCCGTAAACAACACTCCCGCCACGAGAAGGCAGTGAGTAGGATTTCCCTGGCAGAGGCTGTATACGTGTGGCCATGTGAGAGCATTTCAAGACGGAGAGCTGACTCCCCCCACTCTCGACCGTACCAGGGCATTTTGGGGCACCTATATTGTCAGTAGGACCGTTAACCTATTTATCAATTGACACGTTGACTAATAAATGACAGTCGAGATCCTAACGCTTATTGACCATCTAGGTGTTTATAAATCAGTAACTAATCAGAAGACTCAAATAAGAAGCGGATTAGTTCTCTATTGCACTCAATTCAACCATGAATCAAATACATGCTATAATATACTGAAAATGACCGATCACATAGCACACTAAATAAACTGTAATTTACGTACATTCATATTATTTGTGATAGACGGTCGATGGTTGGTGAACCATTGTCAGTCCGTGACATAAATTAAAAATCGTAAAAGCTGCAATATTTTTCATTATTAAGCTACTGATATATTTGTAGACGAGAACGTGTTAGTATACTCTTATGTTCTAACGTTTTTCTTTAAATATTTGTATATATATATATATATATATATATATATATATATATATATATCTTCTAGATACAAAAATCATCTGATTCTACCATTAAAGATCTAGTACCTGATGGTTTTGCTTGTCATCATGCTGGAATGTTACGCGTTGATCGAACTCTTGTTGAAAAGCTATTTGCAGATGGTCATATACGTGTACTTGTTTGTACTGCAACATTAGCATGGGGTGTTAATCTGCCAGCACATGCTGTTATTATTAAAGGTACACGTGTTTATAAAGCGGAAAAATCAGATTTTGTCAATTTAGATATATTGGATGTTTTACAAGTGAGTAATGTTTTGTATATCCAAACTATGTGCAGCTTGCTTTCATTTAATTAATACATATTTGGTGATGCCAGTCAGTCATGTGCAACGTAAAAGTTGACATATATATGTATGCTTATCGATTCAAATTAATGGCCCAAATGAACGACATTGAAATGAAACTATCAAGATAAATGTCAAAGTAATGGTGATAGTAATAGTATTGGTGGTAGTAAAAAACTTTAAAGATAAACAATATAATTTATGAAGAGGTATTTGAATGAAAATTTTTACAACATTTTCCTAACTCACGATCTGAAAGAAGAAAATAGCGAATAGATCTATGTTATCGGAATCGATTATTATTCATATCATTCAATACCTTTCACTATTGGTTACGGCAGTGTCTGTGATTATAACCATTATGATCTACACCTCTCATAGATGGTTCAGTTTCCCATAGCTTTTTGACCTAATATTACTTTTGATAATGTTGTTATTGTGGTCTTTAGGATTCAGTTTGTCCAACTCTAAAGCTATCACCGTAGCCATGTAAGAAGGCAATAGGCAGGAGGAAGTTACATTTATGATAACAAGTTACAAAGAGTTTACACACTACTTGCAAACAATCTTGTGAGCAGTGTCCACTACAGTTAGTTAGAATGACAAAGAAACACGGTTAAATTATTGAATTCAGTTTAACTTACTACATCAAAAGCATCCATCTTAACTGCATGTCCTGTATTTGTTATTTGAAAATCTTATGAGCGTGACACGCTATTGTGATTATTAACTGTCAGTAATCTTTGGTTCTTAAATTTATGCATCTATCGTCTGATCAGTTAATTCGTAACTATAAAATCTAAATTCCCTTTATATGATTAGCAGTTAAATGGTTCAGCGTTAACTCTGTCTAGGTACTTTGGTTTTCCAACTCGTGTAGTATCACTGGGATCCACATAGAAAGCATGTCTCCAAAAGCTATAATGTTAGCTGTGAACAGCTCAACTGTAACGTCGTGGACTGTGGGACTGGGTGATACGCGTCTGAATACCACCTGCTGCATCAGTTTCTTCAGGATTACAATTATGCCTTACTAACGAATACGGAATAGCATAAAGCCTAGGTCTAGGGCTTTCTGTCATCTATTTACCTTCAACCACTTAACATCGAATTATGAATTTCTACTTGACAAACGTGTTACATTGCCCTTATACATGGGTCTCATCTTGTGCTTTGCATAAACTGGCAATTGCTATCAATTTTTCACAACAGCTACATGGTTTACAACTATCTGTATAATCCCGTAGGTCTGTACCAGATATTTTAATAGTTGTCCAAATCAATTCATGCCTTGAGAGATAGTGAATTATGCTAAACAGGTTTCACTGTTTGCTGTATATACATTTTAATTTTTTAAGTATACAAAGAGTGCTTTTTTTGCATTATTTCGTTTCCCCTTTTGTTCTTTTGTTTACATTTAATCAATGATGTTTACTTTTTTCTTATTTATATATCATATTTATATGTGTCTTTTTGTAATATATAGATATTTGGTCGTGCTGGTCGACCACAATTTGATACTCATGGTCAAGCTACTTTAATAACTAATCAAGAATCACTAGCCCATTATTTACGTTTCATAACAAATCAAGGTCCAATTGAAAGTAATTTACTCACTAATTTACATGATCATTTAAATGCTGAGGTTAGTTGAATTTGGTTCTTTTCTTTCAATATTATAAAAGCCATGTTCACTTGTTGTTTTTAAGTTGATTTTTGTTTCCTCATAAATTTATTCAAATATAATTTCATATGATTAAGTAAAGTAATACGACAGTAGGATCGGATTTCTACTAAAATTCGGTTTCATATATAACTTTATTTATTTATTTAAACACAAATATTGGTACAAGCGGGCACCAAATATATATGCGCCACACCTCATCATTCGATTTGTGTGAAGACAGGAGTGCTACCTGGACACCCAAGCCAGGTAGTTTTCTTAGGAGGACACTCCTCAAAACTTTGATACAATGGTCTAATCCACAAGACAATGAATAAACGTTACAAGATGCAGTGCCATGGTAACCGATGACCAACAGTAGGTTCATACGCCACTTGTTTCTCATGATCCTGTAGCCCATGTTCACCACTGATTTGCAATCAGGGTTTTCCAACTCCTCTAGGTGGATCCTCTATATCCTCCAACCTGGTTAAACGGTCGGACATTCTCTCTTCGTCTTCCCAATTTCGTAAACTTCACCTGTTTCATGAGAAGGCAGTGAGTAGGACTTCTGTTGAAGTGGCTGTATACGTGTGGTCATGTGAGAGTAATTCGAGAGGGAGATCGGACTCCTCACTCTCGACCGTACCAAGGAATTTGAGGGCAAGCGATGTGCGTCGGCCTTCCAATACTTTTTTTCCTATTTATCTCAGTCACTAACTTAAAGTAATATCAGACGACATGTGGTATGTGACTGAAGAATTGCTAGCGACAATTTAGTTGAACATACTTTTGTTTTCTCTTTTAAAAATAAATTACACATAAATTTCTACTAGCAGCACGTAGTGTGTATCATTGCAATTTTGTTGACTGATGGTGTTGTGTGCTTTGAGCTGGATAATCCCATTCATGAAGGTTTGGATATGTTGCTAGGCCACATCTTACTATACATCGTAAAGAAGGGAGCAGTTGGTATTTTTTCACAAATGTAATCACCAGCTTGTTTTCTTGACATGGAATTCGATTAGTTGATTCTAAAAATATATGCTCGATCGAGTTATTCAAAAAGGTAATGAACGATTCAAGAATAAACATCGAACGCAGGCAAAGAAGAACGCAACATCTTACTAAACAACAAATTTGCATCATTTAAATAATATGTATGTATATGAGTGAGGCATTCTACTTAATAACAGTGGTTGAACTATGTAAGCACTAACTGTTGTGAATTATAGACATAAAAATTTCTATCCTCCTCCTTAGTCGCAGCTGTTTTAAAGAATTGAGTATCAAATTTATGAGCCATGTTATGATGTACAAATTTCGTCCCAGAATATTTTTAAAATGTCCAATCAGAAAACAAAGCAATCGACATTATATGTTAACGTTGATGAAATTGACTTTTAAAAGCGAAATTGTAGTTTGGAATGAGATTCGAATCCAAACAGTTTCACTAGTAGTAGTACTCTGTTAAACATTTTCGAGAATATCAGGGTTTTTTTTCATTGTGTACGTCAAAACTAATTGTGATGACTAGAAAAAATCTTCATTGACCTTGTCTTATCTCAAATTGATCACTTAACCTATCTAGTTTTTTTGTGAATTTGTCATATTTTTCTATTGTCTCGTATAAACTATTTACTCAAAGTAATTATATCATATTTTCTGGATACAGTAAGGATCTTGTTCCATTCTTCTCTATTACGTCTACTGATATGCGTGCTACTTGGTAGTCTTGTTATAGTAAAATAACAGTAGTATAAAGTTAGATACGTATTATTCGGTTATATTCATCCTGTAAAAATAAGTATATATATTTGCGATTGTACAGCTTTGAAAATGAATTCGCCGAAAAGAGAACTCTTCGCTGAACTACTCTTTCTTATTTAATGTCCTAATGGGTATATTCCATTTATTCGGTTGCATTTGATATACTAATGATAATGTCGATTTCTCACTTTCTAATTAGATTTTGAATACAATTTCTATCGTTTTTAGATTTCTTTGGGTACAGTCTCTAATATTGATGAAGCTGTAACATGGTTGAGTTACACGTATTTATTTATACGACTAAGACAAAATCCACTGAATTATGGATTAACTACAGCTGTTCTTGAAGTAAGTATTGAATTACGAACCAATTGTATATAAATGAATAACAATATTCTATTAACTATCATATTTGTTACAATCCGCGATATTCGTATCAGATACACAATTCCTATACAGTTGCCCAATAAGGTATACACAAATGAGAAGATCAAGTCATTGTTGGAAAACTGTAATTAACAAACCGAATAAACGTGTACATAAATCATTAATACAGATATAGTTCTCCTTCTGATCTATACGTGGATCTGTACGTTAAGATCTTGACTAGGTGCATAATTGAGTTTCTTCAACATCATGTCTTGATTATAATTTCTCACCTATCGTTTGACATTAAGACAGCAGCGGCTTAGTACAGGCAACTAATAGGTCGGCAGTATAATTTGAAATATACGGAACACATCAGCAACTATTCGCAAAATAGTTATGTCACCGAGCTCGAACGGTTTTCTTTCGAGCTCTATGGTCATGTTTCCAAATTATCCAAACCATCCCTTATCCAGTTTCTTTTTTAAACCCATCGGGAAAAATATCTTTGCATGATGTGAGTAACCGTGGCGTTCTAAACACTCATTTCCGTACCAACCCTCGATGTCATGAGGGCTGAGCTCAGATATTTCAAATTTCACAATAAATAAAACCTAGTTGATCACTTCACCTAATGGCGATCGAGTCTATATTTATTTACTAATCTAAAATGAATTTATCACTGACATTATCTTTCAAATTGTAATAGGTTTGGCTATAATTAGATCAGTCTTAGTTGACATATGTACGTCCTGTGCAGATATATGTACAGTATGACACAGGTTTACATATAACAGATGGGATATGGCTAGCAATGGAATCTAGGATCCTCATTTCGTCCCTTTTCGGACCCGTAAGCTAGGTGTATCTACACCCTGGAGTCGATGTTCACTGCTGGACTCGAACCCAGTAACGTTCACTTCAAACAACAATATTTCATCCCCTTAGCTACTGAGACCACGTAACCACTCACTAGTACAACGGGTATGAATTTTAGTCCAATTTGAAATGAGTTGAACTATCTTATTATTGATATATTCATTGGGTTCGAGTCCCGGAGTAACTGTCAACTTTGGGTGGGACACAAATATGTTCAGCTTTGATCGATCCCAGATAGAATAAAGGGCGCATATTTCGTCTATCATATAAAAACATCGTTTTTCCTTAAAAGACTTACTAGTGACTTTTGCTCCCGCTTGTTTTTTTCTTACGGCAGCGTGATCCTGATCTAGTTGAATTCTTAGGTCGTGTTGTGCGTACTTGTGCTACCGACTTAGATTGTGCTGAAATGGTTCGTTACGAGCCAGCTACTGGTCAATTAGCATCAACAGATCGTGGACGTACGGCTAGTTTATTTTATATACGTTATGAAACCGCAGCTATGGTTAAAGATGCCTTAGAACCAACAATGATGATTCCACAAATATTTGCTATGTTAAGTGAAGCATCAGAATTTGCATCAATGAAGGTTTGTGTTCATTATTTAAACTTTACGGTTTTATTATTCTTGTTATATATGAATGATTAATCGTTTCTAAAATCAAGTGAATATTTATAGCAGTGAAAGATTTTTATTGGTTAACTTCAATTATCTCCCATCATGGAAACTGGTACTTACGTACTAATGGGCTTCGTTGATTATTACACTACATTGCGATTTAATCAAAACTGGATATATTGACTATTGGTTGTAAAGACAGTGGTATCTGTGCGAAGCTAGGATGGTTCCTTTATCAGGTCTGTTAGTGTGGGCAAGCACCTGTCCACTTCTAATAGATTTTTAACTTTTTGCTAGCTGCTGTCACTTCGTGGCTGAGATTCACCTTTGAAATCCCATGATAGTCTTTAAAATATCACAGTGTTGTCATATATAACTCGTCTTGTCTAGCCTTGAGTAACACCTTGACTATACTTCTATAGTTACTTACTTAAGGTTTCAGAAATTTATTTAGGTTGATTTAAAACTTGTTAACTGAATATACCTGAACATTGACATTTGTTCACAATCCATTCAATTAGAGTTGTCAACTTCTACACCTGACTGAGAAATTTATATCCTTTACTCAATGATTTGCAGTTACTTGCTCATTTGACTTGATTCTACTGTATGTTGTTAACTTACAAGGTTTTATCAAGTCGCTTCACTATTGGTGATTAGTTTTCCGGATAACGTGTTTGTTTTTTCTAGGTCGAGTCCGGAACTAGTATGAGAAATTAATAGGAGAATGGTATTAGGATCAATTATAATTAGATCTCAGTGCTATAGGAGGTCAGTCGCTGTCGGATTAGTTCACTGGTAACCTCTTTGACTGTAGTACTGGGTTACTTGGAATTAAGTCCACCAAAGAACACCAATTTCCTCAATATTACAGATATACCTTGTTAACAAGTGCCAAATAGCAGGAAACCTAGGTACAAGGTTGTCTATCGATTATGTTCAACCACCTTATAAAGAAAATTTTCCTATTGTACATTATCGATGGTGAAAATGATGTTCAATGTAACAAATATTCAGTTGTTGTAATTCATTTGTCATGTACAAATTCATGTGGTTGAATTAAAACTAATCTTTATATGTGGGAGGTAGTGATCATAATGCTTCTACGTATCTCAATCAAAGTAAGTAGATGAAAGCTCGAACGTACGACCCAATGGTTGAAAGCTGAATGTTTTGACGCTTTATCCGTATTGTGTATTTAGTATACCCCAGTTGCCAAAATCAAAATTTGTTCTCTTTATTATCACAAGTCACAACATAACACATATTGTTACACAAGATTTCCTACCACGTAACCCAACATCTCTGAGGTTCGAATTAACCTTCAGTAGTTGGTTCATACGACTTTTAAACCTCTCAGTCAATATGAATACCTGTTGACCAATATATCATAGAAATATATTTGTATAATTATCTAATTATATTGATCACATTGTTATGTTCTTGATCTGTCTACCCAATAGTATTCAGGAGAGAACGTATCTCGATCTAGATTAAGGCCTTGACACTGCAGGCTGACTGGTTCAACATTGAGGTTAGAAACGCGTGAGTTCGAACTAAGACTAACGACTTAGGGTAAAAAGATGAACAATATTCTACCAGCTAATTTGTTGACAGGCAAGTGAAAGAGAGAAGGCGAGTCAGCTGGAACACTGCTCGATTTATTCCCGATTTCGATCAGTGTAAAAAGATTCATGAATGAATTGATGAGTAACATGACCATAACGGACAACCAATTAGGTAAATACAATTATGTCCAAAACTAGGCGTTAGGGTAAAAAATGAGTACCAAGGTTACATTTAAATTACAGTAGTTCAGGAATAGAAAAGGATATGGCAGTAAACCATACATTAAACGAAAGTTTATGGTTTAGAGAGTAAAGAAGAGACAAAATTAAATGGTAGTGTTTCTCTGTACAAACTTTGAATAGAGTGAAATAACTTCACCCAAAAATAGCTTCCGTTGTTTGTCATGGCTTCTTTGTTTCTCTATTCACAGCACACATTATTATGTTTATTATTATTCAATATTTTTCAAGGTACGTGAAGAAGAAGGCACTGAATTAATTGATATTAAGAATAAAGTTTGTCATTTACCGATTCAGCAAGCTGGTACAGTTGATACAGATGTTATTGCAAAAGTGAATGCACTATTACAAGGTTACATAAGTCGTCATAATCCCAGTTGTCATTCACTTTCATCTGATATGAATTTTGTTCAACAAAATGCTGGACGTTTAGTTAGATATCTTTTCGAAATTTCATTGCGTCAAGGTTGGTCACAATGTGCCACGATGACATTGACTTTGGCTAGAGTAAGTATAAATATACATAGATTTATCACTTTATTATGATATATCTTTTATATTGTTCAAATTTTAATCATTTGGAAGATTTTCACTAAAGTTCTCTTTTTTTGCCTGTTCACGTTTATTAGTCACGTTTTATTGATGTCTAACTTACATGTAATCATTTCATACTCCAAACCATGGATTTCAGTTTGTCGTTTGTGAACATCAGTTCTGTTTTATGCTTGTAATATTTGGCTCGTCTATTCAAGAACGCTGTCATTCTATGTGTGTTTGATTATCCTTTTCTTAAAAGAACTATTGTACATCTGTTAACACCACTTATTAAGTAATTCCGTAGTCTTGTAGTATGTATTGGGCTCAATAATAATTATCTATTTAGTGATATAGCATTGAAATACCGAATTAAGTGACTTGTATTTGGTTTTTAACTAATATCTTCTCAACAGTTTCCATGTAATGTTTAAGCTGGATAGAAAAACTGCATTAATGATCAGTTTATAACAAATTGACATGGTCTCAGAGATAGTTGTCAATTAATCAATCCGTTGTCGGTAACGTAAAATTTGACTCATGTATGGATCGGTTCATGTTATCGCCCCATGTCAATACAGCAAGATGAAATTATCATTTTAAGTCTCAGAATAGTAAAAAAATAGTGATAATATCTGCGGTAATAGAATAGATTAGGCATATACAATAGGATTCGAGAAGAATGAATCAATTTGTGGAATATATTATAGCGTAAGACAATTGTAAAACCCGAATTCTAGTAGAAGACAGTGATTGAGCCATGTGACTATACATCTTCAACATCTACCTCAAACCGACTAATATCTCAAGATAGTACATGTGACATCGAATTAATTATATTATCAGTCACACTGCAACTTGATCGTCAGAATCCGATCATCACTAAGAGGTCTAGAAAAGCATGATATTTACCACTACTACTCAGTAGTCAGTCAGTTGTACGTCTCTAATCACTGGTTACGGTAATCATATAGATCTCCCTCTACATTGCTAATCTACACCTCTCTAACATCTATTTGTTCTTCACAACTTCTTGTGTAGGGTTCACTTATATATTTTATTGATCCTTTCACATTGTGTGGTTATGAAGTAGGTCACTGTAGGATGAATTGTACACTGATATGTCTCATCAATCAAACACAATTTATAAGTCAGTGTTGGTAAAATGTTTTGTTATAAAATGGCTACATTAACACTGGTACACTACATCATGCTATCCACCCAGGTAAAATATCAGTGTTTTTTATATTAAGAAACTGAGTCAATAATGTTAGTAGTGTTAGTTCATTAACGTGACAAATTCAGACTATTTGGCTTTTCGCTAGTCCAGTATAATCCAGTCTCATTTTGTTTTGTACACTCTATAATAATGGCTTTCTTAATCAACCATGGTTACCGAACTGATAATTCTTTCAGAAAATCAATCATCAAATTTCAATTGAATAAATTTGTACACCGAATCTCCAGTATGTTGATTGAGTAAGTGAATATCTATTGTGAATGAAGGTGACTATTTATAGATTTAAATATTCAACGAAGATAATGTCATCAGATATCAAATGGTGAATTAGTAGCTTACTGATTAAGATATTGGACTCTCAGCTGATGAATCTCAGGTTCAAACACTAACCCACCTATTTCCTCGTACGCAAATAAACAGTTTCACTAAACCCTCCCACTTAGTGTGCAACTGAAAGCCACAGATACGTTACTGTTCATAGTAAATTAGTTTGTCGTAATCCTTAGAACGAGTTACTAACCAAACCATGAAATACTGTTGATCAACATAATTTCCACTTTCAGTCGTTTCGCATTGAATATCGTATTATTTGTGTTGGTTAACTGATTAGAATTAGATCATCCATCTTAATGACAACCGATTGATTAACCATATTATCGTCTAAAACCGGACTAGTACAGCGTTAATGTTAATACATTTATGTAACTTTATTACATTGTGTAATATATATTATTACTAAGAAATAACTTCTTTTAAAATTATTATTATTATGTTCAGATGTTTGAACAAAGATTATGGAATGACCAAAGTCCATTGTGGCAATTTGTAGAAAATGGTAAACAACGGTTAATTCAACGTGTTGAAGAACTTCAATTCTCAGTTGATCGCATTCGTGAAACTGATGTTAATGAATTAGGTTGGTTATTATTTTTATTTCATATAAGTAGTTTCTTTTTTTTGTTAAAATATTAATAAATGTTTTGTATATATGTCGATCGACAATGAAATTGGACACTATACTGACCCTGCGAGTGTGATTGTTAAGAAAATAGGCTTATTTTTATAGTTACATTTTTTACAGCCTGGTATCAAATCGTGAAGTATTTTGAAAATGCAAAAATGCAACTTAACTATTTCGCCTAGCCATGCACACCGGTGACCTCTCTCTTGAGTTGGAACTCGAACCTTCTATGTCTTATATTTAGCGGTGTAATTTTATACCTTCAAGTTGGACCTCGGGATATTACATTTACAACTTTCAGTTAATCACAATACTCATTCAGTGCAATGGCTGATAATTATTCAACTATCAATCGATCACAATATCTATATGTAATTTTGAGCTTTCTTAAAAAATCATTCAACTAAGAAAGGGTATATCATACAGCTATCCACTAATAGTATTGAACTGTAGCTGCTAAATATCATGAATTTGTTGAAGTTAGAAATATAAGTCATTGGTTATTGACTCAGTGATTTTCAAGTTGAAGACCCCCAGATACCCTGGTACGGCTGAGAGTGGAGCAAGTCCGGTTTCCCTCTCGAATCGCTCTCACGTGGCCACGCGTATACAGCCACTTCCACGGAAGTTCTACTCACTACCTTCTCACGGTGGGGGTGTAGTTTACGAAACTGAGAGGACAAAAAGCGAATGTCCGACCGTTTAACCGAGTTGCAGGATATAGAGGATCCACCTAAAGAAGTTGGAAAACCCTGATTGCAAACCAATGGTGAACATGGGCTCCAGGATCATGAGAAACAAGTAGCGTATGAACCTGTTGTTGATCATCGGTTGTCATGGGACTGCATCTCGTAACGTTAATCCATTGTCTTGTGGATTAGACCATTAGGTAAAAGTTTTGAGGAGTGTCCTCCTAAGAAAACTACCTGATTTAGCTTGGGTGGTCCAGGTAGCATTCCTGTCCTCACACAAACCGAACGTTGAATTGTGGTGTATATATATGTGGTGCATTGTTCTACTAGTGTTTATGTGTTCAAATAAATCAATTAGTTAAAGGATCCAGTTCGAGTTTATATAAAGCTTCGGGTTCCAATCCATATTGGGGTCACGGATATACATGAGTGATGAGTTTCATGCTAGGACGAAACAGTTGTCCAGTGCTTCATGGTATCCAGTTGTTTTTCAACTGAGCTCACTTCATGATGCATCATCTCTTAAGGTTTTGTCTTTAACTTTCTAACAACTGTTAATATCCTCCTATTTACTGGATGCTTCATTTATACGTAGATTTTTTTCATACATTTTTTTTATAAATCTCTGTAATGTTAACTTACTATATGCTATTTACCATGTAGTTAGTAATGTGTACTATTTTCTATCACCTACCTATGACCTGTTCATCGATTGTCACTCATGTTTTTTTTTCTAATTTAGCTTACCTCTTTCACTACCAAGGAAAAGACGGTGCTCGCGAAATTCGACGTTTAGCTTTCTATGTTCCAAAAATACAATTGGCTGTAGAATCACAACCTATTACACGTACCATTCTTCGTGTTAAGCTTACAATTGAGCCAGATTTTACTTGGTCAAATCAAATTCATGGATTACAGCAATCATATTGGGTATGGATTGAAGATCCTGATCAAGGTGTTATATTTCATTCAGAATATTGGACATTGACTAAACGCATGGTATATTATGGGCTGAGTTGATTTGTTTTTTAAATTTTGTTTATTATTAGTAAAGCTGTGGCTTGTTGGTAAAAACGTCTTTGGCCTGCAATCAGTAGGGTTGTATGCTTGAATCATAGCCTACCTACTTGTTACTTCTTGTGAAAAATAGTGACCAGTGTGGTTTGACCATAAATGTGGTAGGGATCATCATTTGCGATGAATAATTATTGCATAATATCATGGGTTGCCTCAAGTTTGGAATGGAAATCATATTAGTTCCCAACTCAGACATAAAGGTTTTGGTTTGGCCTCAAGTAGGAGGGTTGGATCCACCCTACTGAATAGTTCTGTGTTAGGACCAAACGGCTGTTCGTTCTCTCTTGGTTTTCAGTGATCATCTGTATAATATAAACTATTTAACTTGTTATTTTATCAATCTACTTGTTTTTTCACAAAAATTTGATTTGTGTATAACTGTTTCTTGGGTAGAAGAGTGTTATTAAATTTCATCTCTATTTCTTTGTTTATTCAAATTATAGTTCAATTCAAAAACTCCACAAATTTTAAATTTCACTATTCCATTGTATGAACCTTATCCAACTCAATATTTTGTTCGTATTCTCAGTGACTGTTGGCTTGGAACTGATTCAACCTGTCCAATTTCATTGAAACGTCTCATTCTACCGAGTAGTGATCCCCCTCATACAGGTATTCATTTACATGTATTTGTTATTTCAGGATCATGTATCAATAAGAACCTAGGAGTTGACTTAAGGTTACTATTGCTAGTTAGACATAATGATTAACTCAGAGACAATAAGTCATAGAAATCAAGATTCTGATTAGTAATTTTATCACATTATTTCGGTCAGTAGTCAGAGACTTAATAAGTTCTATGATTGACTAATTAATGCGATTCTGTTACTCAATGTTACCAATACGCATATATTTGAATTATCATTTACATGCATAAAGAAAACATTACGAAGAAATTAATTGTAACATTACGTATAATGTTACTTCATAGCTACACTAAAATGATAAGTAGTGAAACAAAGTGATTAGAGTGAATGAATATTTCCTCCCATTGCAACCTTGATACATGAACATGATAATGCGAACAATTATTTTGACATAGGAAGTAGGTTAAAACTTACATCAATGAATATGTATTGTTATGTAATATAAAGTATATAAACCATCAGTCTAAGTATACTAGTTGTCAAGAGTCAACATGAAAGAAAAGGGAATGGAGAGTAACAAATGAACGATAGAAGGAATTTGTAATATCGTCTGTTAATTTTTCTTTGACTAAAGAAGAAACAAAGGTGTTACAAATCTTTTTCAAATACAAAGGTTAGGGTTCTTAGCTCGAATCCTTAAAGCTTTTATAAGTGACGAAATCAAAATTCACTGAGAAAACTTGATAATAATGGATTTCTCGTTCAAAATGTTTCTTTCCTATCTGCTAGATGACAATGGTCTATCAATTGTAATAGGACAGAATTGAGTATTAGCTTCATCTGACCACTTGCAAGCCACGAGTGGGAATACTATCTTTCATTGGCTAAATTGTCTGGTAGTACGCTCGATAAAGCATCCTCCACAAGAATAGCTTAACTAATAAATTCACATCAAATTGGCTAAATCAAGGAACTTATCCTTTATTTGAGCAATCACCATTGTTCAATTAGTAAATGACAAACAAAGATTCGTTTCATATAGAGGCCTTTTCACAATTTAAAACTAGATAGCTGAAGTTCATAAGTTTTGAGGAGTTTCCTGGTTGATTTGATCAATGGAAACGAATGTGAGACAAGTGTGTTGATGTAAATGAGAAGTATTTTTTTTACTTAGGAGGAGAGGATAAGCGTAATTAGTAAAATGTATAAATTCAGTTTAGATCATTCTTAGTCTTTTAACAGTTTGACCAAGTGCATATTAAGTGTATTTATCTTTAACTAAATCGAACAACCACGGAACGTCATGCGCGTGCGTAGGTAGCTAGATAGATAAATGCAAGTTATAATGTTCACGGCCACTTTTTCTCCATTATGTAACAAAATAATTATCATTCCTTTTCTTATAGTCTATGTTTGCTTTCTTTCTCTCTTTCTTTTTGAATTCAACAATAGATTTACTTAAATTACAACCATTACCAGTGACAGCCTTGAAAAATGCTAATTATGAGTTATTATATAACTTTCCATATTTTAATCCTATACAAACTCAATTATTTCATACATTATATCATCAGAATGTCAATGTACTGTTAGGTGCACCTACTGGTTCCGGCAAAACTGTTGCTGCTGAATTAGCCATTTTTCGTGTATTTAATGAATATCCGAAACAAAAAGTTTGTTTATTGGCTTTTTTGTTTGTTTTTTCTCGTTTGCTTGTTTGAATTGTATTCAATTCTCATTGATTTTGACTTATTTACTAATATCAAAGTTTATTTACTTATCTTAGATTCGTTGATTAGTTGAAGTTAGACATTGACACCGTCAGATGCCGCCGGCTCAGTGGTCTGGTTGGTTAAGCGCCTGGCGCAGGACTGGAAGGTTCTGGGTTCGAATCCCGCGGGGTGCGGGATCGTGGGTGTGCACTGCTGAGGAGTTCCATAGTAGGACGAAACGGCCGTCCAGTGCTTCCAGGTTTTCCATCGTGGTCTAGTTTCAACTGACTCATGATTTCAACAAGTGAAATTACCTTAGATTTGTAAAGGTTTGTAGTCTTTCGAACAATTCTGATACAATCGTAGGTTTGTAACTTCATTCAGAAAAATCATACTCAATGTTTTCATTGGAATAAAGTGTTTTTTAAAAAAATGGGTGGATAAAAGCAGATGATTAAGACTCGTTTTGTGTTCGCTAAATTAACTATAAGTTATTTAGAATTTCACCATCACGTACTATTGTTACTCTGTAGATAAACTATTACATACATCTACGAACCTTTGAGTTTACTCCTTTTTATTCAAGGTGGTGTAGAGGCAAGCTTGACTAAAAATTCTTTCTTTTGTTAACTGGTGGTTCGGATGTAGAGTCAACTGGGAGCGTTACTCGACCCAGATCTTCATACCAGTCAGTATTTACCATCAAAGTATATCTGGAACCTTAAAGGAACTGATATTCCCTGTTAGTGTAGACGAACCTGACATAGTTCAAAACTCAGTGATTAATTACTGTTTATTTGTAAATGTGATTGATTACATTGTAATAATTTTCTTCACTTATTTTTTACTAGTGTGTGTATATTGCTCCATTAAAAGCACTTGTACGTGAACGTATTGATGATTGGAATATTCGAATCGGTCAAAAATTAAATAAACGGTTAGTATTTAAAATAAATATGATTTTGTTTAATCTTTATGTTTACGCTGATTTATGCCAGGTAAAATCCTACTCATACTTCCACGAGGTACCTTGGAGATAGTGGAACTTTGTTTGGTGAACTAACACGAGCGGCTAGGCTGCGATCGGGATTACTTCAACTCTGCTTACATCAATCGAGATCGAACTAGTCCCCCACTCTATCGTAAATGTAGACTGCCTGAAAAAGGCATATGGCAAAGATAAGTGTGAAATGAATAACCTGACGAGGAACTTATTACTTTTGGTGCCTAAATGAATTATCTCTAGGACAGGTCATTAGGTTTGTTGCAAACCAGGGCGATGTTCATAAACTGTACTATAACCAGTGCACAGGGATCGACACTAAACTTGTTTATGATATAAGCATGGAGTAGCTGATCATCAATAGGCGAATTACAACCCAAGTTATTTGAAGGCAAGTAATGCATTCACTTACTACTGCTAATGGTCTCCGGCCATGGGGCAACAACATCAAATCACATCCATGTCTGTGTTTATGGATTCTATAAATGCATGTAACTCATGCGTGTGATGTTATCCACGTTCCATACTGGTATATTCATTATAACTCTTGACGCTTTTGGGTTGTTAAAAATTTTTCGGGTAGAAACGTCCTTATTGCAGCTGTGCAGAGACAGACTATTAGCGTGTCGATCTGCTTTGCTAAAGTGTGGCTGAACCAAAGTGCCTAATTGCATAAGAGTTATTCCAAAATAAACTGCTTGCTTGTCTGTACGCCTTGTATTCTGCTGTTTCACATATTTTATAAAGCTCTTTTATTTTCTCGATAAACCAATCGACTTTTTTAATTAGTTGGATGATTTAAACAAATAAATGTTATGTAGTTGGGCGTAGACCGACAGGAAAATTGAACTTAAGTTTGGAGTTAGTTGGCAAGTAGTGACCACATTGCAACTTGGTCAATAGAATTCAATCATAACTCGAAGGATTAGATAAAAATTATGTTGATCACTTATTACTCAATAACCAATCAACTGTAAACATTATTATATGAGCGACTGGGTGTAAAAAGAAACATATGATCAGTTTGTGACATGTTGCTGTGGTATGAAAGAAATCTGTTCTGATTTAGACATCTGTTGATTCATCATAAGTTCTATGTTTAGTTTCAGAGATCGTGTTGTAACCCAGTGGTTTGAGTTATTATCAGACATGGCTTTGAAAATAAAAGTATTCTTGTTCACACATTTATTTTGATTGTACTTCCATTTCTTCGTTTATTTTATCAAAATATCATCTTTAGAGTTGTTGAATTAACCGGTGATATCACCCCAGATATTAAACAGTTATTACGATCTGATTTAATAGTTACTACACCTGAGAAATGGGATGGTATTTCACGATCATGGCAGCATAGATCATATGTTCGTCAAGTTGCATTAATTATTATTGATGAAATTCATTTACTTGGCGAAGAACGAGGTCCTGTACTGGAAGTAAGTATCTGTGAAATGGATGCTCTATGTTAGTTTGAGACTGTTTTTTGAACCGTTTTTTTTTCATTGAATAGAAATTATTCAAACTGAATAATGACTGTTTACATCACGAAATGGTATCAACTAGCGAAACTGAGAGTTCCATATAGTTTAGCATTCTTCAACATTACCCACCCACGACCCTGCATAAGGTCTAACTCATAAATTCCAGATTCCATGTTAACTAGAATAACGTTTAGTTCACTGAATGGCGTTTCAAGAGTTCACAGGCATCCAGCTTCATTCATTTCGCTATATAATGGACTGACCATCTATTCACTAACAAGAATATTACTTGTTCGACGTCTGCAACTCCACACAAATCGAGCAGATAAAATATGAAATAATTAAGAAAAATTTCGATTATTTAACCAATAAAATCTATTGGTTTATGTTAACTGCATACGAATCTGTATTTTATCATCCGAATGAATGATAAGTCATGAATTATGTTTCATGCACCATATTACAAATCGAAAGACATTTAATGTTGCAATTAATGAAATCTCGTTATTTGCTTTGGAATTGATTAAATTTACAAGTTGTTCAATTAAATTGACCTTAATGTACTCTTTTTGAGAGTTCTGGACCATCATTTATCCTAGACAAGGTCTCCAAACAAAGTTATAATTATTATTAACGTAACAGGTGATTTACTATTTTTCTCTCTATAGGTTCTTGTTTCTCGAGCAAATTACATCGCAAATCAAATTGGTCAACCAATTAGAATTATTGGTTTGTCTACAGCGTTAGCCAATGCACCAGATCTGGCTGCATGGTTACATGTTCCATTCACTATGACTTCCATTGCAGAGGTTGCTTCGATTTCTGGCACTAGTTATGGATTAACTGGTAGAGGTTTATTTAATTTTCGACCATCTGTCAGACCAGTTCCTTTAGAAGTTCATATACAGGGTTATCCAGGTAGACATTATTGTCCACGTATGGCTACCATGAATAGGCCAATTTTTCAAGGTAAAACCATCGATTGGATAAATTTTATTTCTGAAAATCAAGTTTCTAATACATATAAATTATAGCTATCAATCGTATCCTGGAGAGTTGGTTTAATATTATATGGAACTTGTCAATTAGATTCACCAGGATCTTTATACAGAATAGAACCTGGTAGGGACGAGTTCAAAGTCCAGTGTTTTACCCAAACCACAGTACATCTGACAATACAAAAAACTGGTTTACTTCACATTGACTACACAAGCACAAACATTGAAGAGAAGAACATCATCACGGTACAGTTTCATCAATTGACGTACCGGAAAGTTCATATAATTTATTAATCAACAGACTTGTTTGATGTTAATTTAATCTATGAACCTATACCAAAAAGTTCAATCAGTCACAAGCTCAGAGATAATCCAACGAAGACAGTGCATATGTATCCAAAGGAAAATGAAGACGACGAAGTTTACAAAGATGTAAAAATCACAAACAATGTCAATGTAATGAACCGATATAATACTTATGGAATAACTAGAAAGCTTACTTCTGCATGAAGTAGGCGCTGAAGATATTGTTTATAATGACAATGAAAGCTCCTCAGTTAAATCATCTAGCTCGAAGAACTCAACATAACCAAAAGCATCCACTCTAGCTACACATTTACTCCATCATTTCAAACTAATGAACTCAATTAGTCATTAAAGTATTTGGCAGTTATTTATTTGTGTTTGTTCGGTGAAAGACTAACATTTACTGATATGATAAAACAAAAAAAAGACATTATTCCAGGCCGTTTTTTAATGTCAACTTAGTATGAATGCTGTCCAGAATGACAGGTGTGAACACTCGTTCAGTGTGATTATATTTCGGGATACAACAGAGGCGATTCGGATATAATATTTTCGAATGAAAAAGAATATTATTCAGAAAAGACCAATATCATAAAACGACATAAGCTAAGAATACATTCGTCATCGGGGTTTATTTGACAATTGTTTTACCTTAATTTCGAGCTCCTATGTGGTATGCACCCACGGCTTAATCAGACATCGTTTTATGCAATAGTATTATTCGTTAAGCTTTTGGTCGTCGAATCACTGTGGCCATTTTTTTCATTTCATGGTGGTCGTTTGGTTCGAACAATCTTCCAGGATGTTGTAAATATGTCGAGGCCTTCATCTTATTCGTTAACGAGTTTTATACAGAAAAAGAAACTAATTATTAATTTTTTTTTAATAAACTTACGATTAATGTAGTAGGTTTGTGAAGCATTTTGAATTGCATAGTGTGCATCTGATGAGAAACTGTGATCAATAGAATTTAGTCACGTTTGGTGTGATGAAGAAGTGCTTGTCCACATAATAGCATCTAAGTTAGTTGTTCAGCACCACGAAGCGATTAAAGACTAAGCAATCACCGCGAGACCTGAATGTCCTATGTTTGATCCTCAAAGGGGGGTTTGTAGATGTGCATTGGTGTTGAGTCCGGCACTATGATAAGACAGTACTTTGGTTGTTCTCGATTTTCAAATGCTATCTAACTACAGTGAGTTCGTGATGTAACCTACAAATTTTCTTATTGTTTCATACTTAATAAACATACATGTTTATGTATACATCACTTGTGTACATTTTTTTCCAGCAATTAATAGTCATTCTCCGAATAAACCTGTTCTAATATTTGTATCAAGTCGTCGACAAACTAGATTAACCGCTTTGGATTTGGTTAGCTATGTTGCAGCTTCTGATAATTCCAAATGTTGGTTGCATATGAAACCAGAAGAAGTAAGCCTTTTTCTATTTTCAAATAAACTAAAAAATAGTTTGCACTGACGACATTTATTTAATAATGAACAAAGGGGGTTCATTTATGCTTAACTAAAACTGTTTCTTTTTTAATTACCAGAATTTCTTACTATTTGTAACATCAGTATGCGGTTGTGGAGATTGTTAAGATTTTGATTAAGACGTTTGTTAGCATTAAATCACTGAAATACAAGAAATAAAACTGAATAATTAACAAATCTCGTTACTCATGAGTAACAGTCATAATTAATGAATCTCATAATAAACTCTTGATTAGCTAAATATTGGTTACTAGCTAAAAGTAATCAAGCAGAGTAAATAATATAATCATATGTAAAGTCAGTTACCACTTGTATAACCCAGTGATAATGTCTGTTCTCTATATGTAACACGGATTCGAATTCTGACAAAAAAACATTTACTTCATGAAGATTGCAGAATATATCTTGCTATTGACGAATGTCAATGAGTAGGAAAGTTAGACCACATCATTGTTAGCATTAAAATAAAAAAATCGATTTCAACTTCATTTAGATTCTCGACGTGAACAAACATAAACTGTTTTATTAGGGCTTGAACTGTACATCCAAACTTCACCGTATCTACTACTTTAATATTGTGATCCGTCTTGTATGTCGTAATAACCTAATCGATGTTTGTTGTCTAGAACACTTGTTTCTTTATCTTCTGTCATACCACGGATATCATTCGGAGAGTGGTAAAATTAAAAAACAATTAATTCAAGTGTATTCGCAATGATGTGTTTTCCTCAAATACTTAGGGTCTACAGGATGCTGTCTTCACTCAGCGAAAGAATGGATTTTAGGAAACTATCGGCCTTAACAGTAATGCGCTTCATCTTGTCCTATAAAATAAAGTCGCCAACGGAAACTCCTGAAAAGCCCAAAGCTAACACGTCTTAAATTGGTCCTCAACTAATTGCCCTCTGGCCCTCTAGATCACCCCCCTTCTTTTCCAAGTGATTCAAGTAAAACCACCGTTCCACAATAATGGGGGACCAGAAAGTGATAATTACTTTCATCCCTACGTCAGCATTTAAGATCATCTTGACGTCGTATCCTTTGATTAGTGAAAAACATTTCTGTCAACATTATTGTATTATTATTCCTGTTTTTTTTATCAACGTCATTCGAAACTTACTCATCACTTATTTTTATCTAGATGGAATCAATTTGTGAAAATATACAAGAAACAAATTTGCGTTTAACTTTAACCTTTGGTATTGGTTTACATCATGCTGGTTTACAGAATAAAGACCGTTCATTAGTCGAAGAGTTATTCACAAATCGAAAAATACAAGTATGCGTTTGATCGAGTGGATTTTCTTTAGTTTGAAACTGTTTTTGAATATTATTGTGCATTTATTCCTCTAAAAGATTTATAACTTAGCGATCATAATTTATCTGCAAAACGGTACTGCAGTAAATACAGATGACAATAAGTAAACTTTACAAACCTCAAACCATTCATGTGTAGATAACGCGTCAAATGCAAAATCATTAGAAGACTATTTATTCCTAATAAATTGATAAAAATTGATTTAAAACAATAGAATACTGTTGTTTGAGAAAGTTCTTAGTAGTTAACAAAAATCGATTAAACGTTGTAGAATGAAACCTTAGTGACCCGGGATCTAACTCCAAGTAGATCGTATGAATGATTGTTATTGAAATATATATGTCACCGATCCTCGTATATAATCATCGACTTAAATCGAGTTAGTCAATAACTGGATTAAATAAGTCAAATAACGAGAATGGGCTTTTGAATACATATAACTTGTATATGAAGCGAATAGAATAGAGTGAAGCAAAACGACGCACATTGGAGATGGTGAGTAAACCAACTCTATTTACCCAAGCGTTAAGCAATATTTATAGTCGTAAGTGGTACAAAACTCAGTTTACATTTGATTGAGTATGACATCATTCTGTTGTATGTAGTCTTGTATTTTTGTCAAAGAAACATTAGTGAGGTTAGAAAACTCAGTGACTAATCAAGTACATAGATTCTTAAACTTGACTTGGTGTCACACTTCTGTGTATGGATGGTGATCACTCAATGTTATGTACATTCGATTTATTTATTCATACATTTTTAGTAAAAATCAAACCGTATATTTGTTTAATGGATTTTTGAAGATTTCTGAATTTCATAGTTTACATCACAAAGTGGACTGTAATTAGAAAACTATTAAGCAAAGTCGCAAATGGATTGAACTTAGGTATGTATACCATTGAATTGCAGTTCCTGTGGTCTAAAAGTTAATAGAGTCTTGGATTCAGACTGCTTAGGAATCCCAACAAAATAACCATCCAGCTTCGTTAAAATTGCGATACCTCATTAGCATCCCTTACACGTTGGACCTCATTGATTTATTTTCTTCCATTATAGATTTTAATCGCTACTTCAACATTAGCTTGGGGTGTTAATTTTCCAGCTCATTTGGTCATTGTCAAAGGTACTGAATATTATGACGGGAAAACAAAAACCTATGTGGATTATCCAATTACTGGTAATTAATTCTCATTATTTTTGTGTAGATAATATCGTAACATGGCTTTAGCTCTAATTTCTTCAAGTTGTATTCACCATAGGTTAATAATTTGGATACCATTAAAACTGTGTGGCACTAAACAGCTGCTTCGTCTTTATATGGGACTCTTCAGTGCTTCACACTTTTGACCCAGTCAGGGATCGAAATTAAGGCCTTAAGACCTTGTAGCCAAGGCGTAATCACTAAAATCAACTTTTTTTTCAAGTAAACTATATTTTTTCTTGATAGAATATATCTACCATTTACTGTATGTAATTGATATAAAACTAGTAGACGATCATGTATTTCATTTACCAAGTATATTCTTGTGTACCTAGCTTTAAAACTCGTTTTTTTTTAAGGCTACCTGGTTTCCCAAACTGAAGTGGATCAGGTGCGGTTCGAACTTGAGAACAATGGTTTAAAAGCCGTATCGTCTAACCGTTCAGTAATTATCTCGTCACAATACCTTAGATGAAGTTTAACATCTTGTTAAAGAAAAAAATATTTTATATCTTATCTGAGACTGATCTTCACTATGACGGTTGTCTGTGTGTTTTTATCGACATAGGTACTTAGCACACATCCTTTTTAACTTACAGCAAAACATTACTCTATGGGTTTTAACAATCTCTTGCTTTTCACTTAAATATTTTTAAAGTGAAGTCCAATTGTTCCTCAGTTCAATGGATGAAATCTTGAGGTTTATGGGGTTTTGATAATTGGGTTCACAGAAATCGACTAGTATGACGGGATTATACAAACATGACACTGACTACTCTATTCAGTGGTTAATCAGCTATGAATGTCTTAGTCGTATAGGAAACCATTCACGATCTGGATATACCACAAAGAGTATTAAGTAGCATAAAACCTAGATGAAACAGCGTTTTTTTGCCAACTACCTTTGATCACTTGACATTATGGAGTAGTCATGAATGAAATGATTACATTATACATAATTTCTACATTAATTATTTTTCAGATGTTCTTCAAATGATGGGACGTGCTGGACGTCCACAATTCGATGATCGAGGCAAAGCTGTAATTATGGTGCAGAATTCAAAGAAAACATTTTATAAAAGATTTCTATATGAACCATTTCCTGTAGAAAGTTATTTACTACATGTACTGCCAGATCATTTGAATGCGGAAATAGTAGCTGGTACAATAACGACCATGCAAGAAGCTTTAGATTATTTAACATGGACATTCTTTTTTCGACGATTATACTCAAATCCATGGTACTTTAGTTTAATTTTTCTGATTTTCTATCATTCATTTATGTAATTATATGTTTGTTTTTAGTGTAGTTGAATAGATTAGTTATGTATCCGTCGCGCATTACTTACCTGTTCCTTCTCGTGTAGGAGCATAGGCCACCTACTAGTATTCTCCATAGAAATCTGTCCTGGGCAATCCTTTCCAGTTGCTATTTGTTCTTTGATGCCTGCTTCTAATTCTCGATGCAACGTGTTTCTTGGTTTTCATCTTTTTATTTTACCTTCAGGACTTCATCCTAGGGATTGCCTCGTGAACTGATTTTACGGTTTCCTAAGTGTATGTCTTATCCACCTCCAGAGTCATTTCCTAACTTTCTCTTCAGGATGTCAAGCTACTCTGCTTGTAACTCTTCTAGGGTTACTGCTGGTCCTAAACCTAAGTAAAGAAGGAGGGTTAGATATGCGGTCAGCAACCTCATTCCGTAGAATGCAGACAATGAAAACTTCAAGATCCAAGCTATTCTAATCAAAGAACCCAACTATAATAAAATCATTTTTCATCGCTACAAATCATTTACAGATTATTTGTAATCAGTATGAATACATTACAACTTGATTGTAAAATCACACTATTAATCTATGTTTAGCAATAATTAGATGAATATCAATAAGGAATCATTTTTAATGTGCTGATATTTCAAGAAAAATTGACTAATGTACTCTAGCTCCGTAGTGTGAAGGTATTTTGCTGAAATCCACATTTAAATATCTTATGCTAGACTGTTTGATGGTTACTGTGTGTGTAGTGCTCAATAATGCCAGAATATAAAGCTTTTGTTCATTTTATCTCATTATTACTATCTAACATTAGACGTGTAAAGATTTCCACGTTGATACCTTTCCCAGATTGCAATCTTTGTATTCAGTGTATTCCGGGAAATCGCATATTGAATCATCACTGTTGAACTGGCTCTTAAATTTCAACACCTACTAGTGATTCATTATAATAGATGAACAAACGGTCGGTTAGTCACAAAATTTGGTAGCACTGTGCATTAACCCAACTCTCCATACACGGCTAGATGAAGTTAAGAAGATGAATACCATTATAGTAGAATTTGTAGTAATGTCAGTGATCATCGCAAAGTTAAAGGTATGATTGATACTGAAGTTATAAAAAAAAGTGGCATAAATGGATCCATGCCACTACAACAGATTCTGAGATATATCATTCAACATCTCCAGCCATTGATCACAACAGTTAGACACTTCAACCAGGTGGTCTAAATATATCAAAATGTCTCAGACCAACAGTCAGTGATTTCATGGACTGATGCCACATTACTTCTAATTATCTCAGTAACTAATATAAGATGTTCCATACAAATTATAGTCTTTCATCCAGTTTTTCTTTTTTTCGTCTTGACGATTTTTTTCAGTTATTACGGTCTAGAAAGTTGCGATACAAAATCGGTGAATAATTTCTTATCTGGGCTTATTACAAATGCATGTGACCAGTTACGAGATTCTTCATGTTTACACTATGATCAAACTGATCATAATCAGTATGTACTGATACCAACTACTCTTGGTCGTTTGGCGTCATATTATTATTTATCACACTTAACTATGAAATTATTTACCACAACAATTCAGTCAACATCGAGTGTCCATGATTTATTGAGAATATTATCAGTAAGTGTGTGGGCACCTTTTACGAGATTTGTTTTCTAAAGTGGTCATTTTGGGAGAGGACAGTCCATTTTTCACCACTTAACACATTGGAATTCAACTTTTGGTAAAAAACTATTGAAGGTATACTTTATTTTAAAACCTTATCAGTTCACCTCCCAGTTGTGTCTGTCAACTGCTATCAAGTTATTGTCGAGCTAGTATGACTCAAATTTTACTGATCGTCGTTTTATCCAGTGAATCTAAGGAATAGGAAATAAAAGTCAAGTAAACTTCCATCCCTAGTTTTCACTTCGGAAATTCATACATATTATTTGGATAAAATCTTTTTATTATTGTATGGGTTTTTTCAGTACAAAGGTGCTAAAAAGACCTTAAATTGTTGAATGTCCGAAAATAAATGTAAACTTCTTTCATGTAACAATAACCGCAATAACACATCCGCTCAATCTTTGGTGTTTTCTGTTTGGTTATCACCACTCTTAGTTTGCTAATTTTCCTATCCTAATGTCATTTTATGTTGCCCCGTATATATAGTCGTCAATTTTTAACTTCTCGACGTCTTATCACTATAGGGTTACGGAAATTGTTGAGATTTAATTGTGATCATGAACCGATCAGTGTTAGGTCACCAGTAAAAACCTAGGAGCACTGGACGGCCGTTCCTTTCTAGTTTGAGGACTCCTCAGCAGTGCTCATCCATGATCCCTCACGCGGGAATCAAACCCCGGACCTTTGGTCTTGCGCGATCGCCTAACCACTGAACTGGCATCCAATGATGTTAGTGTTCAACTTCAACCACCCCATGATATCGCGCGATTATTTTCTATTGTTTTCGGTGGGTAACTGCTTCATACTTGACATGGTTGAACTCAATTGATCACAGCTTTTCATTAGAACTCCAACTTCTGTTCGGAACATCCTGAAAGTTCCACCTTTTTTATCTTTTAATAGCAACATCGATTATTAAAGTTACTAAATGTTGTCATGTATTTTAGTAGTCGTACTATCGTTTTCGTATCAGTTTCTTTTCGTAATAAAAGAAATCTTAATCCTATACAGTAAAGAACTACCATATGCCCAACCGAACCTATCACCCAAATCACAACCGATTTAAGGTATTTAATAATCTTATGTCTGAGTTCCCATTTGTAATTCGTTGCTTCTCATCTCAATTTCCTCATTCTTTGAGCTGAAATGAGGCACAAAAGCTTTAATCGATGCACATTCTTATCAGGTCTTATGTTAGTTATGAATGACGACTTAATATCGGCGGCTATTCCACACAAATGTCACTGATGAATAATGTGATTTTGATTTCTGGTCGATGTTTATGGGCCACATGATGGAAGAATATGATGAAGCTGGACGTACCCTTAGTAAGATCTGATCTTGGCAACGTATGAGCGTGACCACGTAGTGCTGGAGCCAACTGCATCAGGCCGGTCACCTACGGCCTCTTTGTGAGTGGCTCTCGATATGTTAGCTATATTTTTAATACCTTACTGCCAACGACAGAAATCAGTAAGAGAGAAAATGTAAGTTATTTATAGGACTAACCCTTTCTGACATTCTTGTAATTTTTTCGAAAAGCAGTATCACTGTAGATATTGATTGTGTGAAGGAGACACTTTACTGTCATCACAGCCAATTACAGTCAGCAATGCGACTTCACTTTTAGACCTTGCTGCTTTTAGTCTGCCCATTCTCCAGCTGACCTGTACATCATGATAGCAACTTTAGGAAACAAATTTTCCAACCGGCATGGCTCGATTTTCTCATCACCGAATGCGAACCTGATCACCGTGTCAATGTATTAGCTACGGTCGGATTACGTAGTGGAAATTCGCAGCAAAAATCTATCGACAAAGTCTCTATAGTTGAAGAATAGTGCTAGAGACATTTTACACAATCAGTATTGAATAGAAGCTTCCTAAATACATCTAGATAAATGAAGGATTGTGTCACATTTCGATCGAGTAATTACTTATATCGTTACTATATTTCATATTTTGTACAAAAATCCCTAGAAGACCAAAATCATATTAAACTCGGCGAGGCTATAATTTATGAATGAGTCAATCAGGTATGAGATAACAGGTCTTAGATTTTGATGCGAAATTCATTCATCCATTTAGCGCAAAACTATTTTGGCATTATAGCTGATATCAGTTCGTGACGAAAACCCCAAATCTAATTCCTAAACTTAACCATCAACTGTAAATCATAATTCTAGTTCCACACGCAGGTTTATAATCTTCATTTGGTCCTAGTTATTAGGTAAAGACTCTCAAGGCCACTTCAGTGTCGCTCAACAGTTGTCCATAAATCATAGTCTCATATTAAACCATGTAATTAGACTAAATTTTCTGTACATTTATTAACCTTGGTGTAAAGCTTTTACTCAACTTCATGTATACAAATTAGTCTGAAGTTAAGATGTCTGTAACAAGCGTTGTAGCAGCAAACTCATAAATCTCTAACCTTTGGTATATGCAATACGATGTTTCATTTAACAGTGTGTAAAGTAATATATATGTACTCTATTGTTACTTCTTAAAAGAGTGCACATGAATACTTCCTATTACCTGTGCGACATAATGAAGATGAAATGAATAAACTATTAGCCAATGAATTACCTTTACCACCTATCGGTCCAATGGATTCTCCACATACAAAAGCTCATTTATTATTTCAAGCTCATTTTTCTCGTATTAAAGAATTGCCGATTATTGATTATCGTACAGATACACAATCGATTTTAGATCAAGCTATTCGAATATTACAAGTGAGTTGTATCATTTATTTTGTCACGTCATATTATCAAACCTTTCTTGGGAATTTTAAGTATTATTTATTTTAGTCGAATATAATCCATTCATCACTCAGTATTAACCAGTATTATATTCCTATAGTTCATATAATCTAAGTGTATCACAGTTCTACAGAAGGTCAGTCGTGACCTGAAAAACTCAATTGTAACATCTAAGACCATGAAGCTATATAACGCGGTTTCGAATCCTGCACAAATATTTCATTCCGTAAAGACTACCAGACTTCCTTGCTAATGAATATCATCTATTATGATACATATATCCAGGGTTTCCTGTCGATTACCTTCAACCATCTAAAATCTCTAAATAATGCATATGTTGTCTGGTGACTTAGACAAGTTACCACATTGCTACTTTATCGAGAGAATTTGGTCATCACGAAATAACTCTCATTATACTAGGGTCAGGTTTTCTCCCTACTTAATAATAACTAAACTTAGTTAATTCAAATTTATTGTATAAACAAACTGTTTTATCTACTATTAGTTTCATTTTATGTGATTACTAGCCAAATTTTTAAGAGGTAATTGTCGGCATTCCAGTACAAAGCTATGACTACTGTTGTCCAACCATGTCATGGATGAAACAAAATATAACAATGGTTGGTAATTGTATCATAATAACCTGCCAGGTTTGTGAATGCATATTGGTATCATGTAACAACTAGCTCATAATTTCTGCTTCTCAATGGTTATCTAATTAAGATCAGTCTGTGATTGGAAACATCAAATTCGTTGACTCCTAGAGCAAACTCCTTTAAAAATAAATATTGGTTATTGATGTTAGATATTCTCTGGACGTTAGGTTGTAGTGGATTATCTTTGAAATAACTCCAGAAGCTTCATATATCACTTGTCTTCATAACCGTTATTAAATAACTACCAACAGTGTCTAAATTTCAGAAGACAATGTGAATCGTTGGCTATTTTATTGTTATACAGCACAGCACCATACATGCTCATACAAATATAATGCTGAAAAGTTATCTACAAATTTTCAGTTTAGGGTTATAGAGATTGTTGACCTTTCTTGAAATCATAAACTGATCAGTGTTAGACCCTCGTGCAGGATCGTAAATGCGCGTTGCTGAGCTGTCCCCATACTAGGACGAAACAGTCGTCCAGTGCTCCCGGTTTTCAGTGGTGACCTAACATTGGTCGCTTCATGGTTTCAATAATATACACGAATTATTACTCTATTCTAATAACACTGTCAGTTAAATTAGTTAATTGAAGGGCTTATCAAAATCAAATATATACATAATCAAGTGTAGGTGAGGTACTATAAGGCGATATTTCTTTTGGTATTCTTATATAACCTGTTTGTTCGCTTGTTTACTTTATATTAAACGATTTATAGGCAATGTTAGACGTTAGTGCTGAATGTGGTTGGCTTCGTACAAGTTTGAATTGTATAATTTTAATGCAAATGATTACACAAGGCTTATGGGTTGAAGAATACGCCAGTAGTATTTTACAATTACCAAAAATAACCAGTGAACATTTGGATTATTTCAGGTAGTTGGAAATATGCTTATATTTTTCTACAATAATCCAGGAATCTAATAATGAACTAGATATGATTTTTAGGATCATGTACAGTAGATTTTTTTATAGTTTACTGCATGAAAACACTGACTGTTAAAAGTGAAACGTGTTAGTAGGTACAAACTACTTGGTTGGCAACTGTGTGACTGGAATGAGAATCTTTCTCTATAGCGCAGATGCACTTATTATTTGTATTTCCTGAGATCTTTAGTTTATAAACTACTTTATCAAGTTTTTCTTCATTAGTTCATATTCTTTCAAATCATATGTGCGATGCCCATTAACACTAACACTGTTACTACCTGCAATCTTCTGTCGGCTCGCCTTAATAATTTCATCTCACTGTTCTAATGAAGTATGGTACCTTGAACGAATGTACACATGTGTTTATGAATGACCGAGTGAGTTTTGAAATTAGTGTGGGTCACTAATGTGGCTGGTTCTCATGTGTTTTTCATATGCCTAGCTACCCACCTCACTTGGTGAATAATATTGCAGTAGAAAGAGAGCTAATGGCCTGTCAAATCAAAAAATGGCGGTATCCAGGTGTGTATGTATGCCTGTGCGACCCGATCAAACAGCGAAATTAAATGAAGTACTGACAGCTAACAAATATTAAATAATTTTTACCTACAAAATCATCAGTTCAATATTGTGGTGCAAGTGGAAAAATCAAAGAAAAGGAGGCAAGAACAACTATAACAAATAAAATAAGACTTAAACTACCTCATATTTACGTATTGTTTAACGTAGTTTAGACTACTTAATTTTAAGTAAGGAGTATATCATGAAACAAAACAAGTAGAAGCAGTTTCAGAAGCAGAGAAGTCAAAAGTAAAATCTAAATCTATCAAAAATTCACAGTGGCGAAATACTTGGTAACTACTGAACTTTGTATATTTGAATAATTTTAAGAATATACATTTATAAGTTCAGTTAAAGTGTTTTTGCCCATGAGCAACTCTTATTGTTAATCATTTATATCATGAGCTGATTTAAGACAATCATTGAAAAAACAGAAAGCATTGGTCAGGCGCTTCGTCCTGTTATGGAACTGTTCAAAAATAAAAATCCACCTTATACCAGTTGTCGAAGCTAGAACTCTCAGGTTTCATAGTCAACACCTAACTTTCAGACCACTATATCAGGGTATGATGGTCCACATTTCTAACTTCAATCACTTTGCGATTTAATCATTTAGTTTAGTGAATTATCGTGATGCCTTCAATGTAAAGGCAGTTTTAATTGTAGACTGGCATCATTTTATGAACCATTGGCAACTAGAGAGCAACTAATGGTTTTCCCGACCTACTATGAGGTAATCTAGCTGTGTGCACTCAGAATCCTGTTAGAGATTGAACTTAAGACTTTCATATCTCTTCATAGTAAAATTATCGCAATTTGTTAGATTGAATATAAATGGTTTATTCACCATTCTCTAACCTTGAAATAAATTACCGAATTATGAATGGGAAGTCATGACTAAAGAGGTGAAAACGTATCTATTATTTTTTAGTCTAGTTGGATTGTTGATCAACGCAGAATCCAGAACTCTCGTTTTGTTCTGTTTATGACTCATCAGATAGATATACCGATGTTCCTCTATCGATGCTCACATTGTGACCTGAATTCATTTTTTCTCTTTCATTACCAACACATTAATCACTGTGCTACTGAATCCACACAGCCTCTAACTTGTTAAGTGTGTATAATGTTTATATGATAAAAACCCCTCACTTATATTAATAAAGAATGTCTAAATTGTAACAATTATCATTCATGAAATTGGATGATAGTGAGGTATTTATATTGCGAATTGATGGAATTGGCGATTGTATAACAGAAAAGCTGAGTTTAATCCATGATAAGGTTGTGAATGATTACTGCACATGAAATTCACTATAGGACAAACAATTACCAATTGTTCATCATCAGTTTTAAATGATCCACTGGTTAATGTTGTTTGAATGTTATGTCAATTCTCTTAATAGTTTTTATGTTCATTTGAATCCCATGTATTAATATTTGATTGATATAAAGAATATTTCATCCCTCTCCTTTACACCTCACTCTCTCTTCTTCCCTGCATAACAAACGACTTTACAGATGTGATCGTAATCCTAACATAAGTTCATTACCAGAACTTATTGATTATGTGGCTGGTTCACCTAATCTATTAGATTCCATGCTACAAGGTCATGTTGAATCCGATGTCATCAATAGTGTTAAAAAGGTATATTCATTTGATTTGGTATAATTTCATGCTTTATATTCAATCTATTTTTATTATCATTAGCGTTGAATGCTCATTTGTGCACATAATTTCTGTTTAAAAAAATTCCTAAAAAGAAAACAATATCTAAATCCCATGTTAACTTTACATTAGCAAAATATTTTGTAACTATAGTGATATGGAGAATCAATCAGAAGTGGCCTAAACGTTAAGTGCATTTCATTGGCTAAGAAATTGATCAATTTCCTAAGGATTAGAGTGGTATATATGTATATGAATGAGTATTTATGCATTTTATTCGGTAATCCAATACAATCTCGCTCAAGTAGCCAATTGGGGTGTTAGCGCGCGTAGCACATCATGTATGAATATCAGATTTTGGGTACCTCACGTCACAACATATAGAACCTAGTTTATTTTAATAATTTTTTTATTAGAAAAAGTGGTTTTACCCACGGGCAACTCTTATTAATCATTTACATTACAAGCTGACCGTAACCCTATAGCCGTTAAATAACAGATAGTACTGATTCTTTTGTATTCACAACTTTATATCACATTGTTTGACTGTAAATAGTTTCAATTAGTCGATTTAATTCCTTTAAATTTTTCACTCTAGTTTAGTTGAGACTTAGTATTAATATATGTGTTTATCTGTAAAATTGAAGATGTTTTCCCTTCAAATTCTCATTAACCATAATTGAATACAACCATATACTTCAAAATAAAACTGTCTTGCACGAAATATTCAAAACCAATTTTTTAAAAAAAAAACACGATTTGTGTATAATATGGGAATGAATTTGAGAGACTCGCATCATGGTAACGAGATTTGAAGCAATTTTTGAACGAGCCTATGAACATACAGTTTGTGTACATCAAAATTATTTTGGAAATAAAGTAGTGATACCTGCAAGAGTGCAGTGATTTTAAGAAACTGTTTATCGGTATTCCGATGTTAATATTTTCATAACTTGCATAAATTCATTAATCTGACGGTAACTATATTTGATCACACTTATGGTTACTTTCTCATGGCTAGAGATCTCTATTTCTTTTTTTGGGGGGGGGGGAAGGAGGAATTCATCATTAACTCCAAAAAAATTTTAATAATAAGTTAACTGAGAAGTTAGAAAGATATAATATAATAATAATCTTGTCACACTTGGAGATACTTAACACTTATCATAATGAACAAAATTCACATAGAACATCTCGCGTTGAAATAATGTCACAGTGGAAAAAATATAAGCTAAATATCTTACTTACTTACTTATGCCTGTTACTCCTCGTGAAGGAACATAGGCCTCTCACCAGCATTCTCCATCCAACCCTGTCCTGGGCAATCCTTTCCAGCTCCTTCCAGTCGTTATTCATCCTTTCCATATCTGCTTTTATTTCCCGACGTAATGTGTTCTTTGGCCTTCCTCTTTCCCGCCTTCCTGCAGGATTCCAAGTTAGGGCTTGCCTCGTGATACAGTTTGACGATTTGCGTAATGTATGTCCTATCCATTTCCATCGTCTTTTCCTAATTTCTTCTTCAGCTGGAAGCTGGTTTGTTCTCTCCCACAAAAGGCTGTTGCTGATGGTATCCGGCCAATGGATGTTGAGTATGTTGCGTAGACAGCTATTTATAAATACTTGTACTTTTTTGATTGTAGTTGTTGTAGTTCTCCAAGTTTCAGCTCCGTACAGTAGAACTGCCTTGACATTCGTATTGAAGATTCTCACTTTGATATTGGTTGAAAGTTGTTTTGAGTTCCATATGTTCTTCAATTGTAGGAATGCGACCCTTGCTTTGCCAATCCTTGCCTTTACGTCTGCATCTGAACCTCCTTGTTCATCGATGATGCTTCCCAGGTATGTGAAGGATTCTACAACTTCCAGAGTTTCGCCATCAAGAGTGATTGGATTGCTGTTCTCCGCTTTGAATTTGAGGACCTTGGTTTTCCCTTTGTGTATACTGAGGCCTACTGGTGCAGAAACTGCTGCTACACCGGCTGTCTTCATCTGCATCTGTTCGTGTGTACGTGATAGGAGGGCTAGGTCATCTGCGAAGTCCAGATCGTCTAATTGATTCTGAGCTGTCCATTGTATTCCATGTTTTCCTTCAGATGTCGAGGTCTTCATAATCCAGTCGACCACCAGAAGAAAGAGGAAGGGAGAGAGTAGACAGCCTTGTCTGACTCCGGTCCTTACTTGGAATGCATCTGTCAGCTGTCCTCCATGCACTACTTTGCACTGTAGTCCGTTGTATGAGTTCCGGATAATATTGACAATCTTCTCAGGAACTCCGTAGTGTCGAAGAAGTTTCCATAATGTCCTCCTATCTACACTGTCGAATGCCTTTTCATAATCAATGAAGTTGATGTATAGTGATGAGTTCCACTCAACTGATTGTTCGACGATGATCCGTAGTGTTGCAATTTGGTCTGTGCACGACCGATCCTTACGGAATCCAGCTTGTTGATCTCGAAGTTGGGCGTCTACTGCATCCTTCATACGGTTCAGCAACACTCTGTTGAAGACTTTCCCTGGTACTGGTAGTAGTGTGATGTCTCTGTGGTTTTCACATTTGCTCAGATCTTCTTTCTTTGGAATCTTGATGAGGAGTCCTTCTTTCCAGTCCATCGGCACTTGTTTCTCATCCCAAATCTTTTTGAATAGAAGGTGAAGCATGTTTGTAGTTACTTTGATGTCTGATTTCAGTGCTTCAGCTGGTATATTGTCGGGTCCCGCTGCTTTCCCGCTCTTGATTTGTCTGACGGCCATTCTGATTTCTTCCGTCGTTGGTGGGTTGACATCTATAGGAAGATCTGTGTGCGCTGCTTCGATGTCCGATGGATTCATTGGAACCAGTCTATTCAGGAGTTCCTCGAAGAACTCTACCCATCTTTTCCGCTGTTGTTGAATTTCAGTGATTGGCTTGCCTTCTTTGTCCTTGACCGGTCTCTCTGGTTTACTGTATTTCCCTGCTAGTTTCTTCGTTGTATCGTAAAGTTGTTTCATATTTCCTTCCCTTCCAGCTTTTTCCGCCGTTGTTGCTAGTTCTACCACGTATTTCTTCTTGTCGGCTCTAATGCTTTTCTTCACTGGCTTGTTTGCTTCTATGTATTCAGCTTGTGCTTGGACTTTCTCTGTTCGTGTTCGGCTGTTGTTAATTGCTGTCTTCTTGTTCTTCCTTTCTTTGATCTTTTCCAGTGTTTCTATAGAGATCCATTCCTTATAACGATGCTTATTGAGGCCCAGAACCTCTTGACACGTTGAAGTTAATGCTTCTTTGATGCCTTTCCAGTTGTCCTCCATAGTAGTTTCTTCTCCCTTCAGTAGATCTTGTAAGGCTTGGAACCTGTTGTTGAGAGAAACTAAATATCGTACTGATCAAAATCTCACACTAGAAGTAAACTAATGTTATGCTGAATAAGATGTTACGTTGAGAATAAAAACATATCATACTGAGTTTAAGGAAAGTATAAACCCCTTCTTGTCCCGACTGGTTATTATTATTATTACGCCAATTGACTTATTATTATTCTATACCTTCACGTTGAAATATTCACATAAATTAACAAATCTTATCCACTACTAGTTTGTATGTTACATAATCAATCCTGATAATAGTAATCAATTAGATTTTGACAAATGAATAACCTCTTTCGAAAGCAATCTCTATTTTTAAAATGTTTTGTCCACTTGCTTTTAGGCGGTTAGACAACTACCTATTGTTGAAATACGCTCATGTTTAGTTGGTCCTGACCCATCTGTCTCATCGTCATCATCACCAACACAACTATCTCAGTCAGTTAGAGTATTTAAAATAAATACTATTGGACAAAGTTCAAATTGTCTAGATGTGTATGCTGAAACGGAGTATCTTCTTCGTATACAACTAATACGATCTTCTATTGATCAGACAAGTGGAAATAAGGTAATTTTTTTATAATCTTTCTGTTTTCCAACTGTAGGAGTGTTTCTACTTTTGACGTAACTTGGAAATTGTATAATCTGATTAATTAGATAGATGATTTTCTTCGTCTTACTCAGTCTATATGCTTCAAGGTGATATTTCGTTTATCAATGCACACTACCAGCACTTTCGGAACAACTAATCGTGTGCGAAAACCTGTTACACTGTTTTTACTATCAAGCAGTTTCACTTGTGTGTTGGGGTTTGAAAAACCTTTTCCTGGCATAAAAACGTTGGCACACTTTAAGGTCGTTTACAGAATATCATTGTTAGTGAAATTATGAAGAAATGACGATGCTAGACAACCATGATATGCTCTACTATTGTTTAGTTACAATCTAGGAACTTTTCGTCTGGATTCATTCTTCGTAAAGCGGTTTTGTATTACGACCTCACAGATTTTGATAAACCGTCCAGACATACTTTTCTTCAACATTCCGTTGTAGAATTGATTCTTATCCAACAAATCGAACGCCGTATTGACTTGATGATGTGACGATTATTGAAGTACAGTACGTGTGAATAGTACTTTAGTTTTCGGTGAAAGGTAAATATGTGTTTACTGAACGATTTACACTCTTTCTTACTTATTTTTGGAAGTCACTTCAGTTGCTACCTTCTCATTCTCTAATAATTTTGCTTTGCACGTTATACTTATCATCTTTATGCCGGATTTTATCGAGGTACACCTTATCTCTAGACTAGTGAACCGGTACTCAACGATTTTCATTTCCAAATATTAGATGTTAGGTCGTAGATGCACACTGATAAGAAGTCCCATACTAGAACGGAACAGTCTTCCATTTCTTTAAGTTTTTTTCGTGATTGCCTAACTAAAATCATTTTTCTCTATTTCTATATGTTATCTATTTCATTTACTCTTATAGCCGGTTATGACTGGATCTTTAATCAAATCGAAATCATACGAAGGTTGGTTTCTTCTATTGGGCAATTGTGAAGTCAATAAAAATTATGGTGGTAATTTATTAACATTGAAACGTGTCCCACCACAATCAATGACAATACTTAAAAAAGACAAAATGAACTCTTTGTATAATACTCGGAAACATTTTATCAATATACTTGTGAAATTCCCACTACCATTAACATTGTTACGTAATACCAATAATGATAGTAATAATAATAATAATAATAATAATAATAATAATAATAATGGTACTACTATTAATCAGATCGAAGTGAAACAATCTTATCAATTAACATTATTTTAATGTCTGATACTTATTTAGGCTTAGATCAACAGATTGAATTATTTTTTAATGTAATGTGTAAACCACCTACTCAGATTAATCATGATGATAAAAATGATAATGTTGATTATGGTAATGATGATATTTATGAATCGGAATATGATAAAGGTTAGTGCCGATACTGTCGAAATATCAAGGTATATATATATATATATATATATATATATATATATATGATGTAACCATATTTAGGTGTGATGATTACACGTGTAACTATGTATGATTTGAGTGTTTGTTGACCATACTAACAATGAGTTATTTTATGTTGTACAATAAGAATTAAATAATTTGTCTTTCATTTGAAGTGTGAATATCTTTCTCTCTTTTTTCTTGTTCTGTATACAATTCGCTCAAATCCAAATGGATCGATGTTAGTGAATAGTGTTTCATATAAAATTTTATCGCTTATCCCCTTTATGTTGTATTGTATTTTTCATCACTATTTTCTTCTTCCTTTTCTTTCTGAAAAAAAAACGACAGAATTATTCTTACCGCTTATTACAGTTTATTTTGTTATCTGTTCTATCGTTTTATCTTGTAAATCTAATTGAAATGTTATAAATTTCATGGTTTGAATTGTATGTGTGCTTATTTTGAATTAACACAACCGTTACTTACTACCTTGACTTGGTGGTGGTTGGGTTTGGCTATTATGATGAGTGAGTCGAGTTAGATTTGCTGGAACAATCGTGCCTCAAGGTTCTATCATGTCAGATAGGTTGGTTAAAGAGTGGTAGGGCTAAAATCAGAAAATTAAAGGTTCGAAAGCGAAGTCATACTGTTGACTGTATAATGGTGTGGCGGTAGTAATGTGTTCCCCCAGTAAACCAGTATAACAGCGATGCTGCCTTCCCATAAAGGAAGAGTGAGGCTAGAAAAGGTTGACCCTGAAAATACACATCTCGTCTTATTCCACAGATTTTCGTCTCCATCGGTAAGGTTTCAACAAGTACAGAGCTAACGCGAAAATCACCCACGAAAAGGTCGTGTGTGATTGATCCCAAGCAACTGTCCCTTAGGTACTGTGGTCACCCTCTCAGGTCACTAAGATCAACTCTAACCCTATCTCCTTTACATGTACCTCTGGAAGAACTCCTCCATAGTGTTGGCAACCGGGGAATGATAACGGTCTTTATACTTGTGACAACATTGAAGTCCATTGACGTTTGATCAAGAAATTAATTTGTATAGGGTCAGTGTAAGTAATGCAGTGAATATACATCGGTAGACTTCTTACCGAATATTGAAAAGGAAATTGTACCACAATTTATTCGGGTCAATGATGTTCTCTATATTTGTTATCTTTTCATTTTGACTCAATTTATTCTGAATTTCAAGTTAATTTCGTAGATTTTCTAGACTGATCCTATTGTACAGTCGAATTCATTCAATAACATGATATTAATAATTAGATATATAATATTTTGCAATTAACTGAACTCTGAGTTGAGATAACTATTCAGTGGAGATGGATCTTGTACGAAAGAAAGCTGTATTAAATGTGTGATATTTGTTCTAAGTTTCACTAATTTATTGGCTAATTCAATTTGAAAACAAATGGGTCACATATTCTCGTCACTATATCACAATAATTGAGGTTCAAAAATGAACGTAATTATGTACATGCACACACACTGTCTGTACACCTGATCCTGATTGGTTGTTAACTATTTAAAGAATACAATTCTATTTGGACACATTGCATTATTTGATTTCGTTCACATTTGTAGTTATATTAAAAGTGTACGAAATTGTGAAGATTAAGGAAAGAACTTTGTTTATGATCAAGTCTGAACTAAACACAATATGTTTGATACTAATTGATATATATGGACTTCAGGACCTTCATATATCCCAATTCAAACGTATCTCTTACACTACCGAAGCGAATTTTTGTACTCTAGAAATTCGAAAATCTCTTCCAAAGTTATTTATCTGCGTACATATGTCATATCGTTGTTATAAATTGGTAGGTCTTGAATAAAGTATTAAAGTTTGTTTGTTATTGTCGACACATGTGTTGATGTGCTGTTCATCTGGTTCAGTTTTTTCATCAATAATGGCAGTTGCACATTTCTTTGTGTAACGATTTAATTTACATATGTTGACTTCATATAAATGTATGCTTCCAATAGATTTCATAAACAAGTGACCTCAGTTAAAATAGCATTAAAATTCTGTCTAGTCAGTTGGATTATAATGTTTTATTATTTGAATGTTGTGATGGATGTGAGTCCTTTCACAAAATAAATGAACGAACAGAACCATATTTAAGTAAATATACCAGTTCTCAAGTTCAAAGCTGACATCAGTCACAAATACGACTCTCATTGGCTTACCAACGAATGGAGAGCAATATATACATACATCGATCAAGCTCGTGTTAACAAACTGCACACGCAACATTAAATTCTTTTCAATTGCTTCTCAACCTCTCCTGAATACTTATATTCAATTCACTGAACAATCCGATAGTAAGAATAAATCTTGCTACAAACCAACCAGTTTCATCCTGTATAGTTTATAGTGCCTACTGTCTTGTTTTGCGGACACTAATACATCATTATTATGCATCATGTCAAACAACTAAGTATTTCATTGGACTGTAATCTAAAATTAATCATAAATACCAAGTAACACTGACCAGTAGGGTCTGTTTGGAGATTTAGTTAAATCTCTGGTTAATCACCTATATCGACATTATATTCTCGTTTATAAAATATAACAAGGAGACTAGTTGACTTAATTGTGTATGGTGTGAATAGAGAAACAAAGAAGCTATGACAAACAACGGAGAATATTTTTGGGGACGTTACTTGACATGATTCAAAGCTTGTGAAATACTAACGTTTATTTTTGTTCCTAGTTTATTCGGTAAGCCATAAAGTTCCGTCTGACTTATGATTCACTGTCATACCCTTTTCTGTTCCAAAGCTATTATAATTTAAACGTGGCCTTTGCTACCCTATTTTCCTATCCTAATCCCCAGTTTAGGACATAATCGTATTTTTCAAATTGTTTGTGGGCTGTGGTCATGTTAATCGTCTATTTATTCATGTATTTTTTCCACTAATCTGGACCGGAATCGGGAATAGAATGAGTAGTCTTCCAGTTGACTCGTATTCTCTTCCTCACACTCTTATCAACCAATCAGGTGACATAATAGTCTTCGTCTCTGTACTCAAGGAAGTTAGTCTCAGTTCGAACTCATGTGTTTCTAGCCTCGAGTTTGAACCAGTCAACCCATCGTTCAAGGTCCTAATTTAGATTGAAACAAGTTATATTCTGTATATTAGTGGGTAGACAAAGAAAGGACGTTACAGTGTAGAATACATTCTGACAATCTGGTTTTATATCTCCTGTCAAGACATAACGCGTAGAAAATCACATGTCAACAAATTCACATATGACTGAACTGTTTTTGTATCTTCACGTGCGAATCCTTTGGATTCCATTCTTAGAGTATGGAGGACCTTAAGTCACCAAAGACTTATCGATGTTTCCTAAGGGGTATATATATATATATATATATATATATATATATATATATATATGAGTATTTGTACATTTTATCCAGTAGACGAGTGTGCCTTCTCGTCCTGTCTTGTGTTCACACTCGAGTAGTCGGTTGATAGAATAGTGCACAGCGTGGTCGTTTATCAATACCAGATTACAGACCGCCCATCATAACAATTATCTTGCATACGCAAATAACTATCTTTTGTTCATTTGAACTTTATTGGCCCAAAATATTATTCTACGTTTTCGTAATCAAAATTAATTTACATTGATTAGCGATTTTTGGCATTCTTGTTTTGTCTTTTGGGGTATTCGAAACCTGTCGATCACTGGTCTGGATGACTCGACATAGTGTGCATTATTCTGCTTTTGAATGGTTAAAGATAGTCTATAGGGAACCCTGTTTGATCTTGTTTTCGCTTTGTTTGCGATTAGTCAATATGGCACATAAACGATCTCCTGGAAAGTTTTGATTTCATGTTAATTGACATTAGAGTGTGAGATGTGTTACAGATCCACTTTGCTGCTGTTATATTCACTATATTCATCACGTTAACCGAGTATGGAAGTCAGAAGAAATTGAGTGTTGTGCGCTAACTAATAATATCCAGAATAGCCTAATTTAAGGCAGGCAGAACTTGATGAGCACAGGTGAACATACTAAATTTGGAGTACGTATTAGGCGTGGGATGATATAAAAAAATCACTATCGTATACAGACATCACACTGAGGACAAATGGATTGGGCTAGAACCAGAATTTGAATGTTTCTGAATGTACAGGTAACCAACCGACTGAATTAACTGAAATATATAACAGTAATGAAAATGGACGTATAATAGGATTGAATGAACACAACTGGACGAAAAAAATATCATTGTTTAAACACCAGAATTGGAACTCTTAGTAAATGAAGAAGGAGCATAACGACAACGGAGCAAACCAGAAATTGCCTTTATTGCGTAACGTATTGAAATAAATCCCAACTGTCCAACATGCCTCAACTGTCGGAGAATATAAAGATGAGATGTCATTAGCCGATAATCATGTAGACAGGGAACTGAGCAGAAGCATTCAAATTCACCACATGGCTGAGCACAAGTTAGTCTATGGAACTGCATTAATCCATTTGATATTAATATGCCTATTCAGACATCGTATTCAGAGATGAGTATACAGTTGTGTGAACATGATACATCTGTACTGAATAACAGGATCGTTACACAGCAATTCATAATTTGGAATACCAGTGTACCGTTAGAGAACCATCTTGGTCTGTCTAATCACATTCAACATCCATCACAATAGGAACGTCTTATCAAAGTTTCAAGCGATTTCAACTGAATGGAATAATCGGATTTCAAACATTCAATTTTAATATCAACAAGTTACCCTTCTTTCCTCCTACATATAACACTAAACTCATCATAATGTGAGTGGCGATGAAGAGAGATTACTTGGTAGTGTAACCTTTTAGGATCATACATCTCGTATTACGTCCAGTGCAACGAGTACTTCAAAACACTACGAACAAACACCAGTTCACAGAGGCGATTCAATTATATGTAAAATGATGTTTCCTCTATCGGGAGGGACATGATTTTCAGGTAAATTAAAGATCAATTTCTGGAAAACCTTGATAGAAGAGATATAAAATAATCAGGATACAGAGAGCGTAAAAGTTCAAATGTAATGATTTTACTGTAGAACATTGTTGAATGAAAGTTAATTGCATGCCTGTTCATAGATCGCTCATATTTAACTTCCGATTACTGATGAGAAAGGTGAAATGGTAGTGTCTCAGGTCTCTAACCACATGTTCTTTGAAGCTGGACAAAGAAAACTGAGCTATCGAATACTTCGATATGGTCAATAAAAGTCACCGCTAGAGCACGTAATCGAAAAAAATGTGGCTTGATCGTGCGGGCCCGGTCACTCTGTAGACTTACTGCTTTCGTATTAGTTATATTATTCAAGTACCACCCCAAAAGTATTGTTTAATTGTCCTTACAAAACGCACTACTGACTGTCACCATAGGACGAGTCAGTGAACGATGTGACT